TCAGGGAAAGAGAAATGATGAGTTAGTCCAAACTGTCCCTGCCTTCAGTAGCTTTCAGGATGTTTATATAAAACAGCTAAGCAATTAAGGACAATTTTCCAGAAGAGAAGAGTGGGAGAAAATGACACAGCTCGGAGGAAGGGCATGGGTAAATGGGAGGGGGAGTTCAGAGTGGGCTCCCCTGGGGCTCAGTTGGTAAAGAATCTGCCTGCAACGCAGGAGACCCCGCTTCGATTCCTGGGTTGTGAAGATCCCCTGGAGAAGGGAATAGGCTACCGACTCCAGTATTCTGGCCTAGAGAATTCCATGGATTGTATAGTCTATGGGGTTGCAAAGACATGACTGAGCAACTTTCAGTTTTCCTGCAGAAAGTACAAAGAGATTGAAGCCTGAGGGCTGAGTGGCAATAAGCAAGGTGACTTGAAGACTTGGACACAGAGACACCAAGACAGAGATGGTAAAGAAAATCAAGTGAGGAAAGGAAGATTGAATGTGTAATTCACCTTGATATGCATTTGAAAGAAACAATTCACAGCTTTACTAGAAAAATATCTCAACGTGGAGCTGAACAAAGTGAAGGATGTCAAAGGAAGAGGCTCCCACCAGGCTCAGCATTTTTCTGACTTGAATGACAATCAGGGAACCTCCCTGGTGGTCCAGCGGCCAAGACTGTGCTCCAATGTAGAGGGCTGGGGTTCGATCCCTGGTCAGGGAACTAGTTCCTGAATGCTGCAACGGAGAGTTCCTATGCTCCAACCTAACATCCTGCATGCCCCAACGAAGACCTGGAGCAGCCGAGATAAATAATAAATACTTTTTTTTTTTTTTTTTAAGAAGAATGGCAGTCAACGCTGACAGTAGACTCAGGTCTCAGGGGAGTTTACCAATGATCATACTAGTAATTGTTTTAAGTAATTTTATTTATTTTTGGCTGTGTTGGGTCTCTGTTGCTACTTGGGCTTTTCTCTGTTCTGGGAAGATCCCACATGCCTCAGAGCAACTAATACGGTGCGCGTCACAACTACTGAGCCTGTGATCTAGAGCCCGGGAGCCCTCCAGCCCACGCTCAGCAACAAGAGAAACCACTGGAGTGAGAAACCTGTGCACTGCAACTAGAGTGGCCCCCTCGCCATGACTAGAACCTGGCCCCTCTGCATTGGGAACCTGGAGTCTTGGTCTCTGGACTACCACTAAGCATTTGTTTAGTTGTTGAAAACCTTTGACTGTCTTCTGGAGCTTTGATAAGGGTGATTCTGACAGTTTTTTGGCAGGATTTTCAGTGTTAGAGTTGGCCCCTTGAGGTTCATACTCTACCATTTTTGCTGAAGTCACTCTTTAAGAGTTTCTTTTTTTAATGCCAATTTTGTTTGGGCATAATATAGAAGTGATGCTACATGTGGGAAATACAGGAAACACAGTCATGGAGCAGAGGAGGGAGTTCTTCAGAGAGTTCACCAGTCTCTTGGTTCTTCTATTATTCCATTTCCCCCACTTCTCCTTGAAAAATGGTGTAAACTATCTATCAAGGTGACTTTGTCATCCACACAGATGGTGAAGTTGGGAGTAATAATTCTGACTGAGGAGAAGGATGGCTGAAACAGAGTCGGGGACTACAGCCTTCCATGAACATAAGGGAATGACACAAAAGTCAGAAGATGAAGACAGAGAAAAGGACAGTGATGTAATGACCTCAGGTTTCAAATGAGGGAGGAGAAATAGTTGTGAAAACATGTTTACTATGAAATAAGGGTGCAGCTGGTTGGCTGGTCAACAAAGATATGTTAACAACATCTTATGTTTGAACAAAACCATAGTGTGTATTATTACCATGATGATTAATATAGTTCTTGTTTTTTTTTTTTTTTTTGGACCAATGTAAAACAAAAACAAGAATAAAAATAAGATGAGAGAGAAGAGTCAATACAATCAATGGAAACCCAATTAGAATATAAAAGGTTGGCTGATTAAAAAAGATATGTATGTAAAGTCAATTGGTCTCTAAGTCTTAACAGTAACAACCTAGAAATGCTTGAAGCAGTGACTTTCATCTCAGTAGAGGAAACAAAATAGCAAATAATAATAAATAACTTTAGTGCTTATATGAAGAACATGATCAAACATAACTGAGTGATACTTGCTGAATGCAGAGTTATAACACAATATTGAATAAGTATCATGTATCTCAAATTAGATTGCAACTGTGATGAAATTGATTCCAAGGGGATTCTTTCTGGAACATAATAAATTGCTTACAGGGCAAATGTATACATCCTTTTAATTAAGTTACAAACATAATGTCATGCATCCCAAGAGGATTACTTCTGGAAATTAGTAAAAATGATTTAAATGTTCTGCAGGCAACAAACACATTAATTTATGAGTATAGTTATTTACATGGACCACCTTCCCCTCCAAACAGTTCACACTTTCATTCATTCATCAATTTTCCATTGAGTACCCACTGAGCATCATAGGGTGTACATCATACAGAGAAAAATGACTGAGACACATAAACAGTGCTTGTGTTAATGGGGTTTTCACTGTGCTTTTATGGGGAGGGGACTTGGAGGGAGAAAGGGAAATTGGCTTCAAAAATGCAACATCTAGAATGAAGGTATGCTAAATGCTATGGGAGATGGAGGCATGTCCCAGATGCTGCTAGTGGTAAAGAACTGCCTGCCAATGCAGGAGATGTAAGAGACACGGGTTCAATCCCTGAGTTGGGAAGATCCCTTGGAAGATGGCATGGCAACCCACTCCAGTATTCTTGCCTGGAGAGTCCTATGGACAGAGGAGCCTGGCTGGGTAAAGATCATAGGGTTGCAAAGAGCTGGACATGACTGAAGTGACTTAGCATGCATGGGAGATGGATGGAGCGTGCGTGGGAGATGGACAAAGTGCTACGAAGTGCAGAGTGCGAGGCACTAACATAGTAGGATGAAGAGAAAGCTGTGAGGGTAGCGTTTTAGGTTAAAGTGTGTCCCCCCCAACACACAGTAGATGCATTTGTTAGGGGAAGCACACTGATTGAAACCGCCCACCCTGGCCAGGCACCACAGTAACCATTTGCATGAGTTGTGTTAGGACAGGAGGTCCTGGTAAGGAACAGGGAACTAATGAGCCTCCCCCAACCAGAAGAGTTCGGGAAAGGTCAAAAGGAGACACCACCTGTCCGACCACCTCCCAGAATCCTTCTCTCTGGCATCCATCTTGGCCGAACAAGGCATGCACTCTGAGTCAGAATGATTGGCTAAGGACAACCCGGAAACTAATCCCATCACCACAAAACGGAGACTGCAAGCCATGAGACAGAGCAGTTCTCCTGGGTTCCCTTACCCCCCTGCTCTCCACCCGGGCGCCCTTTCCCAATAAAATCTCTTTCTTTGTCAGCAGATGTGTCTCCTCAGACAATTCATTTCCGAGTGTTAGAAAAGAGCCCAGTTTTGGGCCCTGGAAGGGGTCCCCCTTCCTGCAACACATTCATGTTATCATTCCCACCACCTGAGAATATGACCTTATTTGGAGATAGGGTCTCTGTAAAGGTAATCTAGTTAATGTGAAGTCCTTGAATTGGACTGTAATCCAGGAACAGGCATCCTTATAAAATGGGGCAGTGTGGGGACTCCCTTGACGGTCCAGGGGTTAAGACTCCACACTTTCAATGCAGGGGGAGCAGGTTCAGTCCATGGTCAGGCAATTAAGATCCAAGATGTGAAAGTTAAAGTCTCTCAGCTGTGTCCAACTCTTTGTAACCTGACAGACTATACAGTCCATGGAATTCTCCAGGCCAGAATACTGGAGTGGGTCACCATTCCCTTCTCCAGGGGATCTTCCCAACCCAGGGATTGAACCCAGGTCTCCCATATTGCAGGCGGATTCTTTACCAGCTTAGGTTATTATGGATATCTTTTGGTTTTCTCCCTGTGGTCCATGACCTTGGTCGTTCAGCCTCCTGAACTATGAGAATGCTCATTTGTTGTTTAAGCCACCCACTCTTGGCACTTTGTTATGGTGGGGCTCAAACAAACTAACAAAGGGCTGGAGGTCCTAGGACATGTACAAATGCAACGAGTCAACATTTCGTTACAGACCTGAGGGATAGTAACTGGAAGTCGGCTGAAGTGGAGGCTGGGGCTGGGGAGCGTGCTGGGGATCGTTCTGGGCAGAAGCAACCAGATCTGCATTCATGGATCATGTGCTCTTATTTTCTGTATTTTACGACGCTTTGACATCTTAAAAAGCTTGCTGGCCAGGAGAGACTGTCCCAGAGCTACCCAATTCATAGAGATAGCAAAGAGTTCAATTAACCCATGCAAACCAACCTATCCCAAGCTTAAAAACCTCACCTCTTCCTTATCTCACTCTCACACAGGAGTCAGTATTTCCTGTCCCCTAAATCACCCCAGGGCCAGCTACCAGGCAACTTGAGATAGTGAAGTCACTCAGTCAGACTCTTTGCAACTCCATGGAATGTAGCCCACCAGGCTACTCTGTCCACAGGATTTTCCAGGCAAGAGTACTGGAGTGGGTTGCCATTTCCTTCTCCAGGGGATCTTCCTGACCCAGGGATTGAATCCAGGTCTCCCGCATTGCAAGCAGATGCTTTACCGTCTGAGCCACCAGGGAAACCTGGAGATACCCCTATGGCAAAGCCTTCCAGAATTATTCCAACAAGCCAATCCTAAACCACTCACTCTGCTGTATCTTGCTTCTCCCATTAAAACATCAGTCAAGGTCTGGCTCAGGCTTTCCCCTCACTCCTGTCTTGTGCCACTTAACTAAAACCTGATGCTTTCCTTTGCCCCTGCATGGCATGCGGTGACCCTGCTCTGGGACCTGTGAGTATAATCAACTTTCTTCCGTCTTGTTCTCGTTTCCTTCTGTGGCTGCACCAACTTTACCATATGTACCCAACATTTATATTCTTAGGACACTGCAGGCTTGAAGGAGAGGGACAAGGGGAAGAAATGGGGAGAAAGGAGGAAGAATGTCCAACTCACCTCAGTGAGTGTTGAAGAGACAAATTATATACTTTTGGAAGAAATCTTCCTGTTAGGAGGTTCTAATGGTCAAGGAACCGACACTCCCAACAGGATCAGAGTGTCTGACCTGAGTGATGTCCGTCAGAGCTGGGAGGAATATCTGCCTCCTAGGAGCAAAGAAGAAGGATGAGCATTAAGCAAGGCTATTTTTTTAAGTTTTTTTTTTTTTTTTTGATGTGGATCATTTTTAAAATCATTATTAAATTTGTTACAATATTTTTGATTTTTTTTGTTTTTTTTTTTTGGCCTTGAGGTATATGGGATCTCAGCTCCCCGACCAGGGATCAAACCCATACCGCCTGCATTGGATGGTGAAGTCTTAACCACTGGATCACCGGGGAAGTCCCAGAGCCTTTGCTGGTAGCATTAATACCAGCTACCAGCTAATAGCTGAGAGGTCCTTATGACCCCAGGAACCTCTTCTAAATGGTTTAAAAACATTAACTCATTTACTATTTACAACAAGACTATGAAGTAGGTACAATTAATATTTACGTTTTACAGATTAGAAGTTAAACATGTCGCTTGTGATCTCACAGTTAAGTGTCAGAACATATATTCCCCAGCATTAAACTGTATATACATGGATTTACTACAAGACCAGAAAAGGCTAGGGACATGGGATTTCCTAGGTAGATGGGGCAGCGTGTGCAAACGCAGCAGTAAAAGAGGAGGAGGGAGATCTCAGTGTGTGGACTGTCTTAAAGCGCTGCTGGAGAAAATTCACAACTCTTTCTGAAAATATCCCAGCTTAGACAATAAAGGAGGATTAAGAAGTTTTGCTCCCACCAGGGTGCTGTCTCTGATCTTGCTGTTGCAAGTGTCTGTGGCAGAATGAAGTCTCTTATTAGAGTTGCTTCTAGGGCAATAAGGTAATACATACATCAGAGATAATAAAATAATACTAATACTTGTTATCATGGTATTATACGCCCAGTACAGCTTCTCTATGTCTGAATTATATGTTAACTTATTTATTACATTCAGCAACACTATGAGGAAAGGATAATTAGATTTGCATTTTACAGGTTCCAACAAATACAAGGGAATGGCTAACAAACGAAGTGTGAAAGATCTACTAGGCAAATAAAAGGAGTGTGGGGCACACTAGCATAAAAAGGTGGCAATGGTGGTCACAAAGGGGGCCTCATGGGCAATCATATTGCACAGAAGTACAAATCCACTCTTGCTGGAGAATCTGAAAATATTTTCACCTAAGTCAGTCACAGAAGCTTTGCATGTGAGTAATATATAAAATGCAGTAATGGGGGACTTCCCTGGTCGTCTCTTGGTTAAAACTCTCCATTCCAATGCAGGGGGCACTGGTTTGATCCCTGGTCGGGGAACAAAGGTCCCACACATCGTGAGGTATGGATAAAAATTAATAAAATAAAATGCAGTAATGAAGAAATTCTCAGTCACATTATTGATTGATAAAGCAAGTTGTAGAACAATAATACAACGTTCAGTAAGAATCCAGAAACTAAAGTCCAAAATATACATTTTTCTATGGGCACATGGCCAGGCACAGAAGTGAATAGAAAAAGATTTAGACAATGTGAAGAATGCTTAATTCCAGAAAGGGGAAAGAAGAGGGGACAGAATATAATGGCCAAATGGAACTTGACTCAAAAGGTTTTCTGGAAAAGTTTGCCTATTCTTTGTGCAATACTATTAACAATAAAAATTTTGTTTTGCCAAAGATACAATTTTGTTTTAGCTTTCACTCTTAGTCATCTACGCCAACCTCTAGAAGGTCAATGTCTGACTCCAGAAAAGAAATGCACCATTAAGGCATCGATGAGTGTAACAAAGAAAATGCCTTGAGGTAATTCCAAATGATAATAGACAAAGTAATTTCAACAGTGTAAAATTTTAAAGGTTGGTTCTGGGATTCCCGGGCAGCAAATTCGTCAGCTCCCCGAGGAGCTAGTTTACAGCTGCTGGGAACAGGGAGGTATTAAATAATATGAAGTTTACTTTCACAATTTTGTCTTTACGCTTTTATGTTTACAATCTTTGCTTACTAAGAGGAGTCATTCAAGACTTATTACAATGTTTTAAGTACTCATCTGAGCAATAAACTTATTCATTCACCCATTTAACTTGCAGGGTCTTCCTTATGAGGCAATGTGCAGACCATGGAGAAAAGAAATGATGGACCAGTTAGACATGAAGAGTTCTGCTTACTTGGGCAGGAAAGACCTAAATGGGGTCTGAGGGTCAGCGGGGGGCTTTAGCCTTCTCCAGGGCAGCGGGGAGAGGCTGCCGGGAGCGAAGGCTGCGATCAAGCGGGCGGGGGCGCACCCTGCCAGCCCTGCATCCCTGGCAGCTGCCCGAGGAGATGCCCACCTGGCCGCGAGCTCTAGAGCTGCTTCCACGTTGGACCAACCCTGCCCGCCATATTCGACGGGTAGGGGCGGGGCTTCAGCCAGGGCCCGCCCCCGACAGCGGAGCGCGGGAGGCCGAGGCGGGACTTCCGCCTCGCAAGGTGCCATTTCCGGATCCGGTGGCGATAGCTGCCGGGTTAGTTTAGAGCCGTGAGGCACTGGCGCGTGATTTGAGTTATGGCGCGCGCATCGCCGGGGATATTGGGGCGCAACTCGAGGCAGAAGGGCGAGGCAGAGGGCGACCTGGCGGGGACTGTGTCTGTGCCGCCTGTCATTGACTTCTCGGCTGAGAGCTCGGACCCCAAGCGTGATGGTGAGGGACCGGCCTGGGCATCTAGGTGGAAGGAGCAGCTCGTGGGTTTTGGAGAATGTGTGTTCAGTTCACTTCCGTTAACCTTTGAGTAGAAAAGCCATAACCGTCAGAAAATCCTCTCACCTTCACCAGGAAAATAAGAGGTGTCAGAGGAAGACTCTCCCATCCGGTTCAGAGTTAACTCTGATTTGGAAAATGACGCTCAGCGCAGGGCCCCTGGAGTCGTCTCCCAGGAGCCGAAACTGAAGGATCGAAGCTAACGGAAAAAAAATAACGGCTTTGGGTTACAGTTACCAAGAGCTGCCAACAAATAGGTCAATTCAGTTAATTCTCATGTAACCTTGTAAGGTTGGGTGAGGTGGGATCTTTACAAATGAAGAACTGAGACAGGTTAAATAATGCGTTTAAAAATCATAGCTACTAGTGGTGGGACTCCGTGTAAACAAACTGGATACGATGTTACTTAGCGAGTTATTTGTAATATTACCGGAGACGTCTGTTTCTCCCCCAGCTGGAGGCATGGCCAAATTATGGACTATCAAGTTACAAAATGCTATGTTACACTAAACATGGAAGTTGCTCAGGACGTAGTTCGGAGTGGAAAACAAAATGCAAGTTTTGCAGAAAATGTGTTTTTAGCCATTGTTTTTGCAAAACCAAACCCTTTTAAAACAATGCTGTTCTATTGTAGTACGCACTTATCTATGTAACTGAATAAAGACTGGAATAATATACACTAAACCGACAACTGTGTAGGGCAGGGAAGGGGGAGGCATAGGGATTTAAGAGAGTTATGGTAGAACAGAACTTTATTCTTACAAAGTTTAGTAATTGGAGAAATAAAATCTGCCTGATGGTGTGAGGATATAAGGGTTACGATAATATGGACTTAAAAATAAAGGTTCTCGGGGGCCTCCAAAAGGACATTAAAAGTCATTTTTAACAGTGCAGTATTTCATTAGTCTCACGGAGCTTTGAAAAAAAAAGAAAGTTACCTCAAAACTGCCCTCGTTCTGCATTACATGGCTTATATTGGATGGAAACTAAGAGGCGTCAAGTAAAATTAGATATCTTTTCAAATATGCATCCTGATATTTTCAGTTGAAATATTTTATAGCTTAACTTTATAAAATGGTGATTATTATTTATATAGTTATTCATTTTTAATATTAACAACTCACTGAAATCATATCTGACTAGCCCTATATAAAAATTGTTAAAAACACTTAACATCTCTTGCATGTTGCACTGGGATTGACGCCCCATAACTTAGAGAAGTCCAGGGATTGAAGTGGGAGTGACACTCTTAATGGCCAGTATTCACGTTAAATCACCATTTCAAGTGTGTCTGTTGACAAAAGGAATATCAAGAAACGATTTTGGCTTGAGGATCCTTTAGTAATTGACCTTGTTTGGGGAAGTAAAGAGGAAAGCAGAAATAGATGTGCTTACCAGACAGGTCTGTTCATCTGGGACTTGTCATCCCACAATGGCAAGACCAGATCGAGTGAGGGTTCTAATCCTGATGACATCACAGCTGTTGCCTGGTAGCCAGGCAGATCAACAGAATCTTCAGAAGGCATTACCTTAGGCTGTTCCTTACCCTGATAAGAGGCTGGAAATCTAGTTAAGCATGTGTATTTATTATTGCTGTGTAATAAATTACCCCCCAAGCAAGCATTTTTTTCCCACACTTTCTGAGGGTCAGGCATCTGAGAGCAGCAAAGCTCGGTGGTCCTAGCTCAGTCTCTCCTAAGGTTGCTGTCCAGCCATTGTCCTGCTGCAGACATTTTAGGGTTCTAGGGAAGAAGACTCTGCTCTGAGCATACTTCCATGTTGGCAGGTTCAGATCCTCATCGCCTGGGCCTCTCTCACAACATGGCGTTGTGTTTCCCCCAGAAGGAGGGATGAGGGAGAGAAAGCAAGGTGGGAGTCAAGGCATCTTTTAAACTTAATCTCAGACCCCTTAGACCATCAGTTCTCCATATGCTAACCATCATACAAACGAACCTTAGTACACTGTGAGTGGGAGCTTGGAAAGGGTGTGAAGACCAGTCGGCAGAGATCCATGGGGGCCATCTGGAAGGCTAGCTATCAAGGTGTCACACCCTGGGTCAGACTCATGCTCCCTGAGCATTGCTAGATACCTACAGGTGGCTGGACCTGTTAGAGTGAAAACAGAGGAATTAGAGACAAACTCGAGAAGATTGGATCCCAGTGTGTAACTTGGACAATTCCTTACCATGAGATGAATAAGTAGTTATGAAAGATGGTAAAATGGATCCAACCCCCAGTTTTACACAGTACACTAAGCACCTTATTAGTGACCTTATATACTGAAATATCTGTTTATTGATCCATCAAACAGTATCTTCTAACTCCCTACCACAGAGATGAGAAATTTATATCTCCTCCCATCTCATTACCTGCAAACATGCATGGATGGACCACTAATTCTATTAAGGTTTATAGCACTTTACCTTCTCTTTGGTAATCATCATTATTGATGTAACAGGATAATTGATAAATGTAGCTACTGGGGACATCCTCTGATGGTACTGATCTGTCTTTCCCAATAGGTGACAAAATCCATGAGAATATCAATGTGAAGTTTTCACATTAGGGTGCTTAGTGATGGGGAAGGTGAGGGAAAGAATGGGTAGGCATTTGTGCATACACACATGTACACACACATCCAGACGCATACAAACACACGCCTACTCTTCCAAAAAGAGGGGGCCTTCCTCAGGGATGCCAGCCCCCACTTTGAGATCCCCACCCCTGGCATGAAGAAATTTCCATCTCTTTAGAAAGTTTTGTCTTCGCTTCACCAAGAGGAGAAAGCTATACTGTACATGCAGTATACGTGGAGAAGGTGGGTGCAGACCCTCTGTGTAGCCAATGGCCACCAGTTGTTGAGTCACTAAGGTTTCTGTCCCGCTCCTTGTCTGACTCTGTCCCTGCTCTGGAAGCTGTGACCTCAGGAACCATCGCCGCTCTGGCCCCCTCTCATGAACGCTGAAGTCATGAGTCTTAGTCATCTGTGTGGTCCCATAGACTGCTGCGAGAGTGATGAGTGAAGACCGCAAAGGAACCCTGGGGCAGCTCTTGAAAGCCCTGTGGGCCTTACAGAGGAATCTAAATTTTGTTCTCACAAGGCCTAACCGATTCTCCAGCCACTCATGCTTCCTTTCTCCTCTCCTGGCCTCTTTGAAATGAACTAAATTCATTCCTACCCTGGGTGTTTGTACTTTCTTTCTGTCTCAGGATACCTCCTAGGTCTTAATATCGATGATGATTTTTTTTCTTTTTAAAGAAACATACATACAAAGTGTGCGTGTATGATCAGTTGCTCAGTCACATCTGACTCTGCGACCCTATGGACTGTAGCCCACCAGGCTCCTCTGTCCATGGGATTCTCCAGGCAAGAGTGGGTTGCCATGCCCTCCTCCAGGGGATCTTCCCAACCCAGGGATTGAACCTCTCCTGTGTTGCAGGTAGATTCTCTACTGCTGAGCCACTCAGCAGTAAAGCCTACAGGTACAAAGTACCCTTTATATTTTATTTCATTTTATTTAAAAATATTTATTTGGCTGTGCCAGGTGTTCATTGTGGCATGCAACTTCTACCTCTAACTAGTGAAATTTGTGCATCTTCTCCTATTATGGGCATTACGGGATTCCTTTTTGGTTACCGATATGTTTAGTATTGCATGTTTATCTGTATCATGTTTCTTTTTTTTTTTTTTAATTAATTTGTAGGCAGCCTTGATATATTCTGGCCTCTCCTTGTGGCTCAACTGGTAAAAGAATCAGTCTGCAATGCAGGAGACCTGGGTTTGATCTCTGGGTTGGGAAGCTTCCCTGGAGAAGGGAAAGGCTACCCACTCCAGTATTCTGGCCTGGAGAATCCCTACAGTCCATGTGGTCGCAAAGAGTCGGACACGACTGAGTGACTTCCATTTTCACTTCAGATATATCCTGGATATGGAATAAAAATTGACTCATGTTTTAGACTTGGACAAATGGGTGGATTATGTGCTATTTTTATGGGAAAAAAATAGATGGAGGAGAGTATAAAAGTGTTAGGAGGAACATTAAGAGTTCACTTTCAGACAAGTTTGAGAAGCTTTTAAGCCATCTGAGAGAACAAGTCTGTGTTGCAGAGATACATTTGGGAGTTGTCAGGTTACTGGTGGTGTGTAAACTGATAGTGATGCACGTGGTTATCTCCTGAGAATTTGGGGTGACATGACAAGAGCCCTACAAAATTACACATTTGGAGAAGGAGGATCCAGAAAGAGATAACGAGATGCTGCTGCTGCTGCTGCTAAGTCGCTTCAGTCGTCTCCGACTCTGTGCGACCCCATAGACGGCAGCCCACCAGGCTCCCCCGTCCCTGGGACGCTCCAGGCAAGAACACGAGTGGGTTGCCATTTCCTTCTCCAATGCATTAAAGGGAAAAGTGAAAGTGAAGGCGCTCAGTCGTGTCCGACTCTTAGCAATCCCGTGGACTGCAGCCCACCAGGCTCCTTCGTCCGTGGGATTCTCCAGGCAAGAGTACTGGAGTGGGGTGCTCTTGCCTTCTCCAGATACTAAGATGAAGGACGAGTGAAACAGAGAACTAGAATTGTGTGATATTGCGGAAGCCAAGAGAGGAACGTGTACCCCCCCACCCCCAATTTTGGCCTGTGTGTGGTTTCACTGCACGGTTGTACCCTAACTGCTCTTCTATTTGGAATTTGGATTTCAATGCTTTTCCATTATAAACTATACCTTGGTGGAGATATATATATATATATATACGTATACATATATATATTTGGCTTTTTTTTCTTTTGGTGGACATTCTTGTATTTATCTTTTTTTCAGCACTCTATTTGCTTTGGTTTTACACCTATATATAGGTAGAAGTGTGTGCCTAATTAAAAGCTTTTAACTATAAATTTCCTGTCATTTTCTCGAAAGGTTGCCTTCATTATATTCCCACCAGAATGAGTTTGCTTTTTTTCTCTATTCTGGTGGTGGTTGAAAAAAGTGGTGAGAACCGGATAATGCATACCAACATTTTTAATGGTTGCCAAGTGTGCCACTGTATTGATGTTCATCATTTATCTAACCAATTATATTGTCCTGTTGCGGGTATCATAATTAGTGTTGCAATTAATACTTTTTAAGCTAAAACTTCTTGCTCAGTCTTAACCTGCTCCTTAGGATAAATTCCCAAAAGTGGAATTAATGAATCAGAAGTATTTGCATTTTTAAAGCTCTGCACATTTATTTATAGGTAAATCACCCTCCTGAAAGGCTATGCCTGGTCCATCAGCAGGGCATGGAAAGGCTAATCCCTAGTCCCTGGAAGTTATTTGAAGAACTACCTCCTTAATTGCTTCCACCAGGGTGAATACACCAGTAGCCTATAAGGAAGTCTTGTTCAAATACATTTTTTTTAAAAGAGCAGATTAAAAAGAATTCATGTGGGATCTTATTTCCCTGACCGGGAATCAAACCCTCACCCTGACACATTGGAAGGGTGGAGTCTTAACCACTGGACCGCCAGGGAAGTCCCTCAAATGCAGTTCTTAAACAATACCATTTTTGCACGCGGCACTGGGGTTGAGCACACAAATCTGAAAGGAATTTTTTTTTTTTTTGGCTGCGCCAGGCCCCTTGTGGAATCTTAGTCGCGACCAGGGATTGAATTTAGGCCATGGCAGTGAAAGCACCAAGTCCTTAACCATTGGACCGCTAGGAAACTGCCTGATTGGCTTTTTATTCCAGCTCTGTTATCTGATCTGCGGTCTAAGAATTAACTTCCAACAGCATGGCGCCGGCGACCAAGTCATCAGAAACATCGGAGAGCAAAGTGGAGTTTTGCAGCCAGTGGCTTCAAACCACCTTTGTTGATCCGGTGTGGCCATGGGATCACTTCGAAAAGGCTGTCTAGGTTTGAAATTACCTCAGTTGAAAGTTGTCTCAAAACCAGCGGAAAATTTATTAGGTTGATTCACTCTGGAATCTAGCTGGCATTTCCCGTTTTGCGGTGATCTAACGGTTCACCCAAACAGGTTCAGTTCCCGTTGAGACGAATCCTGTAGATGCCTCCGATTTTTCTAAAAAACAAAACAAAAACAAATGACAAAGTCACCGACGTGTCCGCAAAAAGTAAACATTTGGATCAGAGTCCCTGCAGACGCCGGATTCTTAGACTAGCACCGGAGTCCTGGCAGGAGATGGGAGAGCGCTGACTAGGTAGCTGGGTGATTCAGGTCTCGAGGGCAGTGGAGCCGGACCGCGGGGAGCGCAGGCCCGGGTCAAAACCGGCGTTGCGGCGGGGGATCCCGCCACCGCCACAGCCTTGCGAGGACCAGCCCACCTGGCGCCGGCACTAGGGATGCGCCGGCGCCGGACCAGCCAATCCTCCTCTCCACGGAAGCGGGGCAAGGCCCCGAGACGGGGCGTGGACTGAGACGGCGTCGCCCGGGGCGGGGGCGAGGCAGGTCTTCCGCCTTCCGGGGGCTACTTCCGGATCCGGTGGCGACCGCTGGAAGGGCCGAGTGCGGCCGCGGCAAGCTGGCTGGCTGGAGGGCTGGCTGACAGGCGTTCCGCGCGCGCGCCCGGCGATGCTGGGGGGCGTCTCTGGGGCCGCGGAGCGCGAGGCGGAGGGCGACGCGGCGGGGGCTGTGCCCGCGCCGCCCGCCATCGACTTCCCCGCCGAGGGCTCGGACGCCAAGTATGATGGTGAGGAACACGGAATGCGGCGGCCTTCCCCGCCCCCGTCCACCTTCTTTCTCGGGGCCGGCAGGTGGCTGCGAGGTTCAGCCCAGGACCTGGACAAGTTGGGCTGGATCCGGGCTTGAACAGGACCCAGCGGTGCAGTGTCGGGGGCTGGCGGGCAGTCTGGATTAGGAGAGCTCGTATTGAGATAGTTGTCTACAACCCGTTCGATCGTTTCCCTTTCTGCTCCGCTGTTTTCCTCTGCGGCCTCGGGGCTGCAGACGCGCCAGGCTGTTTTCCAGCTCCTGAGCCCCGCGGCTCAGGTGATGGGCTTGAGCCTGGCAAACTAGTCGAGTGCAACTTGGCAGACCCGGTGCGCTGAGCAGGTTGGGTTGAGTTTTCATTGGTGTCTTCTCTGTCTTCTGCTTTACTTTCGCGTAGCTGGAGTTCTCAGTGAAACAGTAAGGACATCATCCTCTTCTGTTAAGGAAGAAACCGAAGTTTTCTGGAAGCTTTTGGTTACTAGGAGATAGGGGCGTAAGTTCGTCAAGTGGTTCACAAAGCGAGGGGTGCATATAACATTGAGTCTAACCAGTTCAAAATATCTAATATGTTAATGAAAGTGCAGTGGGTTCTTCAGTGGTAACCAGTTGTTTTGGCAGTTTTTTCTTTGTTCTTGAACATCGGGGTGATACCAGGAACTTTTCTAGAATTGCAGGTGTCAGAAGGGAGGGTGGTTTTGTGTGGACTGTTTACGTTGTAACATTTGTAATTGCCTGAGCCCTTGCAGACATCAACAGAAGGATTTGTAGTGATCATGACAGCGGTATAATTTTGAGCAGAACTAAGATTAAATAGGGGCCCAAATGCACCGTATGATAGGTAGTATTTGTTTGCTCTATTTAGATATTGGATAACTATAAAAATAGTTAAATACTTTAAAAGTTTAAGTTCCTCAGTAAATATATTGATGGTGATAGTATAGGTATCGCTATTCTGTAATCCAGTAGCAAAAAATATCCCAAATGCTCAGACTGTATATTTTTTAGTGAACACTTTGAAAAAAATTGAAGTATAGTTAATTTACAGTGTTGTGTTAATTTCCAGTGTACAGCAAAGTGGCTCAGCCATACACACACACGTATGTATATTCTTTTCCATTATAGGTTGTTACAAGATATTGAGTATAATTTCTCATGCTGTAAAGTAGGTCCTTGTTTATATATAGTAGGGTTTATGGCCATTTTAAAAATTGTGCCATAAATGAATGCATCATTGATTCAGGAAGGTTTTTACTTTGTGGTAGTTCAAATAGAGTGATTATAGAGAATATACATTAAGTTGAAGCCTGAAACAAATAATAACATGTTGCAGAGGATTTAAAGGTGCAAGCTGAGTTGAAAAGGTCTTAATTTATTTCATAAATTCTTCAATTTTCACCCATATTACTACCTACCATTCTTGACAAGGAGAAACAAAGGAGACTGTGATAGTGATTTAGGTAGGCTCTTAGCATAGGACAGTTGTAAGATAACTATTTTTTAAAGAAAAAACTGATTTTTCCCCACATGTATCATATTCTAAGAGCTTGGTAATCCGTAAAACGTTATGTCAAAGCCCCTGCTGTAAACAGGCACGTCTGTCCTGTAACAGTGTGATAAGGTTTCCTGCACACTGAAGATTATTCTTGAAGGGAGTGATCTTCGATAAGCCTCTAAAAACTTCCTTCTCCTTTGGTTACTCATGATACTGCTGTATTTACATATTGCCGTTTCTTTCACAGAGAAGAAAAGAGAAGCCCAGAATGTCCAGACGTACACTGTCTTTTTATATGAAAGGTTAGATCTGTGAGAAACCCTAGTTTCATTTCTTGATGTAAAAACAGAATTGGTAGATGACTTCTCAGCGAGTGTCTGTGTTGATGTGAGGAGGTTACCATGCCCAGCAGTGGCAGCGTTAGAAAAGTCACAGTCTGTATGTAGCCAACGCCTGTGTCCTTTACAGCTCATTTAGTAGGGATTCTCCTCCAACCAGCATCATCAGTCTTTGGTCAAAGTTTTTGCATGTTTTTTCCCCGCCGCAGTGGAAAAGCTCGCATTAGAAGGAGGGCCAACAGTAAGCCTATTGTCAGGCTCATTAATTTTTCTTCCCTTATCTGACACAGGTATTTCTGAATTTTTACCTCTGATTAATCCTTCACATTCTTTAATTTGGATCATACTTTCCTCAGGAGGTTGAATCAGATGATTCCTTTCCTGTTTGTCTTACTCCCCTCTTACTTGGCAGAATTCAGAACTCTAATTCACACTGGGCCTGGATATTATTTCTTACTCTTTTATGGGAGAACTTGACCTCATCTTTCCTTTCAGCCCCTTACCTCTTCCTTTTCTCTGGACCATAACTGTGAAGTGAGAGACTTTCAGCCTTCACCTTCATTTCCTGTCAGTTTTACTCCTTGTGTTTGCGTGTCTGTCCATCATCATTTTTTTTTTTAAATTTTTTACCATCTTCTTTTTAAAGTTGTCACTTTCTTATTAGGTTCAGTTGACTCTGCTGAGCAACCATTTTTTTTTTTTAATTAAAAAGTAGAATTTTCTTATCATAGAGGATAGGAATAAGGGTATATAGAAGCAGAAAACACTCCTAAAAAAAAAAAAAAATCTCACAACTGTTGGCAATTCAGTACTTAAAAAAATTTTTTTCACATTATAGAATATGTTGAAAAGGTAGAGACGTCTGAAGAAGAAACTAAAAAAGCCATGATCTCATCCCCAGAGGTTACTGTTTGTAATTTCCATTTACAAGCAGTACGTTTTGGTTTAGCTAGGGACAACTTTTTGGGTGAATTTTGCATTTAAAATATTTGTCAAAGAAAGGTATTCTGAATAGATTAAAGATTTCTATCAGAGTATGATAGAAACATTGTCTGAATAGGATAAAAATTTAGAGAAAGCATTGGAAAATTTAAAGGCATAAAGGAAAGAGAGGGGAAGGTTCCCTTTACTCCCGTCTCTGAGGAGACCTCACTGCTAAAAACTTGGTGTTTTTATTTGTAGTATTTCCTGAAAGGTGCTATATACCAGGTAGATGCCTAGATACTAGTGGTCAAACAGGCAGACTATAAAACTGCTGCTCACTGTAATTTCACTGTGTAGTTTCTGTCGATGTGTCATTGAAAACACAGGGGGGCAGAGATTTTTGGCTGTTTTGATCTTTCTATTCTTTTTGTGTATATAGATCAATATAGCTATAAAATAAATATATTTTAAAATTGTGATCATAGTAGTCTGATAAGTAGGTTGCTTTTTAAATGTGAACTTATATTATTATCATTTTCTTGTGATAAATTAGCCTTTAAGAATGTTATTTTAAGATGATCACATTCTGTACTGTCATTTATTTAATCTTTGCTGTTGTTGGAAAACAAGATTGTCTTTTTTTTTGTTGTTAACCATTAGGTATAATACAGGGTTTGACCTCTACTTGATATCTGTATTCATAAATCTTTGTTAATACATGATTATTTCTTTAGAATAGATCGTGGAAGTGGGGTTTGTTTGGTCAAAGAAAACATTTTTTTAAAAGTTTTGATGTGTTTTGCTAAAGTGGTGACCAGAAAGGTGTGTTGGTTTGTATGAAACTGTCTTGCCTCACCTTCATTAGCGTTACTAATTTATGTAGCTAATAAATTAGTTACTAATTTATGTTCTGCTTCTTTTTGTTTTTTAAAATTTTTGCTTGAGTATAGTTGATTTACCAGGTTGTTTTAGTTTCAGGTGTACCACAAATGGATTCAGTGATACATGTACAGATACTCATTCTTTTCAGACTCTTTCCCCGCGTAGATTATTGCAGAATATTGAGTAGAGCGCCCTGTGCTGCACCGTGGGTCCTCATTGCTCCGCCTGCTTCTTTGACTTGCTACATTGTTATTTATGGTTATCTTTCTGTATAGGGTCATTTATTGACACAACAGCTACATAGTATTCTATGTATATAACTTAACAAATTTTCAGTACTTTAAGGTGTTGCCCAGGTAGGTCACCTTGGACATATGTATTTGGTGTGCTTTCTTTATTTCCTTGGTTTATCTTTCCAAAAGTAGAATTGCTGGGTTATGGTTTGCACATTTGAAATTCTACAGTGTATTGCCAAAGGTTGTAGACACTTACCCCCTTGGGTTTGAAGGTGTCTATAGTTTTCTGTGCTCTTAACCATACCAAGGATTCCAGACTTTAATTACCAATCTGTGGTTGCCAAGGGGAAGGGTTTGTGGGAGGAATGAAGTGGTAGGTTTGGGTTAGCAGAGAAGCTTTTACATATAGAGTGAATAAACAAAGTCCTTCTGTATCACACAGAAGAACTGTATTCAATATGCTGTAATAAACCATAATGAAAAAGAATGTTAAAAAATATATATGTGTATATATAACTAAGTCACTTTGCTGTGTAGCAGTGATGAATCCAACATTGTAAATCACTATACTTCAATGACAATAAATTTTTAAAAAGTTGTCAATCTGATGGCACTGTTTCCAAACTCTAGTACTGTGGTTATTTTACTGTTTATGTGTTACACATCATCTAAGGTCCTCCGTTTCATAATATGTATGTACTACTTACTAGCTATGTTAAGCTTTTTTGAATTTTTACTGTGCTTCATTTTCTTACTAGCGTGTAAGCGCTCTGTATAAATATTGTCGCCTTTTCTTTCTTGACACATAGAGTACAGATTACTGTGTCTGATTTTGTGGTTCATGTTTTAACTTGAAGATACCTTTGTCTAGAGATGTTTTTACATGGCACATTTTCCATTCTTTTTCTTTCTCATACTCAGATAATAAAATGAATGGCACATCACCATTCATGCAGGTCTTTTTTGAGCCCACCTACAGGTCAGAGAAGAAATTGGTGAATGAACTCTCAATGTGAAAAACCTCAGCTCTTCCAGGACCTTCAGTGGTTTATAGAGAAGCTTGGAGCAGAGTGTGGAACGGGAACAATTTTGTTAATAGAAGGTGTAGGGTACAATGGGCCCTTTTCTGCTGAGTATTTCCAGCTGATTGGGTCAGTAGCTTTTGAGAGTTTGAAGTGCCTCATCTTTCCTCCAGCAGCTCCTCTCACCAGGTTTCACTCTCATTAACCTCTCCTTCCCACTCCTAGTATTTGAATCCTGGCTAGTCCATTTCTTTCTTATTATCTCTGGGACTTGTTCTTTCCTCCACGTTTCTTCACTTAATTCCTCTACTAGGCTTATCCTGACTTGGTGTTGATGTTTGCCTGTCTCCTTCCAGGCTCCCCGTCACATGTCCGGAACAGTTTCCTCACTGTTTCCTGCATTGTGTTTTTGACCTATTAAGTGATGTGTTTAATAAACGGTGCATGAGAACTTAGGACTTTCTGCTCTAAGTGCCAACTCAGCTGCTGGCTTGATCTTGTTTCGTAGAAGGAGGATAGGCTTGGGAGTCTGTCTGAGATGCCTGCTTACTTGTCTCTCCGCCTCTCAGTGCAGCGTCTGCATCTGTAAAATGGGAATGGTCACATGGGGTTTGTCCTCACGTGAGGACTCACGAGGACTAAAAGATCTTGCATATAAAACACGTGGTCCAGACGTATGTAGCACACAGTCAGCACAAAGGTTCCATCCTTCCTCCTTTTCCTTTTCTTCACGGCCAGAATTCTGGTACCTCTGGTCGGAAGGAAGCCTGTTCCTGCTTGTTTGCTTGCTGAAATATTTATTTCCCATTTATTCATTTCTACCTTTGCACACATCATCACTTACCAAAACTTCCTCCTTGCCTGCAGTGGCATCTTTCTGCTAGTGCTTCCAGACTTGCCGATTTCAACTCAAAGCTCAATTCCAGATACTCTGTCTTGATTAACTCCAGTCACCTAATGTTTTGCTTTTTATTTCCTTAAATTTAAGTAGAGTCTTTTACTAATTAGCATATGCTTTTTCTTTCGTTGTGAGACATGCTTGTTGTTGTTCAGTCTGTAAGTTGTGTCCGACTTTGTGTGATCCCATGGACTGCAGCATGCCAGGATTCCCTGTCCTTCGCTGTCTCCTGGAGTTTGTTCAAACTCATGTCCATCGAGTTGGTGATGCCATCCAACTGTCTCATTCTCTGTCGCCCCCTTCTCCTCCTGCCCTCAGTATTTCCCAACTTCAGGATCTTTTCCAATGAGTTAGCATTGGATGGTCTTCCCAACAGGTGGGCAGAGTATTGGAACTTCAACTTCAGCATCAGCCCTTGCAGTGAACATTCAGGGTTAATTTCCTTTTGGATTGACTGGTTTACCATTTCTTAATTTTTTTTTCCTGTTTTCACTTGCAGAATCTGATGTTCCCGCAGAACTCCAGGTGCTGAAAGGACCCCTGCAGCAGCCCACCTTCCCTTTTGCAGTTGCCAACCAACTGTTGCTGGTTTCTCTGCTGGAGCACCTGAGCCATGTGCACGAGCCAAACCCACTTCGTTCCAGACAGGTGTTTAAATGTTAGTAAGAATGAATTAACTTTGCTAAATAAAACTTGTACAGATTCTATGTTGTTTAATGCCATGGGTCTGAGAGGCAGCCTGTGTCTAAAAATTTGAAATAAACCTTGATAATACATCTTGTAAATTTATTTTGTATTTTCCTTTGGGTAATTCCTTATGAATGTCATCGCTGGGAACCCCAAAAAAGATTAATCACCATAAAATTGTGTGTATCTGAATAAATAAAAGGTAGGTCTTTTTGATTTACAATGTGATAATTCACATAGTTTTTGAAGATCTGTTATGGTTTAGTTGGTGAGCAGATACATGAAAATCCCAGGTACTGATTCTGAACCTGTTCTTGACCAAAACCCTGAAACAGTTGTGACCAGTTGTGTTGACCCTCCAGCTGGGTGTCTTACAGTTCACTCCTGGCACTGTTTCCCTGAAGTTCGAGTCAGCTCCTGCAGTTGAAAGGCTTAGTCCACAAGATTGTCCTCATTTCAGTTGCCAGTTGGAAGCAGGAGGTCCCTGGGTGCTTGGGTTACCCATGCTTGTGGCTGTCTTGGTTCCAAATTGGGGGTTCCTGTTGCCCCTCAGATTTGAGAATTTGCTGTGACAGCTCACAGCGCTCAGGGAGACATTTTATTGCTGGCCTTTCTAATGATTGTTTTCCATGTTCTTCTTACAGTGCTTTGTCAGACCTTTATCAAAATGGGACTACTGTCGTCCTTCACCTGCAGCGATGAGTTCAGCTCGTTGCGGCTACATCACAACAGAGCTATTACGCATTTGATGAGGTCAGCTAAGGAGAGAGTTCGCCAGGTAAGCACTGGAAAATAAATGTACTCGGTGTGTGACAAAAAACATCCTAATTTTAAGAGAATTATATTTTAAAGCATTATGAAGATCTGATTATAACATGGTTTTTTTTTAATATATGTAACAGGTTTAATATTAACTTTGTTTATTCAACAGATATTTATCGAATGTGTTAGGCTATCTTGTAGGAGCTGGGGTTCAGGTAGTGAACAAAATAAATTCCCTGCCCTCAGGGAGCTTATGTTCTGATGAGGAAGCAGTAAACAATAGAAAAAGAGAAACACACGGGGTGTTAGTTGGTGGTGTTAAGAAGAAACATAAAGGAGTAGAGGGCTTAGAAAATGCTAGGAGGCGCTGTGTGAACTCTACATAGCGTATTGGAGTGGGCCTTGCTGAGATGAGAGGCAGGAGCCGAAGTTGAGGACTGAGCCATGCAGAGGGGTCTCAGCCTGGTCTTTGGGTGGCAAGAATATAGTTTATTCATCAGTGATCTTTCAGGGAGAAATCTCTTTAATTGCAAACTCTTAAGTGATATCAAAAAAGACATTGGATGGGTGGGTGTATTTTTTTAAATGTTAATTTGAGCATTAGGGAGTAGTAATACAGCATTGAATTTTGGTAGATTCCTTATTCCATGAAATTTTCAAAATGTTTTTTAAAAAATAATTTTTTGATTTTAGGGTCCTTGTGAGGATAATTCTCATATCCAGAAGATCAGGTATGTGTTGAATACTTTTATGACTATGTAAGAGGTAAACTGATCCAAAAGAAATCAGTATTGAGAAGTAATCCTGAATTAATCAGAAATTAGTATTGGGATTAAAAATAATGTAGTTAAGGTAGTTCATGAAAGTTAAAAGCTTTGTAAGATTTTTCATTCTCTTTTTGACCCCCTCCCCCAATTCCTTCTGTAAGCCTCGCCCTTAATTCAGAGCACTGACATCCAGTCCCTGTCAGGGGAACACCACTGAATTTCAACTTCATGTAGGAAATGCTAGTTTAAAACCTGTAATTGAAAAAAAAAAACAAAAAACCTGTAATTGTTCTGAATCATTAAGAAATTTAAGTAAATTTGTTGCTGAACTCAACTAGTCACCTGCTGCCTGTTAGTCATCTTTAGAATTCCTGTTTTAAAACAATAACAATTTCTAATTGGAATACTAATTGCTGGTAAAATACTTAAAATTAGGTTAACGATCCCCTTGCTATCTGTTATGCTATTGATTTGCTTATTAGCAGATGCTTTCTTCATAGAGAATGAAGAATTTCATTTTAGCTCATCCTTTCCAAATCATTCCAGCTTAGTGATAAACGAGGTTTCCCAGGACAGTAATACAGTGAGCATGACCTATCTTAGAATGTTGTGGTTCTCTCATGTTTTGGCATTGATTGATTGGTTATGTTTAATTTTCAGAGCAAGGGAAGTAGCCTTTGAAGCACAGACCTCACGTTACTTAAATGAATTTGAAGAGCTAGCCGTCTTAGGAAAAGGTGGATATGGAAGAGTATACAAGGTGGTTTTCCACACATTTGTTCTGACTTTCTACTCTAAACAACGTATTGTATTTGAAGATGTTTTCATTGTCATTTAAAGTGCTCAAAGGAAATTTCCAGAAATCGTGTGTTTTCTTTTATTAAGATTTGTCATTGTTAAGGACGTGGGCAGGTTTTGTTTTTCCTAACCATGTTGGTTATTTAGGGGGAGTCCGGAACCCTTCTGAGTTTTGTTCTATGGTTAATTTTTATTTAAAAATGAATTACTTGAAACATTTATGCTACTGTGTTTTTCATAGAGCTTTTCTGTAAATATTCCCATTCTTCAAACATAGAGCTTCTAGGAGTTGGACTCTCCGCCCAACTCTCAGAACCACAACATTCTCAGTACTTGAAAAAAATTTTAGTCTGGCTGACTATGGCTGACTTCCCTAAATGTAGTTAAGAGGACTCACGTCTGTAGTGTAATTTTATCTCTTTGACTAGTTTGGATTATCTAAGGTCAAGTTGAAAAGAACTGTCTTTATTCAGTTGGGATTTAATGGTATAGTTTACTTTGTCTTTTCATCTGCTTTTTAGGTCAGGAATAAATTAGATGGTCAGTACTATGCAATTAAAAAAATCCTGATTAAGGGTGCAACTAAAACAGATTGCATGAAGGTATGATTTAAAACATTTACTTATTTTGAATAATTGAGTATTTAGGTCCTTTTGAAAGAGTTTGTGTGTGTGTGTGTGTGTGTGTGTGTGTGTATTTGGCAAATAGTAGGTTGTATGGATTAACAATTTACTAAGAATGCGTTACAGTAAAATAAACATCAGGACTTAATTTTTTTATAGGCACTTCAGATTGACCACATTTCTGGGTCATTGCTGGGGAAGTTAATTTTTTAAGTAAACTATTTATATATAATATGTAACAGGTTTGTTAGGAAAAACACAGATGCTTAATTCAGGTCCAGCTCCTCCCTGACATGCTGGGTGGTCCTGAGCAAATGACCTAGTCCTCTAAGCCACTCTGTCTCTTGCCCTTGAAATAGTGGTGACAAGTATGGTTTATTTACCTTGGAGGGCTGGACTTAACTTGTAGGAATGAAGTGAGAGAATGATTATGTATGAACCATGAGAAGTGTAAAGTACCATATGCATGTAAGGTTTTTAGTTGCTAAACAACTGCATTTTTCTCCCACAAAAGTACTCCCATTTTAAGATCGTTTAGATTCCTCGAACAGAGGGAGCAGGTCATATGTGACCCATAACCATGGAACAGATTTGTCAGTAGAAGTCGGCTCTGAGTATGTGTCTTCTCCAGGTGCTGCGGGAGGTGAAGGTGCTGGCCGGCCTTCAGCATCCCAACATCGTTGGCTATCACACGGCCTGGATAGAGCACGTCCACGTGGTCCGCAGGCAAGGTGAGCAGCTTTGGAAGGCACAGTTGGAGGGCTGGGGAATTTTGGCCTACGGGCCTGCCTCTCTCGCACATCCCACAAGCTGATATATTTTTTTTTTAAAGAGTTAGAAGGAATCAAAGGAAGAATATTTTGTAAGGATTATGTGAAATTCAAATTTCATTGCCAATAAGAAAAGTGTGTGAGAACCCAGCCTCACAGGAGTGCATCCTCCCCCGCTGCTTTGGCACTCCACAGCAGAGTGGCACGGGGCAGCGGAGCCCCCTGGGGCCCACAGAGCCTGAAATGTTTACTGTGGGTCCTGCCCCGTGAGTTCACTGGGCCCTTGTATAGGTGAACAGCTCTGTGTTTATCTGTCCTAAAACCCACCAGTCATTTGACTAAGCTCGATGTATTTGCATTTTACCAGAAGGTCATGACGTTTTTATCTTGTAATCTCATTTGGTATTAGTTACATATCTTAGCACTGCCTTTGACTATAAATTAGAAAACTGAGCAGCTTTGAAGACTCTTTTTTTTCTCTTCAGCAGATAGACTTTCTCTCCAGTTGCCACCCCTGGAAGTGATCTCCGACCAGAAAGACCCCAGGTACGTGTGGGCTGCTGCGTCTTTTCATGCAGTAGACCTTAACGTCCTGTCACCTCCTTGGGTTGCCTTTTGCAACCAAGGAGCTCAGGAGTGTTTTAGACTTTCTTCTTCTTCTTTTTTTCTTCTTCTTCTTATTTTTATTACAAAATGTTAAACTGTCTTCTTTCTCCTCTCAAGTGTTTCCTGTCAGTATTTTTAAGTAATTACTACTGCTAGACAGATTGGCTGTCTTTTTTTGTTAGTTTACCAGTAACATATACATACAGCCTGGAAGGAACAGTTGAGGTAGTACTCTTGACCTTTTTTTACATTGATTTTTATCTTTACTTTTTTTCCCCCCTGCAGTGCTCATTATGAGGTTAAAAGTGATGGAAGTAACAGCTCATCCATTATTTTTGCCGAATTCACCTCAGAAGAAGAAAAATCCTTAGGAGAACCTGGTGTTGAAGACAATCAGAATAATGGATTGGTGAACTACAGCTCCAGTGTAGTCGCCAGAGATGCTGGTGACTTCGAATCCTCACTTGAGCTCCGCGAAAGTGATGTGGCTGATGGGTCTTCTAGACCCATTGTTGGGCGTCGGCTGCCGCTTCGGCATAACTCTGAACCGGAGGAGAACTTCGCATCCACTGAGGAATCTTCTGAAGAAAACCTCAACATGTTGGGGCAGACAGAGGTAGGTGCCTTTCCCAGGACCTGCCGATCTGCTGTTTCCCGGTGGTGATGGCATGGAGCCCTGCGGTTCCACGCCGGGCTGGAGGCCCCCTTCCTGGGCTGGCTCCCTCCTTGGCTTCTCCTCCGCATCTCTCCCGTAGCCCTCCTGCACTCGTGGTCTGTGTCATTCCTCGTGTCCCCCCTCACCCGCGGCCCTGGTGTTTGGCCTCCCCTCCTTCCCTCAGTTAACGCGCGCCCTTTCCTGACCTCCTTCCCCGGGCCCGTTCCTTCTCTAGACGTTTCATATATATACCTCGGGGTGGAAAGTATCATGCACACTGTTTTTGTGGTATGTTAGCTTCCTACTCTGAAAATATATTTATGGAGAAAGATTTTCTGTCTTTTGGAATCTGACTTTAGAAGACTGTCCTACAGGGTCTTATTACACTAGTTAGGATTCCACTGATAATGCTTGTGAGACCCCCACGTGCTCTCACCTTCACTGAGTAACATTAACAGGGTATACCTATAATCTGTCGTGTTGGGATCATAAAACTTTATAGACACTATCCGTATATTCACGTAGAATTAATTCTGGCTGTCCAGGAACACGAGGCTCTGTGCATGTGTTTTTGACGAAGCACAAAATTTGGAGTAGGTCCCCCTGAATTTTAAAGGAGTTGAGTGTGAGGGACTTTTCATCAGAAATCCTTTCATTGCTCTGTAATACATTTGAAAGTCTTTCTGAATGGGCTGCAGTGAGCTTAATTATTGCTTACTTTTTTCTTAGACAAATGGTTAATTTCCGTTCCACTGAAGTCAGACAAAGCAGATGCACACTCTGGGGTATCCATAGAGTGGTGGAATACCATGCAGTCGGTCCGATACTCTGTCTTAGCTTTAAAAACTGTATCTCGAGAGCCGACTAAGCAGCTTTGGGCCCACAGCCTCTGTTACATTTGAGAGCTTCTTCCATTTGTCACCTACCTAAGCCCAGCCGGGCCTGCCCTCCGCCACTCAGTGATGACATCCCGTCTTCGGTATTGCTTTATTCCTCCCATCGCCTTCACTGGACTTCGGGCTTCTTGGGTAGGCCTGCCTGTCCGAACGCTCTGCCCACAGCCCATAGCCCAGCGCTCGGCCCCGAGCAGGCGGGGCAGCCTTTGAGCGCATCTGCAGATGGGCGCCTGCTCCGTGTCGCCCCCTAGGTGCAGTACCGCCTGATGCTGCACATCCAGATGCAGCTGTGCGAGCTCTCGCTGTGGGACTGGATCGCGGAGAGAGACGGGCGGGGCCGGCGGAGCGCGGAGGAGTCCGCCTGTGAGTACCGGGCTGTCCCAGGGCCCGGCCAGGGGGGACAGGCCGGCAGAGCGTCTGCTCCGGATGCTTGAGACTGGGGCGGAAGAGAAAACCACAGTTTTAAAAGCAAGTAGATTGTTTGGAAGTCACTGAGATGGTAAAGAATCTGCCTGCAGTGTGGGAGCCCCGGGTTCGGTCCCTGGGTCAGGAGGATCCCCTGGAGAAGGGAATGGCAAGCCACTCCCGTTTTCTCGCCTGGGGAATTCCATGGACAGATTAGCCTGGCGGGCCGTAGTCCGCAAGGTCGCCAGGAGGTGGACACGATGGAGGGAGGAGCATTCACTGCCGTAGACACACAGTTTGCTAATACGTGAGAGTGATACGGCGGCTCAGACGGTAAAGGACCCGCTCACAGTGCGGGGGCCCTGGGTGTGATCCCCGAGTTGGGTGGATCCCCTGGAGAAGGGCGTGGCGACCACTTCAGTGTTCCCGCCTGGACGGTCCCCGTGGGCAGAGGAGCCTGGTGGGCTGTAGTCCGTGGGGTCACAGAGCGTCGGACACGACTGAGTGACCAAGCACACAGCACCGGAGTAACATGCTAGAATTTAGGTTAGGGATTGTAGGTGGAAAAGGTCTTCAAAATGTTTTCAAGGGAAAAAATTTAAATATTTTATTTTAGCTTTTTAGCCTGAAAATGTGACACTTTTACAACAAGAAACCTTGAAAGAAACCCTTACAGAAGGGTATGTAGTCAGAAGTTTGTCTCCCTCAAGATCCAGAGAACCCCACCGCCCCTGCAGTTCTAGCATATCCTCCAGAAATAACTCCGTTAGGTTGATGTTTGTAAAATGTTACCACACTGGTTCTCAACTCAGGCTGCACATTGAAGTGACCTGGGGAACTTTTCAAAAACATGTCGATAAAAAAGAATAACTCTGCAGTGGGAGAAACCTGACAGACACCCCCTAAGCTCGCAGCCAGGGTCAACGTCAGCACTGATAACTCATGTCGCCACTATGTGCCCTTGAGAAGAGCTGAGGAGAAGGGCAGCGTATCTCTGTGGTCTTCCTCCCCAGAGCCCATAACCCCAGTCTAATCACGAGATAAACACAGACAGGTCCCAGTTGAAGGACATTCTACAAAACACCTGACCAGTACTTCTCAAAACTGTCAAGGTCTTCATAAACAGGAAAAGTCTGAGACCAGAGGACCCTCGAGAGGCATGACAACTAATTGTAATGTGGTGTCCTGGATGGAGTCCTGGAACAGAAAAAGGACACTAGGTAAAAACTAGGGAAGTCTGAATAACCCATGGACTCTTAGCAGGATCGATGCACTAACTGTGTCAAATGTACCGGACTGATGTAGGGGTTGACAACAGGGAAGCTGGGTGTGGGGTAAGTGGGCACTGTCTCCTCAGTTTGTCCATCTAAGACTGTTTTTTCTTAAAAATGAAATCCTTTTTAAAAAGGATGTTGTCTGAACCCACAGCAATAACTTTTATATAATTGGTCTTGGTTAGGGCTTGGCCTTTGGTCTATTTTGTGAAAGTTCTCTTGTTGATCCTAACGTGTGGCCAAAGTTGAAATTCACTATTATAATAGATTATCAAAATAAGGGATGTGAACAACTTGATTTTAGGCAAAAGACTCAACTAAGTATAGCTAGTCATTTGCTGTTCACTCCTAATGACACTGGGACGCTTTATTTGGACGAAAACACGGGTTAGTTGGCCCACTCAGAATCTTAAGACTGGCTTCCAGCAGAGAGGAACATGTAACGTCTCTCTCCAGCAGCGCCTCAGTGTCCCCCTGTCGCCCAGGAAACCAGAACGGGCCAGACTTGGCTCAGCTCAGTCATGGTCGGCGGTGCCTGGGGCATCCTGAGGGCCCCGCCGTTGTGCGTGCCCTTGTCCTGCTGCGTGTCCATTGCGGTGCTGTGCGCGCGTCTTTGTGGGAGGATCTGGCTCGCCCCAGCCCTGCGAGCGGTGGACGCCGCAGCTTCCGCCTGGGGAGTGAGCCCTCAAGGAAGCGCTGAAGATCTGGCCGGCGTCACTGTGTCACGCGTTAGTGTGTCTGCAACCGCGCTCGTTACGTTCTGATGTTAATGAGTGAAGAACTGTTAGAAAAGTGAAACTTTTTTCTTTTTTTTTAACTTCAAGGTCCTTATGTTATGGCCAGTGTTGCAACAAAAATTTTTCAGGAATTGGTGGAAGGTGTATTTTACATACATAACATGGGAATTGTACACAGAGATCTGAAGGTAAGTGGGGGAGATTCAATCATTGACAGCTGCTTACTGGGATGCCTTGGGTATCAGCTCATTGAATTAAATGAGACTGTGTACCTTTGTTCATTTACCTCGGAGGTTATCATTACATTTATATCACATAAGTCCTCATTCCATAGGTCTGGAACATGAAAACTTGAAGTAAAATTTAAAAGGAATAATCTTTGGGCCTTCGAAAAGTCTAGCTTATTTCAGGTGTTAATACTGAGGGTGCTCTAAGTACTAATATAACTCATTTTGCTAAAGATATTTCATGCTGACAAAAATACTCATTTTTTTTTCCGCCTTGGAGGTAAAATCTGGTTCTATAATTATTCCTCTTAAAGGAAATTTAACATGGGAATTTTTTTCTGCTGTTTTAAAAAACTGCAGTAACTATGCCAATTTTTTATAAAAGACTGTCAAAAGAGAAAACGGAATTCACTAGTGGTACAGTGGTTAGGACTCCATGCTTTCACTGCCAGGGGCAAGGGTCCAGTCCCTGGCTGGGGAACTGAGATCTCACAAGCTGCTTGGTGCGGTGAGAAAAAGAGGAAAAAACACCTACTGCTCTGGGTGCCTAGTTGCTCGGTCGTGGCTGACCCTTTTGCAGCCCCTTGGACTACACACAGCCCACCGGGCTCCTCCTCTGTCCCTGGGATTCCACAGGCAAGAATACCGGAGTGGGTAGCCATGTCCTCCACCAGGGGATCTTCCCGACCCAGGGCTCGAACCCCTGTCTCCTGCGTTTCCTGCATTGCAGGCAGATTCTTTACCTGCCGGGCCATTGGAGAAGCCCTCCTTTTTTGGCAGAGTTTGAAATTAATTTACTTAGCTTTTGGGGGAAAATGAGAAATCCTGGAAAATGCTTTTAAAAGACTTTTAGGAAGAAGTTACTGTGCAAATCACTTTATTTTTTTGAAAAGCTTTAAGAACCAGTAGTTTGTACATTTGTATAAGGTGACGGTGTAGGTGTTTCTGGGTACATGTCTAGCCAGAAAGGGTAGTGAGTCACTGGAGCTCTGGCCCTGTGCAGCTTGGAGGTCTTATTTCAGGAGATGAGCTAAGTCGTGATAACCATAGACAGAATTCCAGATCTTCCCCGGGAGAATTCGCTTCAAGAGCTGTTTGTGCTTCTCCCCGTAACTATTTCTGACACTTCTTTTACAGATGTCTTCCAGGGATAAGGGCTCCTGAGATAGCTTTAGGAGGGTTTCCCTTAGGAGGTGGAATTCTGGGAGCAGGATTCCTGCAGGCAGGTTTCCTTGGTGGTTGGTCAGCCTCAGAGGGTAAGAGTGGAGGAGCAACCTGGCGAGAAGGGCCGTGTCTCGTATGTTGGAGCCACGCTGGAGGTACATGTATATCGGAGACTCCCCGTTTCTTGTTAAGATGTTCACGTTGGCTTCAAATTTGAGCAGGAGGTTGATGATCGCCTCCCTGCCTCCGAAACATGCCTCATGGATGGCGGCCTGACCGTCGTGGTCCTGGGCGTTGACCTGGGCCCCGTGGACCAGGAGCAGGCGAATGCAGCCAAGGCCTGCTGCCAGTAGCCGGCCGGCCTTGCTTGATGCGGTGCACACCGCCAGCTTCAGGGCCGTGTTGCCCGTGGATGAGATGGCGCAGTTGACGTTGGCCCCCCAGGCAATCAGTGTTTCCATCATCTCCTCGTTGAGTTTGTCGGCAGCCATGTGCAGGGGTGTCATGCTGGACCCGTTCTGGGCGTTGACCTGGGCCCCGTTCTGCGCCAGGATGGACAGGACCAGGTGGGTCCCGTACATGGTGGCCAGGTGGAGCGGGCAGTGCCTGCGGCCGCTGTCCACCTGCGCATTCACCTGGGCCCCATGCGTGCACAGGATGCGGAGGCAGAGGGCGGCGTTGCTCTGGATGTCCGTCAGCATCATCTGGATCTTGTCCTTCGGCTTCGTCCATGTGGTTGAAGTGATGGGCCAGTTCAGCAGCATCAGGTGCAGGGTGGTGAGGCCTTCCGTGTCCCTGGAATAGGCATTTGGGGCAGGTTACACTCAGCTCACAGTGGGGATGGCTTGGCGGGGTGAGCTTCGGCTTATGAAGGAAATGATTACGATAGTACCCTGTGATTACCCGAAAGATGGGTTCGACAGTCTGCATTGCTCTTTAGTTTCTTGGAGTATCACAGCATTCTGAGGGGACAGGGTGGTATGCCTCACAGCACAGAGGGGCCCATCTTCCTGTCACAGCTTGTGTCAGCTGCAACTCCTGCTAGATTCGTGGCCTCTTCCAGGCTGCATCTCAGTTACCTCTGTGTCCCAGCCCCTCCCCAGGGGAGTGTGCAAAGTTAGCAGCCATTCAGTAAAACTGCCTGGACTCCTGCATGATCCAGAGGTTCCCACCGAAGTGAGCCATGAAGGGCCAGGGTGCCCGCCGACTCAGTCCCTGGTGGCCCCACGCCTGCTCCTCTAACTGGATGTTTTCACCCACGTGCAGATGGCGGGGGCTGCCTCTGGAGTCACCCTCAGAACCTGTTCCACCCTGGCCAAGCAAGGGTTTGACAACTCAGCCTTCATCTCCGTTACTGAAGTCTCTCCTGATTGCCTTCAGAACTCCTTGATTTTGGCAGAGAAAGGGGAAGGTCTCTTAGGAACATCTGACCACTCCCCTGGAATTGGATAACTGAGTTCAGCTGTGTGAATTTAGCGTAAGCCCTGCAACAGGAAAGTGGGGAAATAGCAGTGTCTCCACCTTGCAGAGCTTCCAGTGAAATGTGGAAGGATCAAGCCGACAGAGCTGCTAAACAGGCTGGTGGGCAGAGTTCTCCAGAGGTCTGCCGCCCCACCCAAGGCGAGGAAGGTGTACCAAGGAGTCCCAGCGGAGGGGTGGCGGAGCTGATGCTCCTCCAGTCCTGGGAGGCCTGTGAGCGGCTCTGCAGACCCTGGTGGGGCTCACGGGGGAGGGTGACGGCACGATGTGTTGGGGGCCCTTCTGGAGCACCGTCAGGATTTGGGGCTTTACTTTTCGTTTATACCGTGTACGTCTTCCGTTCGTTCAGATGGTATTTATAGGACACTTAGGAAGAATCAGCCTTGGTTTAGTGGTGAAGATATATTGGGAAGCAGGATAAACTTCTTTCCAAGAAAATCTCTGCCTGTTTCTATTTTCTTGTCCCTCCTGTCTAACTTAAGTCATTAAACTCCTTGAGGGCTGTGACCAGGGACTTCACTTTGCACAAACCATGGCTGAGCACTTAGTACTTAGGACGCTTTAAGTGGGCTGAGTTGTGTTCTCACATTAGTTCCAGTTTTTCAGACGCTGTCTAGTCAGTAAAGAAATTGATTTGTTCAAAACGTGGTAACCTGTAGCCCATCACTGGTGGAGAATGGATGAGTCCAGACGTGACCGGGGAAAGGACACTGAAGTCCTGCGTGTCCTCATTTATTCATATTTTCAGAACTGCGGCCTGTTGCGTTAACTTACCGGACTTCTGGGTCAGCCCCGTGCTCCAGCAAACAAAGCAGACTCTGTGCCTTGTGGTATTTGGCTGCCAGGTGGATGGGGATGAAGGACAGCGTCTCCTTGGGGGGAGAAATATGTTACAAGTAGCCCAGTGTAGTTGGAAATAACAGTTGTGTTAATCCCCCTCAAAGGGATTAATTATGTTTAGTATCTCTTTAATTCAGTATTTTTCTGCTATCTGCACTGAAATTATGCTTTTTTTTGCTTGTTTTAAATGACCCCAAGCTAGTCAATTCTGTATTATAAAAATCTGTATTTTACATTAATGCAGATTTACCAAGGCAGCAGATACAATTTACTTAAAGCTTTGAAAGTCATTTCTTGTGATGAGCACATTGTATAGAATGGTAATTGCTATCAAGTCCCTTCAAATTTAAATGAACCCAGAGGGTCATTGCCAAGTAGGTTCTGTGTTTTTTATGGCTTTGCCGTATCATTTTGGTATCATTAGTAAATTCTGCATTTTCAGGGTTTCCAAGTTAATGCCGCTTGTCTATGATTAGCAGAGCTGTTTACCCAAGTTCTTAAAAAAGATGTATGTAGTGGCCTTATAGCATGACTGCAAGATTAGGGCAGAGGGTGACTTTAAAAAAAAATTACAAAGGTAATAATACTCATTGTATAAAAATTCAGAGAATGAAAAAAGTATGTGCAAGAAAGGGAGACGGGACCCCAGCACACAGATGTAGCCTTGGCGCACTTGAGAGGATGACAGGAAGGCTCTTCCAGCCGGGCGAGCCCCGCCCCTGGTCACACCGCTTCCTGCGTGGTCCCTGGGAAGGGGGTGTCGCGACTCGGCAGAACGCGACCTGGGGCGCACTGCCCGGCCTGGGGCATGCTGAGGGCGCTGAGTGAGCGGGCAGGGGAGGCGAGTACCTGGTTGAGGCAGAGCCTGGAGTGGCCCATGCTACAACCCGTGTTGTCGACTGGGACCGTCACGGGCTGGTTGACGGGGTGGCTCCTCAGCAGGGCCCGGAGCGCGGCGCAGTCCTGCTGCATGATGGCCTCACAGAGCTGGATGTGCGCCGTGGCCGCCGGGCCGCCCCCTGGGGCCTGGGGCCCGTCGGCCGCCCGCCCCTTGCTGCCTCTCTTGGTTATGTTTCCCATGAGCACAGCTTCCAGTGGGGAACTTAGGGATTCAGGGGAGGTGCAGGACGGAATCGTCAGTCCCACTTTCTGGGGTTCTTCCAGCTCAGTTCTAGAACTGACCTAGAACTGCTGAGAATTGTATCCATGAACACGACGCATTTTTACCTCAGAGTCCAACTTTTTCACCTGTTGTTCCTGTATCTGTTGTGCCAATAGAAGCATTGTTTCCAGGATTTTCTCTTCAGTCATAAAAACGTATTCAGAATGTCATCTTGTACATAAGATTGTTTTTTCTGTTTTCTCTTCCCATTCAGCTACTGTTAAAGAAAACTGATGAAGCTAAAATAGGGGAATTTATACATTCAAATAAAACTTTTTTTTTTTTTTTGTCCAGGCCATGAGGCCTGTGGGATCTTTGTTTCCCAGTCAGGGATTGAACCCGTGTCCCCTTCGGTGGAAGCTCAGATTCCTAACCATCAGGGAAGCCTCCAAACAAATGACTGTGTTGAAATTAAGAAAACCTGACTTTTAACCTGAGCATTTTTCAGTTTTCAGTGGAATTCCTCCTGCCTCCAGCAGAGGGGTATTTTCACACTGGTCTAGGGGTAGCTCCAAGGTAGACGTGTTGGATCTGTAGTGATTGCTTCGACAGAGCAAAATGTGTATGTTCAGAGTGTGGCCCGGTCCTTCCCAGCCCTGGCTGACACAGGAGACATCTGGGAGCTGTTAAAAAAAAGACCAGTTTTCTTTTTTTTTTTTTATTAAGAAAAGAAAAATCAACAGCTTTGACTTGTTGAAAGGATAGTAGTTTTTTAAAAGCTTCTCAGTGATTCTGAGGTCTCAGCAGGGCCAAGGTGCGCTTGTATACAAGCATGCTCTGTTAGAAGCTGGGGACTTGAAACCAATGTCAGTGCCCATGCCTACCCCCGAAAATTGGGTTAGTCCAGGGAGCGGCTTGGACACTGAGGTTTGTTTCAGGTTCCTCGGTGAAGTGCGGCCGAGTTTGAGAGCCACTGTTCTCATTGTTAATTCATGAAGGGCTGCTGACTCCTGAGTTGAGAAGTCTCAACATCTCATTTTCACTGTTCGTTTTAGAACACCAGGGAATTGACTTATTGTGTTTGTTTACAGCCCAGGAATATTTTCCTTCATGGCCCTGATCAGCAAGTAAAAATAGGAGACTTTGGCCTGGCCTGTGCAGACATCATCCAGAAGAACACAGACTGGGGCGGTGCAAATGGGGCGAGTAAGTTTGTTTTGGTGGTGGTTTTTGTTGGTTTGTTTTTACATTAAAAAGAGAGAGACACAGTTGGACACTGTCAGTATTTAAAGAGAATCATAAAGACTTAATAGCAAAGGTGCGATTTTAAAAAACAGCTTGGGAGCTGCAGTGTCTGCTCAGGGTCAGGGGTCTTCACGTGGATGGTACTAACCCTGCCAGGCTTCATCTTTGACTTTTCAAATCACAGGGACGCCAACACACACCTCCAGAGTGGGTACGTGTCTGTACGCTTCCCCCGAACAACTGGAGGGATCCGAGTATGATGCCAAGGTAGGACTGGTTCCCTTTTACCCAGTTTGTGGGTTTACCCGTAGTCGGAAGTAACAGAAAGTACAGTAAATGCAGGGGATGCTCTGACATCCAGGTGATTCTGGAGATGGTGGAGTGAGGTAGGTAGATCTTCTCTCACATCAAACAGCCACAGTGGGAAAGCCTCACTTTCTAACTGCATCATTGGAAAAGACCCTGATGCTGGGAAAGATGGAGGGCAGGAGGAAAAGGGGGTGACAGAGGGTGCGATGGTTGGATGGCATCATCGATTCAATGGACATGAGTTTGAGCAAACTCTGGGAGACAGTGAAGGACAGGGAAACCTGGTGTGCTGCAATTCATGGGGTCGCACGGAGTTGGACATGACATAGCGAGTCAACAACTGTTTTCAAGGGTTTCATAGATGTCACTGTGTATTTCACTACTCAATGACCGTCTCCCCTGTTTTCCAGTCAGATATGTATAGCTTGGGCGTGATCCTGCTGGAGCTCTTTCAGCCATTTGAGACAGAAATGGAGCGAGCACATGTTTTAACAGGTTTGAGGATTGGACAGATCCCCGAGGCCCTCGGTAAAAGGTGTCCCGTCCAAGCCAAGTACATCCAGCACTTAACCAGAAAGAACTCAGCCCAGAGGCCATCCGCCATCCAGCTGCTGCAGAGTGAGCTCTTCCAAAACTCTGGAAATGTATGTAGGACTTATTTAATACTGGGGAAAACAGGAAGTTCAACATGGAGTTGTTTTGTTTTCTTCCCCATGGCAAAAACAAGTTTATTGAAGAAAGAACAAAGAGTACCTCAAGAAAGAGGTGGGCCAAGCCAAGAGAGGCACTGGCCAGACGCGGTTTAAGTTGTGAATCCCATTTCATGAAGGGCAGTTGAGCTTACAGTAGGGTTACAGAAACGAAATATCTCAACCCGTTCTCAGAGTTTGCAGGGGTGCACTTATCAGGCAAGCCAGGTGACCCTGCCAGCTGTCCACGCTGAAGGTGGTCACCTGGGGCTCCAGTTTCGAGCCTCATCCTGCTGTCAGAAGGTTTTGGTTTTCCTTTCCAGCCATGGTATGTGGCCTTTTATGAATTGTTAGAAAGTGAGTACTGGTAGAAGGGCTTCCCAGGTGGCATAGTGATAAAGAATCCACCTGCTGTGCAGGAGACAGTGGTTCGATCCCTGGGTCGGGAAGACGGCCTGGAGGAGGAAATGGTAACCCTCTCCAGTAGTCTTGCCTGGAGAATCCCATGGACAGAGGAGCCTGGTGGGCTGCAGACCATGGGGCTGCAAAGAACCGGACACAACTGGGTGCATAGCAGAAAGGCGCACACACCAGGGGATCCAGGACAGCAGGGACGCCCAGGGGAGCCGGCCCGTCTGTGGCCGGGCCCTCCTTAACCAGCCTGAGAGAGCTCAGCGTTCGGGTGCGGGAATCTGGCCTTCTCTCCCGTGAGCAGGTGTTGCCCCAGGCAGCCCCTCCCCGCCCTCCTTCCCGACTCGGTGTTTCACTACCGTGTATGAACAGAAACTTTCCAAGATTTAAAAAAGTCTGCATTCAGAGAGAAACTCAGGTTCTCTGGTGCTTTGCTACTCAGAGTAGGTCCTCCGGCCAGCAGCAGCAGCCTCACCTGGGAGCTCGTTAGAAACAGGGGCTCTGGGGCTCTATGCCCCCGACCTGTGTCGTAACAAGGTCTCTGAGGGTCTTCCCCCCGCAGCGTGTGGGCAGCAGTGTGCGAACGTGCTGCTTCCGGGGAGCAGTCTCCAGACCAGTGGGTAAAAATCACCTCCAACTTCATAGAATTCTTGGAGCCCCCTCCCTCCCCCACTGGCCTGTTAAAAACGAAACCTGCGGGAGAAGGGGCTGCCGTGCTTCTACAGGCCCTCCGAGGGGTTCTGAGGCTCACGAGTTGGGGACCCACTGGCAGCTGGTTAGTTAGTTTATCTCCTGTTTAAGGCTTATTTGTTTTTGAGTCAAAACAGGGAATTTTACTAGATTGAATGGTAAACAGGCAGGTGTAGTGCCTTTCTCTGAGCCTCTGAAAAGAGCAGATGTGGTTGTTAACTTGATCTCCTCATGTGGCAAGAATTTTCTAACTCCCCGTGAGGGTGGTGAGTGGAGACCATCGTTACTTGGCATTAATGGTAAGGATTTCTCCTGGTAGCACTTGCCCACAGGAAGCCCCACACAGACACCTCTGTTTACACCCGTGGCCCTCACTCTGCAGTGCAGGGCTGCGAAGATGACCCGAGCTCACAGTGTACGGAAGGAGCTTAATCATTGACGGGAATAAGCCAGCAGTTACTCCTTGGCCTTTAAAAACGTTTGTCAAAACATTTAAAACTCTCGCATCATCTAGTTACAGATGTATATGGACATGAAAAGTTATAAAACTACAACGGAGAGTTAAAGTGTTTCAGTAGTTTGAACAGTGCCGGCCTTCATCTTGTCCCGTAATCTAGGATACAAGAGTGAGCACCTTTCACACGGTGGCTGGCCACCCTGCTTGCTGGGTTTGCATCAGCTTCCGGCATTTTGTCTTGGGCACTTTTGATGCTGGAATCTGTCCCCAAGGGTTCTTTCCTGGGGACATCTGTGTCCTCTTCCTGTTTGATAAGCTGCCCTCACTCTGTGCTGGATGGTGGGCGCGATCTGCAGCCCCAGCATCAGCTGTTCTGTCTGGGACGCCGCGGGTTTGGTTTTCACTTCCAGCACCGTCCCTTCTCATTGCTCAGCTGCACTTTCATCTCTGTTGGCCGATTCCCTCTTTCAGAAAGGTCAGTGGGTTTATCACTGGGAGACAGGAGGCAGCACGGCTGCGCGCACACTGCCGGTGCATGAATCGACTCACACGCTCGGTGACCAGCCACCAGGGCTTTCCAGAAAAGTGAGCACTGCCCCCGATCAGGAGACGCGTGGTGGGTCACATCGCATGCTGTGGACTTGCAGCGCTCAGTCAGTCAGTCACTCTACCCGGGTAACTGACGCGCGACCACGTGGCCGTGACGCGTAGTAAGCTGCGGGAACTGGAGTCCACGTGGGTCAGGACTGCGCAGAGAGGCAGCCTGTATGTTTCAAAGGAGAGAAGAACCTGAGGCAATGGAGCTTAAAACTTTCTCTCTTCACAGGTTAATCTCACCCTACAGATGAAGATACTCGAGCAAGAGAAAGAAATTCAGGAACTAAGGAAGCAGCTAAGTCTCCTGTCTCAGAACAAAGGGGTGAAGGGAGACATGAGAGATGGGGGCGTGCCCATCTAGCCGCAAGGGCTCTATACACAGGGAAGTGGACTTGAACTCTGCTAACCGAAGCAGTCACCTGGAGTGTGAATTTCCCATCTTTACTTGGACTTGAACTCTTCAACCTAAGCAGTCACCTGGAGTGTGAATTCTCGACCTTTACTCAGGTGTAGCTGGTGTAACTCCAAGTGTATGTGGAAATCCTCTACAGGGCTCATCGAAGTGAGGTTCTGACAGTGCCTTCTAAGGCTGGCATTTTGCACGAAGTTGGCTTCAGACGAACCCTGCTCTCGTCTTTCCTCTGCCCTGTGTGCTCCTTTCCCTGGATTTCTCACCTTAATGGCCCCATCCCTCCAGCCCCTGACCGTGAAATGCAGGCCTGCTCCTCAGCACTTCTGAGCGCTGCCTGCCGACCGCATCCTCCTCTAGAGTGTTCTGCCGCAGAGACGCGGTGTGCTCTGAACCTCTGCCGGAGCCCAGGCTCGTGTGCTCGCTGGGCTGTTGGGTGGACAGCTGCCAGCCCCCCCACCCTCCACACTACTGCCTACTCACTATGAGATGTCAGCCGGCGGCATGGTGCACGTCACCCAGCCTGCTCCTGTTCTCTTCACCTTCGCCCGGGCACCACCCCAAAATCCACCCTCTCAAAGCCCCCAAACCATTGTCGGGCGGCTGTGCGCTCAGCGTCCCTGCCTTTGCCCTGCGTGGTTCCCACGGGCTTTCTCCTCACAGACCCGCGTCCCCCAAACCTACATTCCTCAAGGCAGCCATGTGACATTCATGTTTGCACCCCAACGTGCCCGCCGTGTTGCCGGCAGCTGTCATGGTATATCTATCGCACACAGTGTCCATGGATTTTAAATAAAATGAAAACCACAAGTTAATTATGTGATGCTTTTATTGATACTTGACCCTTGGCCTAAATAAAGGCTTTGATTTTAGTACGAGTCCCTTTACCAATAATAGGCATGAAGCAGCACCATTCTTAAAATCAAAACCCTTGAAGATCAGCGGCCGAGCTTCACTGAAGGAGCTTGAGGGCCGTGTGGAAAGCGGCCAGGTTTTCACAGGCCTGCATCCACTTCTGCACGTTGGCCGGCACCGTCCCCCCACAGCCCCCCGTCTGCCGGAGCACAGACCACAGCACCACATCGGCCACCGTGAGCTCGTCCCCCACGAGCCAGGGGGTCTTCCCGAGGGCAGAGTTCATGGAGCGGAACACGGCGGCCTTCTCTTTAGTGCTGCCCTCTTTCAGCTGAAAAATAGCTATATCCACCCAGCTATCTATGAGGGTTAAGTTCACAGCATCCTGCTTCTGGCCAAAGAGCGAGAACAGGAAGCGGGCGATGTTCCCTTCCCCTTCAATGGGACACATCGTCTGGACGCTGAACTTCATCTGCGTCTTTGGCACTGAAAGGAATAAACACCACGAGACATCAGCAAGGGCGGCACTGCCGGAGGAAGTGTTTGTGCAGCGTGGCATTGGGGGGTGGGGGGGTGGGGGGGTCCCTGTCAGTCATGCACCCGGTGGTACTTAAAAGGTTGATAATATTTAAGAAAGTTCAAACCAGGTTAAAGAGTGCCAACTATGTTATCAAGTAACCATTTCTGGTATTTGATGATGACAGCATTCAAGCTGGAAGGACCTCCGACCGTCTGTTCCCGCCCCTGTAACCCAGGATCTGGCGATAAGGACCGGGAACCAGGGGTCTCGTGTACCAGTGAGACCTGGCCCTGACTCTTGGGGCTCACGGGATGAATGTGAGCTCACGTCCCTCTAGGAGCCTGACGGAGAGGCCCCTGCAGGGGATACTGAACAAATGACACCCTGCCATCCTTTATCAGGTCACATCTATTAGGAGAGAACGCTAGTTCGCATCATGACAGGCTTTGGAACGTGCCAGCGGCCACTCCCCTGCTCTGGCTGGGTGGACTGGCCTCCCCCCTGGACTGAGAGTCAGGACCTGCGCCTTCCCGGAGGATGGAGCGCATCTCCGGGTGAGGATGCCCCCGCCCCTGCAGAGCCCTCACGGGCTTCTCAGACTCGGGGAGGGTTAGACCTGAGGGCGGACGGCCGAGGACCCCCCCCCACTCACCGTCCTTCCAGATGAGGGTGAAGCCCAGCTGGTACTCGTGGCGGGGCCGCTGCCTCGTCTGCTCGCCGAAGCACCGGAGGAGGTTGGCCGGCACGCCCCGGACGGCCGAGTGCGTGTGCACCGAGGACAGGACCCGGAAGCGGTCGCACAGCAGCCGGTGCAGCACGAGCAGGGACAGCGGTGGCCAGGCAGGGCTGGCGTTGATCACGATGTCCTTCAACGCCCCGTGGTCCTGGGCAGCGGCAGAGCGCCACGGGAGTCAGAACCCGACCGGGCTTAGCTCGGGCGGGCGTCGCCTCCCGAAGGCGCTGCTGTCAGCCCAGCCTCAGCGGAGGCGGGGAGGGGGCCCCCGAGGGCTCCCAGCTTGCTGAGAACCGGGGACACGAGCGACTCTAGTCCCTCCAGCTCTGCCCGGACACTCCCACAAACAGAAGTGACTTTACCGTCAAGTCAGTAGGTAGGAAAGACACTTCTGTTTTTCCCCAAGTTACAAAAACAATTACACATGCAATTACTCCTTTTACTAAACTGAATGCCCAAAAGGATACAGTTTCTACAGCAATTTGGTTTATGTGCCAATGAGGAGCCCCTTGGGGCTTCCCAGGTGGCTTGCGGTAAAGAATCCACCTGCCAATGCAGGAGACTCAAGAGACATGGGTTCGAGCCCTGGGTTGGAAGGATCCTTTGGAGTAGGAAATGGCAGACCCCTCAGTATTCTTGCCTGGGAAATTTCACGGACAGAGGAGCCTGGTGGGCTACAGTCCATGGGTCGCAGAGCTGGACACGACTGAGCGAGCAGAGCACAAGAGCCCCGAGGAGAGGGCTTGGCTGAGGGAGACTGAATTACAGTGCTGAAATGCACGGCCTTTTTGTTTTCTAAACGTAATCACAGTTGATTTATGACCTGCGCTGCCCTTTCAGACGAAGACTATCTTGTTTCATAACGGGTGAACTCGTCCGATACAGCAGAGGCCGAACGGCTTGACTTCTGTCCACAGCCCTGCCACAATCTGGCCTCTGGTCTGGTCTGGCCAAGCCACTCCTGACTAATGCCCTTCACGTGGACCTAGGCTGGGTGCTCTCCATTTCTCCAAGCATATCGTGTTACCTGACCCTGCCTTCTGCAGTATCAAGATTCGTCTGAAGCAGTGTGCCTGGGGAGGCCCCTCCGGCCCTGGGACACCCAACACGGCTGTGCTCACCGATTTACCCCCTACGCAGACTGGCTCCCAGGGGACTGGCTGGGTGGGGTCTCATGCAAATGTGAACTGGGTGACGAAGGGACATGTGACTGCAGAGGGATGCATGTTTTCAAAAATAGCTCTGGGCGAGACACTGCAGCGCTGCCTCACTTGTTAGGTTTTCGAGCAGGACCATTTCTACCGGCAATTCTCGGCGTGGTGCTAGCGGGGATTCTTAGGGCGAACCCTTTAGTACTCACTTGTTAACAAGACGTTCTTTCTCTGCGTATCAAATTATCACCTAAATCAGCTGCAGCAACTGAATTTTAACAGAGCAAATGGATTTAAGCAAAGTATGTCTGAGGTCTGAGACAGTGACTTGCTTTTGGCAACAAACTGCAGAAGGTTTGGTGAGATATCTGTGCCTGGGCAGCCAAAGCTCTGAAATTCAGGCCCCTCCCAAGGAACAAAGGTTGACTCGGCTGAACCTCAGAGAAACACTGACAAGCCACCCAAGAGCTGCTTCCCCAGGGCTCGGAGACTGCTTGGAGCTGCCACAAGTGGCAGGAAGAAGGGGCTCCTGAGTCCCTCCTCTGCCTAAGGGTCCTCCCAGTCTCCTCTGCATCTGAGAACTGGAGAGCTACATTAGCGCTTGCCTGGCTTCACTGACAGCTCACGCATCTGTTCCGTGCAGGTACAATCAGAAGAGGAAAAAAGAATGTGCTTTTTGCAGCATCTTTGAAAATGTGGAAAGCCAGGCTTCATTCACACTAGCACGATCTTCCAGCACTAATCACCACCCAGCATCATGATGTTCTTCGGCTTCCTGAATGAACTTACCTGTCCGAGCATGGCGTTTAAGTCCACCGTGCTGGTCGACAGAGCAGCTGGCTCGTCAGCCTGGATTATGTTGGTTACATCCAAGTCCGCATCTGGTGTCTGAATCATCTTGGACAAACCATCGACCGCAGCTTTCAACTCGTACAGACGTTTTAAAATATCATCTTGGCGGGACTCAAGAGCTTGAAGAGACGGGTCCGAGGCTTCCTAAACAGACCAACATCAGAACGTTCATTTCCTCTCACGGCAAAGCACTCTGTTTAAACTTGGCCACTTGCCTTCTACTTAGTTCCATGAATTCATCGAACTTCCTGCCTTTTGAAAGACATCAAAATGAAGTAGCAGGATCATCTCATTTTCTCCAGTCCCATAGGTCCTGAAATCAATCCCCAAATACGATAAAACAAACAACACTGCAACTGAGAACCACTTTGAAATTGTAAGCCTCCTACTTCAGGCACGTAAGTCTTTAAAAACAGAATGAGAAAAAAACACAACACAGATTGTTCCTTCTATCAAATTAGTCCAAAATACTTTACATAAATAACAGGATAAAGACGGGGTGGGCATGGCAATAAGAATGTGATCAATAACTTATACTAATGGAAGAAAAACAGGGGCACGCACAACTTTAAAAAAGTGTCTAGGTTTGGAGGTATATCCGGGGTGGGCAGGGTGGTGGTGGTAGTGTGTATGTCTGTGTCAGTGTGTGAGTGATCTGTGCCCCAAATCATTTTTGTGTCAGTACTGGCACTCCCTTATCTTAGAATTATATAGAACTTCTTCACTGCTGAGATGTATAACTTCATAAACAGGGAATACTCACACCTTCATTCACTGAATCTCTGTATCTTTCTCGCTTGTTGCTGGACTGGTATACCTTAAGTAACTAGTAATATTTGCTGAGGTCTTCCCTGGTGGCTCAGATGGTAAAGAATCCTCCTGCAATGCAGGAGACCTGGGTTCAATCCCTGGGTTGGGAAGATCCCCTGGAGGAGGGAATGGAAACCCACTCCAGTATTCTTGCCTGGAGAATCCCCATGGACAGAGCCTGGCGGGCTACAGTCCATGGGGTCACAAAGAGTTGGACTAACACAATATTTGCTGAGGAATAAATCTCTACATATACTTATTTAAAAAGCAATAGTGAGAAACCTCCCAGTAGTAACAATATGCAGCCTATTTCCAGATTCTCAAGCTCTCACAAAAGATACCTCATTTGAGTCAAGAGAGCAAAGGACCCCTTAAGCATGAGTTAAGATGCTCATAAGGAGACAGAAGGGTCAACAGGCAATGACCTTGAGTCTATAGAAATATGGGCTCACTATACAATGTGAGTGTGGGGAGCACGCCTGCTCACATTGTGTGCTGTTGACTTTAAGGAACACTGCGTTCCTCCCCTCGTCGCTCATAACTGCCCTCCTTGAAGATCCCATTCATCACCAGCTGCTGCCCATTTCTCGGAATCCAGTGGCTCATAAGCTGCCTCCATGGTCACCGCCTGAGTTTGAGACACCACTTTCCACCTGGCGTCCTTCCACCCGGCACCATTCTGATCCATCCCTCCTGCCCATCCCCAGGATGGTGGCCAGAAAGCAAAACCACCTCTTAGGCTAAAAAGCACAGTCCTTAACCTGGCTTGATAAAGAGCTGGTACGGTTGGTCCTCTGGCTTCCTCCTCTCCCATCATTCTCCCCCTCACTCTGTGAACAGGCCACACTGTCCTTTGGGTCCTAAAACGCTCAGGCCCCCACCTGCCCCAGGGTTTTTCCTCATGGAGTTCCCTCTGTAACACCCTTCCCCTGGGTCTCAGGTGGTTAATGCCTATTTACCCTACAGCTGGACCTCCACACTCAGCTCCCTTGCCTGCTGCTCTTGTTTAAGATCACACAGCGGAGAAATGCAAGATGACTGTGGTCTGGGTGGAATAAAGAAGAATAAAGAGTTCACTGTGCCAAGTACATAATGGGGTGCTGACTGGAAATCAGTCTGTGAGGCCACCACCTGTGAGATATCCTCAGGTTACTCAGTATTAGTCCTCCTGAGTAATACTTCCCATCCTGTAATCCAGCCTGTATGTGTGCATCGTCTGTGGGCAGCTTTGCTCATTTCTACACACGGCCTGGGCACCCCTGCCCGACCAGGGGCAGAGTACCTACTGTATTTAAGACCCATCAACACTCACTGAAGACTGGACCCAGTACTACACGTGGAATGTGACCTGTGATCAGGAATCTAACACAGCTTCATCTGAGGAACCTGAGATCTGCCTCACCTTTTTTTTTAAGCCTTGCTGTGTGGCATTTGGGACCTCAGTTTCCCAACCAGGACCTGAACCAGTACCCACTGCATTAGGAGGGCAGACTCTTAACCAGAGGACCCCCAGGAAGTCTCAAACCTACCGCTCTTTCTAACGCTGGTCTGTTGTTTTGCTTGCTTGGGCTAGACTGTGACTTGGCGTGTTGTGTTTATCCATTTGTGTTATCTAAATGTATTTAGAAGTTGTTCATTCTTTGTGTTGCTCACATTTCCCCTGGAGATGCTAGGTTTCTAATTATCTATCCACATTGCTATCATCTGCTAGGTTATTATCTTCCAGGTTGCAAGTTGACAGTTAAATGCCCAAAGGAAGTCAGGCAGCAGACTTTAAAAAAAGAAAAAAAAAAAGGACTTGGTCTCAAAAGAGATGTGATGCTCTCCACTCTGGGGTTTCCTTTCCAGTTCCAAGAGTCTGTCCAGTTGAGAGGCACTGGACCGTATGTCTCCATGGGGATCTCCAGGTGAAGAGACACTGGACCATGCCTGCATTGTTGCCTTAGCTCTGCAGTGAGATAACACTTGTGTTATTTGCTTTCAAACTAAACTAACCACCTCCCTTACAGTCGAGGCAGAAAACTCTTCACACAGAGGATGACAGAGATAACGAGTCACAAAAGTTCTCTATTCACTCATCTGAGTGAGAATGAACTAAAAGTTTCTCCCGCAGGGAAATTAAGATGTGTTTGTAATTTATAAAAAAGTCAAAGCTGAGCAGTTACTTTACAATGGAGGAAAAATCAAAATGCCCAATAAACATGAAAAGGTGCTAAACTTATCTGGAGGTCTGGGAGATCTAAACTATATTAGGATGTCATTGTACTCCCACCAGCTTTGGGGAGGGTGCCAGCACCAGAAATTCACCTACCTACAAAATTGAAAAATAAATACAATGGACTTCCCTGTCAGGACAGTGATTAAAACTCTAAACTTCTATTTCACGGGGCGAAGGTTCGAATCTGGTTGGGGAACTAAGATCCCGTGTGCTGCAGTGCAGCCAAATGGTTTTTAAAAACAATTTAAAAAATCAATAGATAAAATGAATTTCTTAAAAAAAAAAAAAAGTTCACCTACACTGCAGGGGACAGCATAAACTGGGATGACCGCTTTGAAAAGCAACCTAGTCCAGCTCTATACAGACCAGCCCACTGAGCCAGCAATCCCATGTCCATGGTATATACTCTATGCCTGCTCTTGTCCAAGCATATTCACTGCAGAACTGTTCATAACGGCCTAAAATAGAAAACCAGCGGACGTCCGTGGGCAGTGCGATGTTACCCATCGTGGCGGCACAGTTACGTCAAGGAGCAGTAAGCCAGAGGATGGGAGCGAAGCTTTCTCATGCAGCAAAGCGATTCTTCCAATCACGTTTAGAAGGGGCAGCCAGACACCGCAAGGCACGCACTGCAGGCTCCCACTGACACCAAGACCCCACTGTCCAGGGACGCACACTTGGGACAAAGAGAGAAACGCAGGACACAATGACCGCGCAAGTTTTAATTGGGGGCGCTGACAACGTGTTACCCTGAATGGGTGACCATGGGATTCGCTTTACGATTCCCCAAAACTCGCCACTGATGTATTCCTCACTTTTCAGTGGGTGGAATTTAGTAATAAAAGTGTAAGCAGTCTTAAGCGGAAGAGAAAAAAAAAAAAAAGACGTAATAGATGTTCCAATGGGTAAAAGTTATGGTCACTGGGAGGCCGGAGGGCGCGTGAGGCTGGGGTGGGGATAGGCATCGGGTCTAGTCGCCACGGTTTTGGTTCGACACAGTTCAGGTCGCACGGTCCCGACTTGGTGCGACCCGCGGACCCTAGACCCCAAATAACGCCGACCAGCGCCGCAGCGCCTGCGCACTGAGCAAGAGGGCGGCGGGTCGGCGACGCGGTAAGCCAGGGAGCCTGCGCACTGGACAGCCAAGGCGGTGGGACGGGAGCCTTGGCGCCTGCGCACTGGGCCGGCAGGGTGTGGGACGGAGCCTTGGCGCCTGCGCACTGAAATGGGGGGGGGGCGGGGCAAGGGCCGCGCGTTCCTACCTGCACGTGGTCGGCGGACGGCGCCGGGCTGCCGGTCCTGCCGTGCACGTTAGGGAGCCGGTACATGCAGGTGGGTAGCTCTACGCGGAGAGATCCGCTGCCCTCGTGATAGGGCTTTACCTGGTACATCGGCATCCTGGGACGCAAAGGAGAGAAGGTGGCAGGTGAGAGACACGAACGCTCACAAACCGTCCAAGTCTACGACAGTCTGCTACCACCTCCTTTCCGACCGGGCTGCGGGCTTTCGGGAAAGCGCAGTTCCTGTGCTCTAATTGGCCCCTGCTCTCTCTACGTCACGGACTCGACCTTTGACACCACCAATCAGCGAGAAGAAGCTGTGGGAAGCGTTCGCGGCTTTATCCGGAAGTGGGCGGGGCACTGTGTGGGAAGTAGCCAATGGGCGGCCCGGTGGCGCCCGGGAGCGGCGGAGCGAACAGCTCCGAGTGCCGCCTCAGGCTCTGCATCCATGGAGCGAGCAGATGGGCCGAGGTGAGCCGAGCTTGCAGCGTTCTCTCGCGGTCGCCCTAACTAAGGCCCACGGCGTTCCAGCCCCTGGAACGGAGAGGAAAGTGACCGCGGCGCAGACCGAGCCGGCGACAGGGAGACCCCGGAGCGGGCTCCTCAGTGCGCTCCACACCTGCCGCCCTGTGGGTTCACTTTGAGGTCGGGGTCCGCGGGGATTTCAGCCCCCTGTCCGGACGCTGCTACTCATCCGCGGGCCTGAACCCGGAGCTTGAAATCCCAGTAGACAGAATTCTTTTCCTTTTTATCTGGTTGCGCGCGCTTTCTCTCTTTAAACTGAGGGTTGTTTTAGAGGCGGCTTCAAGACACATGCTAATTTGCATAGCCGCACAATTTTAAAGGACGCGGTGCTTCTGTATCTCCTTGAGTATACGGTTACCCGCAGAGACACCGAAGTCGGGGTTAGCAGATCTTCGGGTAGCATTGCTGCACAGTTGTCAGATTCGTGAACCCAGATTCTCTGTGTTTGTTTAAATGTTGTATCTCCACCTCTCCAAATGTCAAGGCTGGGCCCATATAGGATGCCCTGCTAAATCAACTTATTTTTAGAGGTACTTTTTTCCATTTTATGTGGTCTCATCTGCAGTTTTTACATTTAATACAAACTTGAGTAGAATTTTTTGCAAGGTAAAATGAAGAGGAAGAATTTTTTTGTTTTTTTTTTTAAATAGGGGTCTACCGAGGATACGGGTTTCCCTGATGGCTCAGTTGCTAAAGAGGCTGCCTGTAGTGCAGGAGACCCGGATTTGATTCCTGGGTCGGGGAGATCCCCCCTGGAGAAGGGATAGGCTACCCACTCGAGTATTGCCTGGGCTTCCTTGATGGCTCAGCGGTTAAAGAATCCGCCTGCAATGCGGGAGACCTGGGTTTGATTCCTGGGTCAGGAAGATCCCCTGGAGAATGGAAAGTCTACCCCCTCCAGTAGTCTGGCTTGGAGAATTCCATGGACTGTGTAGTCATGGGGTTGCAAAGAATCGGACACGACTGAGTGACTTTCACTTTTGAGGATATACTATGTCCAGGTGACAAGTAGTGGTTAAAAAAAAAAAAAAAAATCTACCTGCCAGTGGAGGAGGCCTAAGAGATGTGGGTTTGATCCCTGGGTGAGGAGGATCCCCTGTGGGAGGAAATGGCAACCCAGTATTTGTGCCTGGATAATTCTTGGAGAGAGGAGCCTGGCGGGCTACAGCCCATGGGGTCACAGAGTGAGACATGACAGCACACACACCTAGTAGACAGTGCGGTGCTAGTAAGTTCTTGAAAAAGTAAAATTATTTGACCAGTTTTGTGGTTTCTAAAGTAACTCTGGTGGTATCATGGGGGATTAATTGAAGTAGAGAGAAAACAGAGACAAACCCTTTGGAAAATTCTGGAAGGAGGTAGAGTCAGGACTTTGAGGGCCTTTGCCAAGACAGGAGTTGGCAGCCTGGATTCAGAGTGGGAATTTTTTTTTTTTGGCTCCCTTTGGTCTTCATTGTGGCAGGTGGATCTTTTGTTGGGCATACAGACTCTCTAATTATAGCTCTCAGGCTTAATTGCTCTGTGGGATGTGGGATCTTAGTTCCTCAACCAGGAATTGAACCTATGTCCCCTATTGCAAGGTGGATCCTTAACTGCTGGACCACCAGGGAAGCCCCTGGAGTGGGTATTTGAAGGCAACCATAGGAATAGTTATCCAACTGATACCTGATTTCTGAGATGGTTTTGATTTTGACATGAACACTGGATTTCCCAGCAAACTTTTGATTTTTCAAATTGTGGGGAAATGTTGCTTTCACTTTTTAAGAAAGAAAGTCCTATTGTAAGTGTTTATTGACCCATAGCTTGGGGGGGGACATGTGTCTCCCCCAGGTAGATCCCAGTATAATTAGATTTTAAGTATCTATTTTACTTGAAGTACCCATTCAGAAGATTTTTGACATGTTTAAGGATTGTAGACCAACATTTATATTTATGAATATAATTATTGGATATATTAATGTAATGGATGGATTAGACCAGTCAGCTGTTAACAGAGATGAATTGTTTCCCACAGTTCAAACCAGGATGAAAATACATAATTGCCTACTTGCTTTGTCTCTTGTAACTGGTTTCTTTAGTTCAGAACTTGCTAAGGCCATCAAACCTATCGATCGGAAGTCAGTCCATCAGATTTGTTCTGGGCAAGTAGTACTTGGTCTAAGCACTGCTGTGAAAGAGTTGGTAGAAAATAGTGTGGATGCCGGTGCAACTAGTATTGGTAAGTTTGGGAGAGTTTTAAACCACAAGAAATAATCAGGTTATGCTATTTTATTCAAGAAACAGTAAGATGATCATTGATATGCTGTGAAATTATTTTTTAAGCATAAAAAATAAGACTGTAGCAAGACAGTCATTGATATGCTGAGAAATTGTTATTTTTTTAAACATAAATTTAGCACCTGTTATGTGCCTAGTACTTGGCTAGGTAGTAATCATAATAATAGCAGTTAACTTTTATTGTGTTCTTACTATGTGCCAGGCAGGTATTGTGCTAAGAACTGTGTAGGTAACATTTAGTCTGCAGAGTAATCTTATGAGATTGGAAATTGCTATTGCAATAATTATTATCTCCATTTTACAAATGAGGAAATTAAGGCACAAGGAATTTGCCTTTTTTGAGCTTTAGCTAGTAAATCTGACCCCCGGGAGTCTGATTCCAGAACCTGTTCTCTTGAAGGCTGTGTTAAAATTATCATCTCGAAGGAAAGAGGAACGAAAAAAATAAAAATGAAACTACTTTATCTGGGCTAGTAAAAAGCCAAGAAAGACTTTAAAGAATAAAATACACAAGATGACAGTAGTGTATTTAAATAAATATAGTTAGGACTCAAAGTTGCATTTTGTAAGTTATAACTATTGTCTTTCACTCTAAAGCCTTTCATGTTGATCAATTTGAGAAGTCAGTACTTTAACCTTTTTAGATCTCAGGCTTAAAGACTATGGAGTGGAGCTCATCGAAGTTTCAGACAACGGATGTGGGGTAGAAGAAGAAAATTTTGAAGGCTTAAGTAAGTGGTATTTTGCTAATCCTATTTTAAAATATTTGGGCCCAATATTTGAGAATTTGGGGTAACACTGTCTTAGGAAACACAAAAACAGCTTTTAAAACCAGTCACTTGGGTGGGTACTCTGTGTGTTCATTGCTCTGTCGTTTGAGATATCTTGGACTTAGACTCTTCACCTCTCTCTCAGCTCTGAAACATCACACTTCGAAGATTCAGGAGTTTGCTGACCTCTCTCAGGTTGAAACTTTTGGCTTTCGAGGGGAAGCTCTGAGCTCACTCTGTGCACTGAGGTGATGCAATGTTTTTATCCTCTAACTTGACCCCTTCTAAAAATCTCTCTGAAAATTTAGAAGTCTGATTAGAATAATTTTTTTTTACACTTTTCCATATGAATATTCTCAACTTCTAGCTTCTCTGTTCTATCATACTGTCAACCTAAGTGGTAATATTTCTGAAATGTAAGCAATGGATGAATGAAATGAAGCAAATAGTGTATAATATCATAAAACAATTGTTATCCTTATTAAAGCAGAAACTTCTCAATTTAAAAGTAACATAGCTAGGCTTCCCTGATAGTTCACTTGGTAAAGAATCGCGCCTGCAATGCAGGAGACCCCAGTTCGATTCCTGGGTGGGGAAGATCCCCTGGAGAAGGGATAGGCTACCCACTCCAGTATTCTTGGGCTTCCCTTCTGGCTCAGCTGGTAAAGAATCCTCCTGCAACGCAGGAGACCAGAGATCGATCCCTGGTTTGGGAAGATCCCCTGGAGAAGGGATAGGCTACCCACTCCAGTATTCTGGCCTGGAGAATTCCATAGACTGTATAGTCCATGGGATTGCAAAGAGTTGGACATGACTGAGCGACTATCACATAGGGACTTCCTTGGTGGTCTAGTGGTTGGGACTGGGTTCCGTTTCTGGTCAGGGAACTAGATCTCACATCACTCAACTAAATATCCCACCTGCTGCAATGAGAGATCAAAGATCCCGAGTGCTGCAGCTATGACCTGGTGCGGCCAAATAAATAAATTAATTAATTTTAAAAAGTAACATATAGATAAATATAGATGCCATGTACTACTGATTTTAATTTATCTTGATGCTGAGGGAAAAATTTGCTAAACACTTATTTAACTGCACACATCTTCTAAGATTTTGTTAGAGTAGTAGTATGATAACTAAACAGAGAAATAAATCTTTATTGGTGAATTCAGAAGTTTTACGATCTTTCATTTTGCAGTTTAACTAAAACAAGTATCAAAGCTTTTATCAAAACGAAATAGTTACAGAACTCTCTCACTATCTACTGGGGCCCAAGCTTTAGATTTTATGACGATTCTTCACCCCTTTAATCTCTCTTGATGATCTCGGAAGGATCAGCATCTTTTTAGGAGAGGTTTGAGAGAACGGAAGTGAGAAAACGAGCAGGTGACATCCACCACCTGGGTGTCTTTAGCTGACCGTGCTGTGCTGGCTTTTTCTTACAGCGATGTGACTATTTCTACCTGCCACACGTCTGTGAAGGTTGGGACTCGATTGGTGTTTGATCACAATGGAAAAATCCTCCAGAAAACCCCCTACCCACGACCCAGGGGGACGACGGTCAGTGTGCAACAGCTATTTTATACGCTTCCTGTGCGCCATAAGGAGTTTCAAAGGAATATTAAGAAGGTACAGTAAGGGACGGTCCAGGGGCTGGGATGCCGCGCTCCCAGCACCTGGTGAGGGGGGGCGCCCAGGCTTGATCCCTGGTCAGGGAACTAGATCCCGCATGCTGCAGCTAAGAGATCACACACTGCAGCTAAAAGATCCTGCATGCCACATTGAAGATCCCACATGCTGTAACTAAGACCCAGAGCAGCCAAAAAAAAAAAAGTACAATAAATCTAGAATCCCGACTTTCGAGAGCCTGGAGAGTGTAGTGACCAAACGTAGTTCAATCAGGTTGGTTTGCACATCTCTTCATTCTCTTCCTTTAATTTTTTAATATTTGGAGAGTTGCTTAGCTCATCTCTTTCCCTAAAAGACCCAACTTTTGGATGATTTATCCTTTTCTTTTCTTGGAAAGAATCATCAAATTGTGTTTTAGAAGGTTTTCTAGTATGGGAAATGAGTCTTTTAAAAGACTATTTTCTGATCCTCTGTATTTTTCAAGAAGATAATTTTTCTTGGTTTCCTGAAAAGTGAATCAGTATAACTTTTATGAATTGGAATGAAAATGAAATAGCTGCATGTTATATAACTGTTGTGTTTAAAAAGCACTTAGAAATTGTCTATATATGTATATATGTGTATGTGTAAATATGTATGTATGTAACACATGTATGTAAGTTGTTTAGTTGCTAAGTTGTACCTGACTCTTTTGTGACCCCATGGACTGTAGCCTGCCAGGCAAGAATACTGGATTGGGTTGCCATTTCCTTTTCCATGGATGTATATATGTATATGTATATATAGTCATATGTGTCTGATTACAGTTTTGTAAAAACAAAGCAACTGGCCTAAATTAGCATAAAGAAAAGGACTGGGAGAGTAGATACATGAATGCTACCAGTGATTTTTCTTGGATCTGCTGTAACTTTTGCTATCTTCCTTGAGCCTTTCTCTTTTGTATCTATGTTTTTTATAATCCAAAAAATTACTTACATATTGTGCTTAAAACTTTCTTTACCTCTAAAGCAATTTTTGCTAGTGAAAACTTTATAAAGTATTGCAAAGTATAGAAAAACTTAAAAAATGTCTTCTTTTTTTAATTTAAAAATTAAACTAAAATTTAATTTAATTTAAAATTTTAATTTAAAAATTAAACATTTTTTGTACAGAGAAAACTTTTATTATTATTTTGTATTGTATGGTAAACACATCTGTGCCTCAAAAACGTAGGCATAAGAGAACTTGTACTTGCCAGAGACGACCATGGTTAACAGTTTGGTTTGTCTTTCCAGTCTCCTCCTACTTTCATGTATTCATAAAGCTTAGAAAAGTTTTCAAGATAAATATTACTATTAGGAAATCGAGTGATAGAGAATATGAAACATCTAAATCACATGGAATTGTGTGTGTGTAGCAGGAAGTTGGTGCTGTTTCTGCTTGTCTCCCAGACTTTGGTTTGTATCCCTTAGACTTTACCTGCATACGTGTATGTACGGTCTTTCTAAGCATGTTTCTTTCTTTCTTTTTTAACAATTCGGATCATATTATATGCACTGTTCAATACCTTGACTTTTTATATAGAATATTGTAGATATCTTTTTTGGTCGACTGGTACTGTATTATTCTATATCATGGTACCATTGTATTGATATACTGTAATTAATTAGCCCCTGCTTAGGTTGTTTTTAATTTCTCACAACTACAGATTGTCTCAGTAAACATTTTCATAATATATTTTTGATTGTTTATGCCAGTGTTTCTTTGCAAGGATAAATTTCCAGAGGGGAGATTCCAATGTCAAAGGGAACGTACGTCTCAATTTTTATAGCAGAAAACTTGAACATTTTGGAAAGGAAATGGCAACCCAATCTAGTATTCTTGCCTGGGAAATCCCTCGGACAGAAAAGCCTGGCAGGCTCCAGCACACAGGGTCACAAAAAGAGTCGGATACGACTTAGTGACTCAACAACAACAGGAGTACCCATAAGAGTATTACTTCACTGGCTGGCACTGCACACACAAAAAAAGAACCTTATCCTCTGATTTCTCTTGGATACCATGTTGGGAGATTCAGCTCATAAATTGTTTTGTCTTATTGGAAGATGATATGAGAACCTTGAGTTGGCTGTGTAACTTGAATCATGTGATTCTTGTAAAACTGAAGTAACCTTGAGTCCTTGGGTTTGTGTTTTTTCAACAGGAGTTCGCCAAGATGGTTCAGGTGTTACAGGCATACTGCATCATTTCAGCGGGTGTCCGTATAAGTTGCACCAATCAGGTTGGGCAGGGTAAGCGGCAGCCTGTGGTGTGCACCAGCGGAAGCTCCAGCATGAAGGAAAACATCGGATTGGTGTTTGGGCAGAAGCAGGTAGTGGTGGGCGGTTGTATAAAACCATTTTCTCACTCTTGTGATTATTGGCAAGTTTCTTTTGTTCCTTTTCAATAGAATAGAGTGTTGGAAAAGACCCCGATGCTGGGAACATTTGAAGGCAAGAGGAGAAGGGGGTGGCAGAGGATGAGATGGTTACATAGCATCACTGACTCAAGGGAAATGAATTTGAGCAAACTCTGGGAGATAGTGAAGGACAGGAGAACCTGGTGTGCTGCCGTCCATGGGGTCAGATACAACTTAGTGACTGAACAGCAATAACAAATAGAGAATAAAATCCAGCAATTGATTTTCTTTTAATTAGGCCCCTGTCACAAAAATAATGTTAAGAGCTATAAGTTTTAAAATAATCTTTTTTAAAAAAAAAATAATAATAAATAAAACAGTCCTTTTACTCTCTAAAAAAATAGAAAGTTTTGTAGGCAGTGTATCTTTTTTTTTAAACAGTTTTTGGCTGTGTCAGATCTCAGTTGCGGCATATGGGATCTCCCTTGTGTGGCCCACAGACTCTCTAGTTAGAGCGTTCTGGCTCAGTAGTTGTGGCTTGAATGCTCAGTTGCTCTGACGCATGTGTGATACTAGTTCCCAGACCAGGACTCAAACCCACATCCCCTGCATTGCAGGGCAGATTCTTAACCATTCCACCACCAGGGAAGTCCTTGTGGGCAATGTATTGATAATGGATAAGTAGGAGCCCCAAGTGTTTCACTTTGCTAATAAATCAAAATTACTCTAAAACTGCGGAAAGCCACTGTTGAGATTCTTTATTCTCTTAACATGGATAGCTTGACTATGAAGGAAAACACAGAACTCTCGGTAGAGCCTCCTTTCTGGAGTTCGGAGGTTGGAGCTCTCACTTGCTCGTGAAAGCGCCGTGAACCTTGGCTTCTTTCAGTTGCAGAGCCTCACCCCTTTTGTGCAGCTGCCGCCTAGTGGCTCCATCTGCGGAGAGTATGGGCTGAGCTGTTCCCAGGCTCTGCATGACCTGTTTTGGTAAGTAGACTGCTGCCCAGAAAATTACCATCTGTTTTTCTTTTTTTTGAGACTTTTTTTCCCCTTGATTTTGTTTTTAAAAATCGTGCTTTTATAGTTTCTTATGTCCATCGTAAAACTGTAGGCAGTATGATTGCTGAGGAAGCAGGTTTATATGAAGGAGTCAGGTACTAAATGCAAACAGTGTTCTGGGTAACTGGTACATTTTAGGGGGTTTCTTATTGAGTTAGCCCTTGTAGAAGAGGCTCTGTCTAGTGAACAAGTAGGATAACTCTTAAATTATGTATAGTGTTTCATTTTACTGGGATCTGGCAGAGACAGGTAGAGGCTGAGTTTATTTTCACTGGTGCCTTACTCAGAATCCAATCCAGCATCATCGTCATTATTTTTAAATAATGGTTTATCTATTTGGCTGTATTGGGGTCTTAGTTGTGGCATGCAGGATCTTTAATTATGGCATGCCAGATCCTTTATTATTTATTCTTTGTTGCAGCATGTGAACTCTTAGTTGTGGCATGTGGGATCTAATTCCCCAACCAGGGATTGAACCCGGGCCTCTTTCAGTGGTCCAGTGGCTGAGACCCCACACTCTGGATCTTAGGGAAGTCCCCTAGCATCATTACTTTTAGTGTAAGGAAAATACAGACACTTTTTCATAAATAGGGTTGGCCTTGTGGCAGCCCATATTGTTTACCATCTGTCCACTTGCCTTTGGCTTGTGCCTGAAATTAAAGATGAAGATTCACCTTTTTATGTTACAGTATCAGTCTTACAGAAACTCAGATATCCCAGGGGTAGATCTCAGGTGAAATAAGCCCGTAACCAGCGCATTAGTTGATAGAAGTTTGCTGACTGAGAACAGATTTTAAAAGGGAGGAGAATGTGGGCAAAGAGCCTGGATTCAGGTCCCTGGGCTCCATGGACAGCTTGGTGGGGACTGCATGAAGGTTCTAGAATGTGAATGTGGGGTGAGACCTGCTCCTTATGTGGAGGCCGAGGACGTCATAGGGAAAGTGAGAGCCAAAGAGCCTGGATTCAGGTCCCTGGGCTCCATGGACAGCTTGGTGGGGACTGCATGAAGGTTCTAGAATGTGAATGTGGGGTGAGACCTGCTCCTTATGTGGAGCCCGAGGACGTCATAGGGAAAGTGAGAGCCAAAATGAATCAGTTTTGAAACCACTGACCTACCTGTGGTGGATTTGTCAATAACGGGATCTTGGGACACTCCAGAGGTCTGTGTTCCTTCCATGCTTCACCAGAACGGAACACAGACACACATTACCTGAAATGTTAATACCTGTCAGCTTGTCACCAGGGATTATGTTTTTACTTTTCACTTTGAGAATGTGCTGAGTGATACGTGTCTGATCCTTTCCACTCTGGAATCCTGCCCTAATGGTATTAACATTGAACAGTATCTCAGGTTTTATTTCGCACTGTGCTCATGGCGTGGGAAGAAGTTCAACGGACAGACAGTTTTTCTTTATCAATCGGCGGCCTTGTGACCCAGCAAAGGTATTTCAAGATTTGGGGTGATTAGTTTTTTTCTTCTGGCCTTCACTTTTTATTTTTTATTAAATAACATTTTCTGACACAGGCAATTTACATGGAACTTGAGACTCTGACTCAAAAACATGAGTAAATTATCTTTTTTTTCATTCTTCTAATCAATTTTATTCTAAAAACATGTTTTTATGCAAATACATTATTTAAACCGACAATGCTATATTATTGTCATTTAAAAAATATTTTTAGAATGTCTCACTATTAGTTTCTTTCTTTTTAAAAAGATTTTTGTTTTACATTGGAGTGTAGTTGATTTGCAGTGTTGTGTTTAGGTGTACAGCAGAGTGGTTCAGTTATACACATAACATATATCTATTCTTTTTCAAATTCTTTTCCCATTTAGATTATTACAGAATGTTGAGTAGAGTTCCCTGTGCTATATAGTAGGCCTTTGTTGGTTATGTATAAATTACCTTATTTTAGACCTTTAAAAATGTGTACCATACAGTGGTTTCAATTATACATCCGTGTGTGTGTGTGTGTGTGTGTGTATACATATGGACATATGTTAATAACCAATATATTTATTATCATAAAAATTACCACTATTAGAAGACAGTAAACATTTAAAATATTCACTGTTATCTAGACTCTTTGGTGTAGAATGACACGTGTGCATTTTCCAGGAAAATAAGGCCCAGCTTGCTTCCGCTTCAAACTAAAACTGACCATCTTGATATGATGATAGTATTTTTTAATGGTCAGTTTTGATTTTGCATCTTCAGCAGCATTATCCCTCAGTCATGGTTTCTGTTTTCTGGTGATCGTTCAAAATCACTCCTTGGTTTGTTTTCTGAAATGCCACATGGCTGGCGGGGTCTTAGTTCCTCAACCAGGGACTGAACCTGCACCCTCAGCAATGAAAGTAGGGTCTTAACCACCAGGCAGAGAATTCCTCCAAATTACTTCTGTCAACCAGATATGATTCAGCTTCTAAAATTTTAAACTGTATTATAATGGGTGTGATTTTTATGGCTTATCTGTAATGCCATTTGATAGTCTCATTATAAAGTCATATAAATACACTTCTATGTACATGCAAATGTATTTTATGAGCATTTAAACTACATCATATTTTACTGACATCTCTTCAAGAGCATCTTCGTATTGGAAAAAGATTCAGTTTTATGAATCTGTGCTTAAAAATACCCCTTGGAGGGGCAAGAGGGAACCTTTTTGAGGTGATGGATATCTTCATTAGCTTGATTGTGGGGATGGGTTCACGCGTGTATATATATATCAGAACTTATCAAGCTGTACACTTTAAGTTCAATTTGTTTTAGGCCAACTCTACTTCAAGAAAGCTGTTAAAAATGTATCCTTTTAATAGTTGATTAGAGTATTGTTAGAACACTGGGGAAAGAAACATTTATTCTTTTCTAATCTTTGTTTCTTTGTGTAGGTTTCCAGACTTGTGAATGAGGTCTATCACATGTATAATCGACATCAGTACCCATTTGTTGTTCTTAATATTTCTGTTGATTCGGGTAAGTTCTGCTGAGGTTTCAGTAAAATTGGTAACTTACTCCTGAAAGAATAAAATGAAATTATAAAGCTCAGATATGACTAGAAAATTTTATACAACAGTTAATGGCTGTATACATTTTTATAAACTAAAAAAATTTAAAAAGTATTTTATTTTAGACTTTTTTTTATTTATTTATTTTTTTAGACTTTTATTTTTTTATACAGGCTTTCCTGCTTTCTACTTGGAACTTTGTTGATTGTGTTATTAGGAAAATGTGATTTTTTCATGTCAGCCAAGGGAGAAAGTTGACTAAATGTTTTTCCTAATTTTGAAAATAATTCATTTCATCTAGGTATTTTTCTTCTGATAGCTGTTACTATGGTTTATTGTTATCCAGTGTTTTTTCTAGATGCTTAGAAATATATATTTGCACACCTTAAAATATATATATACCTAATGGTATGTGTATATATATATCTCCATATTTTTTGGAATGGGAAAATAATTTTGGATAATTTTGTATTGTGCTCTTTAACCTTAGATGTAAACATTTCTTTTCAGAAACACGATTCTAATATTAATAGCTGTATTGTATTTCGTTGTGTGGATATATCTTGATTTGTGAACTTTTATGTTTGTGCTTATTTTAGTTGTTTTCAGCTTTTGGAAATTTAAATTCTTTTCTTCTAGATAAATCATTATCTATATCTTTGATTGTTTCTTTAAGATAAACTCCTAAAAGTAGAATCATTGGGTCAGTGAATGTGATCCTGTTATACCAGTTTATACATCTATCAACAATGTACTAGGGATTGTAAGTTTTAAGCAGATTCAGTAGGTGATAAAAATGACGTTTTAGTTTGCAATTTTAACCTATCTTTTCATAGGTTTATTTGCTTTTTTTTCTTTTGCAGTTTTCCTACTCAAATGCTTGCGTAGTTCTTCTGTTTTGCTTAAGATGGACTTAATCAGCGTCTTTTCTATTTTGCTTTAGAATGTGTCGACATCAACGTTACTCCAGATAAAAGGCAAATTTTACTGCAAGAGGAGAAGCTTTTGTTGGCAGTTTTAAAGACGTCTTTGATAGGAATGTTCGAGAGTGAGGTTAAACTGCAGGTCAGCCAGCAGTCGCTGCCGGCTATGGAAGGTGAGAAAACACCAGCAGGTAAACGGCTTTCACAGCCTGCAGCTGTCCTGGTACCGACCTCAGCTTTTTTGGAGGTAAAAGTTTTTTTTGGCATGAAAGAAAATCTCCCTTTTTAGACAGAGAAGATGTGTCATCCTAGAAAGCATGTTGCTGCAGATTTTAAGGTAATCTGGATACAAAGAGACACGAGCCACCTCTTATCACTCAGGGCTCCGTTCTACCAAGACTCACCCCTTGTCTTTCAGTAAACATGTCCTGATTTTGGCAAGCCTTTTGTTAGTTTCCAGAGTTCTGAACAAGTTGATTCTGATAATTTTTGCCATTTTCTCCTATTCCTTATGGAGTAGGGAATTTGGGAGGAGGTTCTTACTTTGCCATTTGCCTTCACATCCCCCGTGTGTTCATTGCTGAGTGGCACATTGACATGAGACTTGGCCTAGCGAGTTTTACAAAGCGGTTATACCAATGTCCCCACCCCAGCAGTATTTAAGCATCCCATTGGATCCTCAACCTTGTAAGTATTTTTTTTTTTAATTTACCTGTTCTGAAGAGTATATAGCCGTATCACATTGTGGTTTTAACTCGTGTCTCCTTCCTGGTTCATGTAGTACTGTGTTCATACCTTGAATCAGCCATACAGAGCTTCTCTTGTGCAAAGTGCATGTTCATGTAAAAATATCCCCTTATTCCATTTCTGCATGGGCTCCCCTGGTGGCTCAGTGTTAAAGAATCCACCTGCCCATGCAGGAGACTTGGGTTCAGGGCCTAGGTTGGGAAGATCCCCTGGAGGAGGGCATGGCGACCCAGTCTAGTATTCTTGCCTGGAGAATCCCATGAACAGAGGAGCCTGGTGGGCTACAGTCCATGGGGTTGCAAAAGTCGGACACGACTTAGTGACTAAACAACAATAATTCGATTTCTGCACAGCATCTAATACCCTTCTCTGTTCTCATCTACTTAGGTCACTTAATAAAGAGGCCTTCGGCAGAGATGGAGAAGCCCGAGCCAGAAAAGCAGGATGATCCTGCTCCATTAAGGACTCACGGAGAAGAGAAAAGGGCAGTGACCATTTCTAGGCTGAGAGAGGCCTTTTCCCTTCATCACTCGACTGAGAACAAGTCCCGGGGTCCGAAGGCCACCGATCCGAGGCGGGTTTCTCTGAGGCAGAAAAGCAGTGCCCAGTTCCCTAGAGCTTCGGGGCCCCCCTGCTCCCAGAAGCACATCTCTGAACCTGGGGAGGAAGGGAGGACTTCTGCTCAGGGGCCCCTTGACTTGATGGGCAGAGTGGAGATGGAGGAGGACTCGGGGCACAGCAGTGCATCTGCCAGCTCCAAGGAGGCATCCAGCACCCCTGAGACGAGCGGCACTGAGACGAGCACTGACCGGGTGGCAAGCTCCCCTGAAGACAAGTTTTCCCAAGAAAGTGTGGAGTCTCGGGAAAAGTTACCTGAAACTGACTGTCGTCTTTCAGGCACAAAGTGCCATTTAGACCAAGAAATCGGCTCCACATCTAGAGTCTTGCCACAGCCCACGAAGCTCTCATCCCCAAATGCAAAGCGTTTTAAAAAAGAAGGGATTCCTTTAAATCCCGACATCCTTCCAGAGTCGGTGAAAACCCAGAGTGCATCGGCGTCTGAGGTGGATGTAGCTGTGAAAATTAACAAGAAAATAGTGCCCCTTGATTTTTCCATGAGTTCTTTAGCCGAACGAATAAAGCAGTTGTGTCAGCAAGAACTGCAACAAGAAAGTCAACAGAATTATAGGAAGTTTCGCGCAAAGATTTGCCCTGGAGAAAATCAAGCAGCAGAAGACGAACTAAGAAAAGAGATCAGGTAACAATTTTCTTTAAAGAACTCTTACCATTCAATTCTGCAACCTGAAACCTTGCGATAATTTTTTTCCTTATATTTCATACAGATTTGGTCCAAATCAATCAAAGCCTTCTTGACCCCAATTTTATTCCTCTTCCTGGAGGTTTTCAGCCCATGGTATCTTCTCCCTGCATTGAATTCAGGGCACCTTTGGGGAACATTATTGCTATTTTCCATTTTTCCATTTAATATGTATGAGGGAGAATTACCAAAGCTATGATTTCAAGAAGATGGTATCAGATAAGGTTAAGTAAAAAACACAGTTTAAAGTAAAATATCTGTAATACAGATAATAATAAAAAACACCAGTCTGCTACTTTCTTGACAATAATCATGTCTAACATTGTGATTCTTAAAAATGATGAATTCTCTTGAAATATTTAATTTTTAAAAAGACGTTTGTTTGTTTCTGGCCGTGTGGGTCTCCGTTGCTCTGCAGACTCTCGTGGCAAGCAGGGGCTGCTCTAGTCGGCGTCCGCGGGCTTCCTCCTGTGTGGCTTCTTGTCGCAGAGCATGGGCTCTGGGGTAGGCAGGGTTCAGTGTTGCAGCTCCCAGGCCCTGGAGCACAGACTCAGTTGCTCCAAGGTATGTGCGACCTTCCGGGATCAGGGGTCAAACCTGTGTCTCCGGTACTGCCAGGAGGATTCTTCACCACTGAGCCACCGAGGAAGGCCAAAATATTTAACTTACACTTTTCTTATCATTTGTTTTAAAAATATTTGGATAGAGAAAATTCTAGGGACAGAGGAGCCTGGCCAGCTACAGTTCATGGAGTCGCAAGGAGTCGGACGTGACTGAGCGACTGGGCACACAGCAAGCTGTAGAGCTTTGTTTCTTGAACCTAGATGCTAGGTTCTAGTTCTGGGTCGTGCTGGGAGATACACCTGCCAAAGACACGAAAAGACCAGGATCTTCAGGCTGGCACAGGTTTTTCCTGTAGGGAACCTGCCTGGGGAACCAGAGCCAACTCAGACAGTTCCTGAAAGAGCAGTTAGATCTAAGAAGTTGGTATTTGTGCCATTTATATCAGTTTGTTGCCTCTCAACTCCAAATCCACACTTCGCCCTGCTTTTGCAATCCTGATTGCTATTGGGTCGCAGTCCTGGAGCCTGGACCATAGGCGCCTTTCTCTTGGTGCACTGTTAGACATAATCAGCAGGGGGCGCTGGAGGGACTCTTCAAGGCCAAGTGGGAGCCGCGCCTTCCCCTCTTGGTTTCTGTCATGCCGTCTTTTCCTACAATATCTGAGATGCCCTGGTAAGTGCTTGGACCATGAAGGATTGATTCCATTTATTTTAAACAATGTACAGACAAAGGTCTGGAAGCATATGCACCGAATCATTAATGATTTAGTCACTAAGTCATGGGGGAGTTAGATGAATGCAGGAATAAGTGATGTTATCTTTAGACAGTGTGATTATTAGGGACTTTGTGTTTTTGTATTTTTTTGTTTTTAATCAGAGAAAGAAACAGTATTTTATAATCAGAGAAAGAATCTTTTTAAAATGTCTTCTAAAACTGGAATTCTCTAGCAGTCCAGGGGTTAGAACTCAGCCCCGGTTTAATCACTGGTGGGAGAACTAAGATCCCACAAGCCGTGCCGTGTGGCAAAAACAAAAACTTTTCTAATTGACATTTTCTACACACAGCAAAACGATGTTTGCAGAAATGGAAATCATTGGTCAGTTTAACTTGGGGTTTATCATCACCAAGCTGAATGCAGATATCTTCATAGTGGACCAGCATGCCACGGACGAGAAGTACAACTTCGAGATGCTTCAGCAGCACACTGTTCTCCAGGGTCAAAGGCTTATAGCGTAAGTGCATTTCAGTGCTCAGAATTCAGGGTCATTTCACATCCCAGACTTAGCGTGTAGGTGTGTCTGTCTTTATCTCTGGCTTCCCTGGGGGCTCGGTGGTCCACCTGCCAATGCAGGAGACGGGGGTTTGATCCCCGGTCTGGGACGATCCCGTGGAGGAGGAAATGGCAGCCCACTCCAGTATGCTTGCCTGGAGAACCCCATGGACAGAGGAGGCTGGCAGGCTACAGTCTATGGAGGGAGGTCAGAGAGAGTCAGATACAACTTGGCAAACAGCAAATCTTTTGTTTATTTATCTATGTTTTTTGGTCCTAAATATCCTTAAAGCAGATTTCATACTTTTTGCATAATAATAGTCATACCTGCCTTTTATGTAGTGCTTATTTTGTGCCAGGCACTGTTGAAAATTTTGCATTTAATCCTCACAAACCTTTGAAATAGTTACTGTGTGTACCACCATCTCATGAGTGATAACATTGGACACACATACAGAGGTTAAATCACTTGCCCAAGGTTACTCAGCTGATGGGTTCTTTAACGATCAGACCTTTTTAGCTATTAAAAAATGCCCATCACTGGTTGTCCAGGAAATCCTTTGGATGAAGGACAGTTTATAGCATGTCTATTTAGAGTAGGTGGATCCCCTGGAGAAGGAAATGGCTACCCACTCCAGTATTCTTGCCTGGAAAATCCCACGGACAGAGGGGCCTGCCGGCCTGCAGTCCATGGGGTTGCACAGCATCGGGCACTACTGAGCGACTAACACTGCACTGCACTTCCTGTGTTCAGAAGGTCAGCAGTGCCTGTGTGTCTGTCCTCAGCTATGGTAGAGATCCAGTGATCAGTCACTGCAGCATTTGGTATTTCTCTCTTTAGAAACAAATTGAATGTTTTACAGTGACCACTTTACAAGGCAGTGTGGTTATGTAGCATGTAAACCAGAAATCTTAAGTAGAGTCGTAAGGAGAGGTCATGGATTTTCATTCGGGAAATTATGTAATTAGCTCAGATCCCAACAGCAGTAGATCCTGTCATGAGGAAGTCGCCGCTGAAACCGTCTCTCAGCTGGAACCCTTACCTAGTTTATTTGCTGAGTACTCTGTTTCCTCTGTCTCCGGCAGAATGGTTTAATTACCTTTATTTCTAGTAGGAGTAGTAAAGACATTGAATGAGCCACTTTAGAATAATGAGTTACTCCTATCCCTCTCACAGAGGCCATTTATTTTTTAGCCATTTTGCATAATTACAGTCTTGTTTGTGGCATTTCAAGTTGACCTGGATAATCCCAGGCCACGGTGGGTTCTCAGTGGACCACACTTCGGGATGAAAGGGTAAAGACCACAGCTGCATCCTTTCCTGCCAGGCCCTGCCTCGCTTGGCCCTGACGAGCTCTTCAGCTGTCCTAAGCCCTCCTCTCCTCTTCTCTACACTTGAGCCACCCTGGCCATCCTTTGTTTTCCCTCAACAGGCCTGATGAATTCCTCCCTGGCCATCAAGCGGAAGGAAGCAGATCTGTGTGTGGCTCTGGGAACATCCCTGGTCCATCCTAAGGCCTTTATACAAACTATTGTCTCTGCCTAGAGCACTTGTTACCCCCATCACCTGATGACTGCTTCTCACCCCCAGATCTCAGCCCAAAGGTCACTTCCTCAGAGAATCCCACTCTCCAGGCCAAGTCTCACGTGCTCTGTGCTCCCAAGTCTCTGAGTGTCTCTTCCTCCTGATTCTCTGTGTAGTTTGTAATTAGAGTTTGTTTGCTTGACTCTTCATCAGTGTCTTTTCTCCCCACTAGACTGTTCCATGAGAGCAGAGAACGGGTCTGTGTTTGCTCACCTTTATAGCTCCTGTCTTTTAGCCGTCTCTGTAAACTGGTGGAGGGATGGGTGGATCGCTGGAAGGAGAGATGGTTGGATGAAGGATGCAGGCAGGAGAAGGAGCAGGATAGTGGTACAGATGTCATTTCCTCTGTTTTCAAATGTCTATAATGACCGAAGCTGAGTTTTCAAATTCCCTTTATTGTGAGGAGGAAAAATAGCTTTTTTAGGTTATATTGTTATTGTTAAAAAAAAAAGTCATTGGGGTGGGATGGCAGATTGAGGAAACAAACTACTTTTGGAGTTAACTGACTTCTAAGAAGATCTTTAAAAAAAAAACTGAAAATTAAAAGGAAATGCTTAGGACTTCCCCAGTGGTCCAGTGGTTAGAACTCTGCACTTCCACTGCCGGGGGCACGGGGTTCAATCCGTTATTGGGGAACTAAGATCCCACATGCCTTGGCGTGGCCAGAAAAAAATTATTTTTTTAAAAAAGGAAATGGAGTTTTGTGACAGGTGAGGTTCACAGCTGAAAGCATGTTATTCATGTTTGAATAAATCACAAAATTGTTTTAATTTCATGTCTGTCTTAGAGCCTTCAAGATCTAGTTTGGGTCTTTGTTTTTCAGACCTCAGACTCTCAACCTAACAGCTGTCAATGAAGCAATTCTAATAGAAAATCTGGAAATATTCAGGAAGAATGGCTTTGACTTTGTTATCGATGAACACGGTAAGTTATTACTTAGAAGGTAGGGTTGCGTCCTCATAGAGCCGAGAAGGATCTCCGAGGCCCTGCACAGTGTGTTTTTTAGAGGTGGACAGGCTTTCCCCCAGAGCGCTTGGTGTCCGCAGTGTCTTTCAGATGTTCCTGACAAGTAGCACCCAAATGAAATGCATTTTTTTTTTTTGAAACGCATTTTTCAAATGATGGCTTTCCCCCTGCATTGTCTTCTTTCAGCGCCAGTTACTGAAAGAGCCAAGCTGATTTCCTTGCCAACCAGTAAGAACTGGACCTTTGGACCCCAGGACATAGATGAGCTGCTCTTCATGCTGAGCGACAGCCCCGGGGTCATGTGCCGGCCCTCCCGCGTCCGGCAGATGTTCGCCTCCAGAGCCTGTCGCAAGTCTGTAAGTCAGGAGCAAGCCTGTAAGTCAGGAGCGCTCACCCGCAGGGTCCCCAGGGGCCTGCTCCAGAGAGTCCTCGGTTCAGCCCCGCGCAGCCCCGTTAAGTGTGGGCCGCGTACCTCGAGGGTCCCGCCGTCCTCAGCCAGCGTAACCCTGAGCCCTGCACGGCCGCTCTGACCCACGGTAACTGCGTCCCCGAGGCGGCGTCCTCCCGGCACCTGCAGCGGTCCCACGCAGTCCGCAGTTTGTCCCCGTTGTTCGTCTGTGGGCCTGATGGGTATTAATGATCCTGGTGGAAAAGGAGTAGGTGCTGCCAGTTCTCGACCCCGTGGGAGGTTGTCCGGAAGCCCGGCGGTCAGCGGGCGTTTTGCAGGGACCTCCAGGGCGGGCAGTATGTGTTTTCTGGCTGCCGTCCCCCGACGCTGGCGGGGCCCTGGTGCTGTCCCCACACAGCGCACAGACTGGGGGCTGTCTCCTCTGCACCCAGGGGCCCATGTCCTGCCCTTGGCTCTCGACATGCCAGCCACACCATCTCCTTCCTGCCGCAAGCCCTCTGCCTGGATGCCCTGCTCCACATGCCTTGCTCGTCCGCCCGGTTCCCTCCGGCCCTCCCTGAGCACCCAACTGAAGTAGCCTTCCCACAGCGCTGCAGGGGACAGGCGGGCGCGCTGTTCCACTGAGGCAGGCAGGGACGTTCGAGCGGCAGCCTGAGGGAGAGGGGCCCTGAGACAGAGGGGCCCTGAGACACGCAAACACCTGGAGGAAGCGTGTGCTGGGGAGAGGGCGCGGCCAGTGCCGAAAGCCTGAGGCAGGTACTTGCTTCACGGGCTTGTGCAGGAGACCAGGGGGTGTCTGTGAGGCTGGAGTCGGGCAGGGAAGGCTGCTTGCTCGCAGATGTGGGTGCGAAGGCTGGTGAGCGCCACGTCACGTGGAGCACTTGGTCCTTTATACAGGTTGGGGCTGGCTGCGGGTTTTTTGTGTTTGGGTTGCTCCGGGTCTTCGTTGCTGCGTGCGGGCTCTCTGGCTGCAGAGAGCAGGGGCTCCTCGTTGCAGTGGCTTCCCCTGTCGTGGCGCACGGCTGTCGGTGCCCGGGCTTCAGCACCTGCAGCACGCCAGCTCCGTGGTTTCGGCTCGCTGGCTCTGGGCGCACAGGCTTCAGTAGCTGTGGCTCCTGGGCTCTAGAGCACAGGCCTACTCGTGGCGTAGGGACTTAGGGGCCCTGTGGTATGTGGGATCTTCCTTGTCCAGGGATCGCACCCATGGCCCCTGCTTTGGCAGACGGACTCCTGTCCACTGCACACGGGGGAGGCTCCTGACAGACTTTTAAGAGGAATCGCCGGCCCTGAGTGGAGGATGGGTTGAAGAGATGATGGGGTTGGGGGAGCAGGGAGGCCACTGCGATTGCCAAGGTGTAAGGTCACGGAGATGGGGTTGTGGGTGCTGGTGGAACTGGCGAGACTGGTTGGTCCTGGATGGGAGTGGGCCATGACCCTCTCAAGGATGTGCCACCATGAGGGAGCCACGGAGGGGCTGGATTTCACAAAGGGGCCCGAGGGCTGAGGCCCTAGAAGGCGAGGTTCTTCCAGACAGGACTTTGCAGGGAACGCAGGACAAAGTCTTGTCCAGCCTCTCTGTAGAGAACACTGCTTCTGAAGTATGGCTGTGCTGTGCTTAGTCGCTCAGTTGTGTCTGACTCTTTGTGATCCCATGGACTGTATGTAGCCCGCCAGGCTCCTCTGCCCATGTGGGATTCTCCAGCAAGAATACTGGAGTGGGTTGCCATGCCCTCCTCCAGGGGATCTTCCCCACCCAGGGATCGAACCCAGGTCTCCCACATGGCAGGCAGATTCTTTACCGTCTGAGCTGCGAGGGAAGTCTGAAGTGTAGCTGTTGTAACCCAAACTAGTAAAGCTTTAACTGAAGCCATCATGTCTCACATGCAGGTGATGATTGGAACCCCTCTTAACACAAGCGAGATGAAGAAACTCATCATGCACATGGGGGAGATGGACCATCCCTGGAACTGTCCCCACGGAAGGCCCACCATGAGACACATCGCCAACCTGGACGTCATTTCTCAGAGCTGATGGCGCTTCCCGTTTTATAGAGCTGTTGATCGTATTGCAGGTTTTTCTGTTTTGCAAGGCAGGGCTTTAATGAACCGTTTGAGGGCTGTGTTTCTAAATGCAACTGCTACTTCCAAAGGCATCAGATCCATTTAGAAATGAGCTTGTGGGCTTTTTTGATCCATGTGGAGCACTGCTTGCAACACTTTTTTTGTTTTGCATTTAAACGCGTGCCTGTGTGTATATAGAGGCAAGAGTATATTTTACAGAAATAGAGCACTTTAGAAGTCACTCGACCTCTGCTGTGGCCTGACATATTTTGGTCTGTAACTTTCATCCCTTAGTAATGACTGAGTCCCTAATGGTTTCACTTCATTAAGTTAACATTTACAGTTCTTTGGAGCTAGTCATTCTGAACCCTGATGCATATTAAATTTAGAAAAGAATCCTAGAAAACCCAAGGGGGTTTCTCTGTCCAGCTGGAAGAAGTCAAGCAGGTGGATTGGGGTCTCTCTTTTCTGTTTCTTCCTTTGTCGTTGTAATTTTTGTTTTGTTTTCAGCAGTGTCGCAAGGTTTTCGGGGATTGAACCTGGACCACTGTGGTGAAAGCCCAGGATCCTAACCACTGAACCGACAGGGAGCTCCTGGATCTCACTTTTTAAATGTTTCCTGCTGCAGCCAGAATGGCAAAGACTGTTGTGCATGCTCAGGTGCTCAGTTGTGTCCAGCTCTTTGCGACCCCATGGACTGTGGCCTGCCGGGCTCCTCTGTCCTTGGAATTTTCTAGGCAAGGATACTGGAGTGGGTTGCCATATCATTCTCTAGGAGATCTTCCCGACCCAAGGATCGAACTCAAGTCTTCTGCGTCTCCTGCTTGGCAGGTGGATTCTTTACCACTGAGACACCTGGGAAGCCCAAAGACTGTTGTAGGCAAGGGAAAATAAAAGATTCTGATTTTTCTGTACCTTTGATGCTGTGATTTGATTTCCTTGGAGTGTGGACTGCAAGATGGTTAGTTACTGACTGTACTGGAAGGAGAATCCCTAGTCTGTTGTTAGTTTTTCATAGAATCTCATCCCATTTGAACTCTGCCCTAAATGGAAGTAAGCATGCCCTCTGCAGGGTGCAAATGGCGGTTGGTGGATGATAGCCAGTGTGGACCTCCCACCCTAACCCTGCTCTCCACCTTTCTGCCCAGACAGTGGGCTTCCTTCTGTTTACAGACTTAGAAGTCCTTAGGTGTGAGGAGACAGTCAAATAATAATTATTGTCACTCATGTAAGCGCTACGCTGGTGGACCTGAAAGATCTCATTTAATGTTTGTAAGAATTCTGCAAATTGGGGTTCGAGAGGGAGGGAGGCCTTCCCCAGAGGCCCCCTGTGCTAATCCCAGAACCCCTGAATACTTGCTCTAGGTGGCCAAAGGGGCTCTGCAAGTTTAAGGGTGGTGTGGGCGGGGAGGGGGGGCGTGCCCTGGGTTGGTTCTGTGGCCCAGTCTAGCCCCTGTCTTCTTAAAAATGGAGAACTTTCCCCAGCTGTGCCAGAGAGAGAATGATGCTGACTTCGAAGGTGGAGGAAGGTGGCTTCTAGAAACCTGTGATTGTCCCTGGAGCTGCCAAAGGAGCCTGATCCATTTGGGCTTCTCCCGAAACTGGGAGAGGGTGAATCTGTGTTGCTTTAAGCCAGTAAGTTGGGGGTAACTTGTTTATGGCAGTAATGAAAAAGTAACACCTGAGTTCCTGAGTTAGTCTTGTGTTAAGGCATAGATAGAGCCTGAGAGAGGCCGCCGGGCAATTAGCTGAGGAGGGAAAACCCAGGTCAGTTGGGTTCCAGATTGCTACCTGCTCTGAAGGGCAAAACATGTGCCGCGGCCCCTTTAAGATCGGGGCAGGGCGGGGCCCGCGGTTGCCGGGAGACCGTTAGGGTCAGGACGCAGTGTTGCCTCCTTCCCGGCCGGATCCTTTGGGTCTCCACCAGAGTGAGTGCCTCCGGGGGTCCCGGGGTCCCAGGCGTGCGGCCCTGTCTGCGCCGCGGCTGGCTGGCGTGACGGCCAGGTCCGGCTCTTCCTCGGCCTCCGAGGACCCGAGCAGGTGCGCGGTGGGCGGGGAGGGCGGAGGAAGGCACAGGACCGAGCTGGTAGCCTGGGCCCAGAGAATGCGTGCCCCTCTCGAGCTAAGGAAAGTAAACGGTCCGTAATACAGCCTCAACTCAAGGAGAGCAGCCGATACACAAAAGTTGGTAAGAAACAGGCCACGAGAAAGGAAGTTTGCTTTATTAGTAGTTCAGACTTTGGTGATGGAGGAGCAGAAAGCCTGTAGTAAAGATGAGTTTAGAAGCCTCAGCGGCTTGCTTCGCTGACAGTCCTGAGGTGGGGTTGCAGGGCTGGAAAGACTGATGGGGTTTTGAAGGAAGAGGGGACCAGGACCGTGTTGGTGAGGGCAGAGCCTGGGGGGTGGGAGGGGAGTGAGCGGAAACCAGGCGGCCAGAGGGCGTGGGGGTGGCCACTGCCCCCATCAGGCACAGGAACAGGGGTCTTGCCTTGCCGTTCTGGACTCACCTCTGCCTCCTGCTTGATGTACTGGGATGTCTTCAGTGGGGCCAGTTTTGGGGGGCCACGAATACTATGGTTTTGGAGCCCCACCCCTCAGCTCCGGGTCCTTGGGCAAATGATTAACACAAGGTTTCTTGTCTGACATAGGAGGCCTCAATCTACTGTCATGCTGTCCCAGGGAGTACGTTAGGTAGCCGATGGCTTCAAGTTTGAAAATAGGAAAGTGACAGAATAGTTGATTTTGTGCATCATCTCATTTAATCCTTATAAGCAGACAAGTTACTGTTATTCCTGTTTGACATCTGAAGCAGGACAGTTGGGAACGGGACAATGCAGAAGCCTGGGTTCAGCTCCTGAGCACTTTGCCAGGGGGACATACAGAGATGGGCTCTTACAGTGTGAACTGGTGGTAGGTAAGATTTTAGAGGTTAGGTTGATATGTTTTCCCACAAAGGGTTGCCCTTCTTACTGGAACACTATTTGGAAAGAAATGATAGATGGTGGTTCCAATTTAAAAAATCTTAGGACAATGCAATATTGAAATTGTATTTTATAACCTGGTGATACTTGATTCTTGTAATTAATTTTTCAGGCTGTAGGAAGAGAATGATAATGACATCGGGGTTGTAAAACTAAAATTGTAGTGACTTTCTTGGTCCAGTGACGAGGACTCTGTGCTCCCAATGCCAGGGGCTCAGGTTCCATCCCTGGTTGGGGAAATGGATCCCATATGCCACAACTAAGACCTGACTCAGCCAAATACATAAATATAAATAATTTTTTAAAAAGACTAAAATTGTAGCTATGAGTGAAACCCTCAAGTATTCAGAGACCTAATTTTTATTTTTCAGATAAAACTCCCCAACGCCTTGAAACGCACAGCTTTCAACTGAAGGAGTCATTGGATACTTATCTAAATAAAGTGAACCTTAGGTCTTCTAAAGGCCATGGTGAAAGAAAAGAAAAAAGCGGATAAAAAGGGGGACAAGTCTGCCCGTTCTCCCTCGTCTCCCTCTGATTATCCAGAGTTTGCCAAACAAGATGGCAACGCCGCAAGGCAAGACGCGTCTCCGAGTGCCGCGCCGCCCCTGGACGTGCAGCTCAAGGACCCGAGAGTCAAGAGAGAGGTCGAAAGCAACAGTCTGCCGAATGAAGATACCACCCAGTATGAAGAGCCCATTCTGACCAAACTCATAGTAGAAAGGTGATTTTTCCTTTCTTTTAAATATTTATTAATTTACTTGTTTGGCTGTGTGGGATTTTTGTTGCAGCATGTGAGATCTTAGTTGTGCCAAGTGGGGTCTAGTTCCCTGACTAGGGGCTGAACCCAGGGACCCTGCACTGGGAGCCTGTATGGAGTCTTAGCTACTGGACTACCAGGGGAGTTTTGACTTGTCTTTTTTCTTGAAAGGTGATTTAATGAGCTGCCTCTTCCACATTCCCTTGTCTCCGACTTCCATGCTGTCTGTTCTTTGTCTGTGGATGATCTTTTATTATAGCTTTACTTCCATCTCCCTAGATGACTGCAAACATCTATGCCTTTAGCACCGTTTTGTCTCCGCAAGTTCTTGGTTCAAGTTTTTAATGCCCTACTAGACATCGTCCACTGGACCTGCATCCCAAAGCAAAGACTGCAGGACTTGAAATACCACAATCAATCAGGACTTGAGTCTTAGCTCTAGGATGTCAGCCCCATCGCTGATCCTTTTTGAGCCTCAGGTTCTTAATGGGGGGAGATAAATGAGAATATGAACCTTAGAAGGTTTCTCTGGATGCTGCTGTTTCTCTCCCAGCTGGGGGTTCATCCCTTTGTCCCTGTTTCTCTTAGGGCATCACCATTTCCCTACATCCAGGCCTGAAGTCGTGGAACTAATCTCCTCATCATAGGTTTTCTGATATTTACTCGTCTCTGGATTCTTGGAATATGCCCACTGTGGTCATGGCTGTCACAGGTCCATTTGTTTTCCACCTCACTCGCCTCAGAGCCTGGAGGTGAGCAAGGTGATAATAACATCACACGTTATCAGTTTGGAACTAAAAATCTGGGCACTGTTCTTGGCACCTCCCTTGCCCAAAGCCAGCATGTCAGCAAGCCCAATTGGTTCTACATCCAGAATATATCTTTAAAAAAAAAAAAGTTTTAAAATTATCATGGTGATATATACATATTTTAAATCCTTTTACATGTAAATCAGAGGCATTAACTACACTCTCCATGTTATGCAGCCATCCCCACTGTCCTCCAGAATGTTTTCACACCCCAGATGGAAAACTGTCCGGAATATTCCAAACGCTTTCATCTCTCTCCTCGCCCACTGCTCCCTCCTGGCAGCTCACTCTCCCCTCCAGTCTGTTCTCTGAAGCAGCCAGAGTGATCTTTTTAAGATGGAAATCTGGTCCTGTCCAACCCAGTTCTGAAAACCCTCTCATGCTTCCTTCTAGAGCTTTGTACTTGACGGCGAGTCTTTCTCTCAGCCCGCATGCCTGCCCGCCCAGCTTCTGCCTCCCCTGGTCTCCCTCCTGTCACTCCGTCCACAGTGTGGTCCAGCCATGCAGCCGAACTTGAGTCGGCAGGCTCTTTCCTGCCTCAGCGCCCTTGAACCTGCAGTTCCCTCCTCCCAGGGACCCTCTTCTCAAGGGTCTTTGTTACCAGGTAACCTCCTCCTCATTCAGGGTCACATTCCCCGATCATTTCTTTGACAACAATGGAATGTGATCTGGAATTATCTTCTTCATTTGTTTCCTTTTTATTGTCTGTCTCGCCTCTTTGAACCATAAACTTCTGAGGGCAGGAACTTGTTCACAGCCCAAGCCCCAGAACTTAGAAAGGGGCAGGCACACAGTGGTCCTGGGGCCGTGGGGGTGATACTTGTTGAGGGAATGTGAGATATCATTTGCACGTCTTCACTGATATTCCTTTTGTATTTTAACCCCCAGTCACTGGGGTTTCCTCACATGATTCACTGCCTTGAGCTTTATTTCACTGCAGCTATGAAGGAGAAAAAGTCCGTGGACTGTATGAGGGAGAAGGGTTTGCCATCTTCCAAGGAGGCTGTACCTACCAGGTGAGATACACGTTTTGGGACTGGGCAAGGCAGACAGTGTGGGGTGATCATCTTAGATTTGTGTCTTCGGAAACATCTTCTGATTCCAATTCCAGAAGGAATTGGAAATACTTAATGCTGATTTTATTGTGAACTCCAAGTACATATTTTAAGGCAAAAACATGACTCAGTACAATTGAAATAATCGTTTTAGATTTTTTTTCTTGATTTTTATTTATTGTACAAACAACATTAAGGTCACTAAAGTAAATAACAAAGAGTAAAATTAAAATACCAACATCCTTTTGCCATAAATTTTTTCTCTTTTCTGTGTCCCTTTTATTTCCTGAATGGATGAATCAGTATTTTCACATGGGCGTATTGATTTTGTAGATAACAGCTTGAATCTTTTTTTTACTTAGAACTACATTGCTATATTGATGTATGCTTTTCATAAGTTAAAAGTTTGTGATAAAATGTATATTAAATTCGCCATTTAAGAAAAAAGGCTTACTATTTTTTAGTGTAAATTTCAGTAATGTCGGGCTTCCCTGATAGCTCAGTTGGGAAAGAATCTGCTTGCAATGCAGGAGACCCTGGTTCCATTCCTGGGTCAGGAAGATCCGCTGGAGAAGGGATCGGCTGTCCACTCCAGTATTCTTCCCTGCTGGCTCAGCTGGTAAAGAATCCGTTTGCAATGCAGGAGACCTGGGTTCGATCCCTGGGTTGGGAAGATCCCCTAGAGAAGGGAACGGTGACCCACTCCAGTATTCTGGCCTGGAGAAGTCCAAGAGGGGTTACAAAGAGTCGACACGACTGAGTGACTTTCACTTCCGTAATGTTAAGTCTGTTCACATTCTTGTGCAGCCATCGTCTCCAGAACTTTTTCATCCTCCCAAACTGAATCTCTATCCCCACTGAACACTAACTCCCCATTCCCTCTTCCATAATTATTATTTTAATTATAGCATAGTTGCTCTGATTTAACATTCAGAGCTATGCCACAATTGTTAGATACTTTGGGGGTATTTTGGGGGTTTTTTTTGGTGCGTGTTTATCCATGAGGCTACAGTGGAGGTATTCATTCATTCATTGAGATTATCTAAGAGATATGGGCTTATTATAGGAAAACAGATTTTTTTGTAGTTGAGGTCAAACAGCATGGGTTTCAATACCGATCTTTCCCCTTAACATGTTTATTGTCCTGTGTAGTAAAAACTCTTAAAAATGCCATTTATGGGAATTCCCTGCCCATCTAGTGCTTAGGACTCCACAATTTCACTGCTGAGGGACCAGGTTCAGCCCCTGCTTGAGGAACTAGGATCCCATGAGCCAGGGAGTGAAGCCAAAAAAAAAATCTATTTATTATGGTTGAATAGTATTCATTAAAATGTCCCATCTGGCCTTTGGGATACATACTTAGGATTTCCAATAAGAGAAAACAAAATGTGACACTGACAGATGTCATCATTTTTGATATCCAGATGATGGTTTTAATCAGTTCCATCTAGTCTAGATGGAGCTTCCCAGGTAGTTCAGTGGTTAAGAATCTACCTGCCAATGCAGGAAACACAAGAGACTTGGGTTTGATCCCAGGGTTGGGAAGATCCCCTGGAGAAGGAAATGGCAAACCACTCCAGTATTCTTGCCTGGAAAATTCCATGAGCAGAGGAGCCTGGCGGATTACAGTCCATGGGGTTGCAAAGAGTTGGACATGACTGAGCGACCGAGGACATCTGGTCTAAATACGTTTCAAAAAAACCTTCAAAGTTTGAAATTCAAAGCCCAGAGCATATGAGTTCTTTTGAGTGGTAGTTTTCCAACGCTTAGTTAGGAGAGTAAGGCTGAATTCAGAGTTCAGTTTAACAGCTGCTTAGCACCGCCTCGTGTCAGTTTTAGGGACCTGGGTTTTTCTGGACTCCTCAGGTCCTTTTTAGAACCAGATGGACACCAGTGCAGTGCCAGCTCCCAGCTGAATGCTGGAGCAGCATTTTGTGGAACACGGTTCTCTCTTAAGAGCTGAACCCCTGGGTAGCAGTTGTATGAAATCAAGATTGGGCCTAAGGCTTTGTCGTTGTGTTTTGAAGGGCATGTTCTCCGAAGGACTCATGCACGGACAGGGGACTTACATCTGGGCTGATGGATTGAAATATGAGGTAAAGCGTATAATATGTTGCAGTTCTAAACTAACTATGCAACTTAACAGTCAGGTTCCCACAGGTCCCCAGCTAGTATCAGGGTCTTCCCTGGGTGGTCCAGTGGTTAGGAATCTGCACTTCCACTGAAGGGGACCTGGGTTCGATCCCTTGTTGGGGAACTAAGATCTGGCCTGCTGCATGATGCAGCCAAAAGAAAAAAAAAAAGCTAGTTTCATAAAAATTGCTCAGCACATGGGTTAAAAAAAATCCACAGACCCAAAGAATGGAGGTGATAAGTAAGTCGTTACTCTAGGGGCCCCTCTGTAATCTGTTACCAGTTTCCAGTTTGTATATTCTAGAGATATCCTTCAGCCTCTCCCACCTTTTTATAAACAGAGGTACTTTATTTACTTACTTATTTTATTTATTTATTTGGCTGTACCGGGTCTTAGTTGCGGCCTTTGAGATCTAGTTCCCTGACCAGGGATCAAAACTGGGCCCCCTGCATTCAAAACTCAGAGTCTTAGCTATTAGGCCACCAGGGAAGTCCCAGAGATAGTTCATTATACCCTCTCTTCTGCCCCCTTATTTTTCTAGAGATCAAATCACATCCATTGACTGAGATCAATCAATTTTTACTGGCTACTTATGTTCCATGATATGGGTTTCACTTATCCCATCTTGCTGGACTAGGGGAATATGTATTTTTAGACCAGTGTCTGCACAGTGTGGGTGGGCCTGAAACGCTGCTCTGGAAATCACAGTTACAGAGCTGCTAACGCCATGGTGTTTATAAGTCGTAATGAAAGTATTTAAAATGGAGGACATAATGCACATATTCAAATAGCCAGGTGAGGGAAACAGGCACATCTGGGCCAGGTGGGCAGCTGAGTGGAGTGGGCAGTGGGAGAGGGGGCTGGGCAGAGAGGGGAGGGCATCCCCCTTCACCATCACGGAGGGAAGAGAACACCAGAGGTCCAGGGTGGCCAGAGGATTGGGTGCCAACTGCCATTTCAGGCCAGGCTTTCTCAGGAAACCCGTCTCTCCCCCAAACTCTGCTGCCTGGCCTGGCCTCTGGTTCATTTATCATCTCCGGAAGGTCAGGTGGGGCTGATTCCTATAGATGTTGCCCCCTCCAACACACACACACCAGCCCAGTCAGGAGGGTTTACGGGCAGCATTCCTGCTCTCCCAGATGCATCCTCAGGAAGGTCCCTGGCCTCCTGAGACGTCTGATGGGATCTCACCTCCAGAAGCTCACGTTCCTGGAGAAGAACCCAAAGCCTCTGGACTGAGGTGTGCAGGACCTCGGGCTATGCACCCATCTGGGGCCCCGACCACAGGGGATTATCTAGAAGGTGCTCCCAGGACAGGCAGTCGGTTGACGCGACTGCAGAGTGTTAGGGTTTCCACCGGCCATCACTGAGCCTGGCTAATGGTCAACATCTCCTGGGAACCAGTGAATTAGCCTCCGTTGAGGCGGGTTGCAGAGTCCCGAGTGGCCAAGGCCAGGCTCGGGAGGTGCCCCTGCACTGTGTCCCCTGCTGTCTTCCTGGAGCTCTGTCGGCACACGGCCTTCCCGGTCGTTCACTCCACCTGGGTTTCTGCTCGGTGCTGGGACCCGGTAAGGGAGGCTGGGCTGTGCGAGGACAGGAGGAGGGGGCTGGGCGCTCGGGGGGTACTCAGCTGTTGCCTTGGGAGGAGAGGCGGGCGTGGTCTCTGTGTCTCGAGCAACCCACAAGGTGAGGGATCTCCCCACTGGCTTCTTTCTGATGGCCATGTTGCCACAGGGCGACTTTGTGAAGAACATCCCCATGAACCACGGCGTCTTCACGTGGCCAGATGGCAGCACCTATGAAGGAGAAGTGGTCAACGGCAAGAGGCACGGATTCGGCATGTTCAAGTGCAGCACGCAGCCCGTGTCCTACATCGGCCACTGGTGCCACGGCAAGAGGCATGGAAAGGTGGGCGAGGCAGCCACGCACTTGACCACATCCCCAGCCACAGACCAAGAAGCATGACCCGAATTTGATGCCTTACCGAAGATGTCGTAAGGATGACATCTTCCACATCCTTTAGATGCTCTAAAAAACAGTGATCTATCCTCCCCCCACCCACCCTCCACAACCCCCACCCCTGGGAGAATTGCTTTTGCAAACCTCGTGCCTGTCCACTGAATTAAAATACAGGGAAGATTGTACTGGCACAAGGGTTGGATTTCTTCAAAGGTGTTTAGGGAGAAAGTTTAAGATAAAGTCCTCAAAGGCAAATGAACATGAGCTGACTGGTTTTAATCGTTTGGTTTGTGGTCCTAGTTACAAGTCCGGGAACATATACGAGGGTCAGTGGGAGAACAACACGCGCCACGGGGAAGGTAGGATGAGGTGGCTGTCGACTAACGAGGAGTACACCGGCCAGTGGGAGCACGGGGTCCAGGTACCAGCTGGTCTAGCAGACCACGCCCAGAGGCGGGGCTTCCCTGGCGGCTCGGCGGTGAGGGATCCGCCCGCAGTGCAGGAGGCGTGAGTTCCATCCCTGGGCCAGGAAGACGATCTGGAGAAGGAAATGGCAACCGACTCCAGTACTCTTGCCTAGGAATTCCCGTGGACAGAGGAGCCCGGCGGGCTGCAGTCCATGGGGTCGCAAAGAGCCAAGCGCAGCTGCGCGACCGTGCCACAGTAGCTGCCGCCCAGCGGCGGACGCTCGGCTGAATCTCAGCCCGTGAACTGCTAGTTGGGTGTTGTGTGGCAATCTGAAATTCAGGCAGTATTAAATTTAGAAACTCCCGTGACGATTACTCAACGAAATCAGCTTTTAAAAGTTTTTCAGTTTTCTTTTCCTTCTTCTCTTTTTTTGGCCGTGCCACATGGCATATGGGGTCTTAGTTCACTGAGCAGGGATTGAACCCATACTCCCGGCAGTGGAAGTGCAGAGTCTTAACCACTGGCCTGCCAGGGAAGTCCCTAAATCTGCATTTTTAAAAGAAAATCACTGAAGTATAGTTGATTGACAGCTTTGTGTTAAATTTTGCCGGATAGCATGGTGATTTAGTTATCTCTGTATATATATTCTTTTCCATTGTGGTTTATCACTGATTACCGAATATAGTTCCCTGTGCCCTACAGTGGGAAGTTATTGTCTTTTCATTCCACATGTAACAGTTTGCATCTGCTAATCCCAAACTCCCACTCTTTCCCTGCCTTACTCCCTCTTCCCCTTGGCAACCACAGGTCAGTTCTGTGAATCTGTTTTGTAGATACAGTCATTTGTGTTGTATTTTAGATTGCACATATGATCTGTATCCTACAATATTTGTCTTCTTCTTTCTGACTTCAGCCCAGGTCCTGTCGTCTCTACGTCCATCCACGTTGCTGCAATGACATTATTATTCCATTCTGTCTGTGGTTAAATCAGCCTTTTAGAAAGTGCTGTTTTGTTAGCATTTCGTTTTCTCTAAAGGTCTCGAGCACCAGTTAGGTTCTTTGACTGGTAAATTCATCAGTCCCATGACTCCTGTGAGGACTGAGTCTGTGTGACCCCAACATCCATGCTTTTCACCCCTTCAAATGAGTCCCTGTATTTGATTCATACCTTATTTAAATAAATTCAGGTAAAAAGAGGAAATGTTTTAAGTATTTCTCATGGATATTTGCCTTCTTTTCAGAACGGCTTTGGCACACACACATGGTTTCTAAAGAGAATCCCCTACTCCCAGTATCCTTTGAGAAATGAATATGTAGGAGACTTTGTGAACGGATACCGCCATGGCCATGGAAAGTTCTACTATGCCAGCGGGGCCACGTACGAGGGAGAATGGGTCTCCAATAAAAAACACGGCATAGTAAGTACAGGCCCGTGAAGGTTACATCTTAAAGATTGTGTAAAGGCATGACGTTCTCTACCTAGTAAACAATATTAGCCATTTTGCATAGGCTAACTTACTGATTTGTTAAGATGATTGTGTGTATGTGTGTGTGTGTGTGTGTGTGTTAGATGCTCAGTCATGTCCAACTCTTTGTAATCCCATGGACCGTAGGCTACAAGGCTCCTCTGTCCATGGAATTCTCCAGGCAAGAATACTGGAGCGGGTAGCCATTCCTTTCTCCAGGGGCTCTTCCCAACCCAGGGATTGAACCTGGGTCTTCTGCATTGCAGGCAGATCCTTTACCATCTGCTCCACCAGAGTAATTTCTAACGTATTGTCAATTTCCTGCATATTTAGAGTTTATTTAATTAGTCTGTGGTGTGTGTGTGTGTTAGGGTGGTTTTGGTTGCAAGTAACAGGAAATCTAGCTTGAATCTCTCTTCCATCCGTCCATGTCTCTCCCACCATGTCAGCTTCATTATGAAGCTGCTCCTCTCTCATGCCTGCGAGATGGCTGCTGTGGTTCCGGGCTTCTCGCCTACACACCCCACTAAGTAGAAGGAGAGAAGAAACTCCTTTCGCAGAAATTTTCCACACATGTCTTTAACTTTACTGAACTGGATTGGGTCATTTGCCCACCTCTGAGTCAGACCAACTATTGGCCTGGGTTCAACAAATATCAGATAAGTCCCCATTCTGTGATAGGCCCCTCTGCTGGTCACTATTTAATAAGCCACAGTCTGTGACCTCGGGGTGCTCAGGGTTATGGAGAGGTGGTGGGGGAGATACAGAGAGAGGAGTGGAGAAGGGGAGTTGGGAGAGAGGATCTACATGGTGACTTGAGACTCTATGAGCCTGACTGCGTGTGAACTAAGTGCAGATCTTAACAAATGAAAGCCTCCGAACTGTTGAAAAATATTGACGTAAATTTACCAATGGTTTTCTAAAAATCTTTCACTAAGCTGCAAAAAGCTGTCTTTCTCTCTGCAGGGCCGACTAACCTTCAAGAATGGGCGTGTGTATGATGGCCCATTTTCCAAGGATCACATAGCGGAGTTTCCGAATCTGGAAGGGGAAGTAATGAGCTACCTGGACTCGACTTCAGAATGTGCCCTCGGGAGCCAGTGGTGCAAGCCCTCCATCAGTGCCGGTAGGGAGTGTCCACTTGCCCAGCTGGAGGCAAGTTGATGTGTAATGTTGCATCAAACTTAAAGCATTCATTGCTCACTCGTGTCTGACTCTTAGTGAACCCATGGGCTATAGCCTGCCAGGGTCCTCTGTTCATGGAATTCTCCAGGCCAGAATACTGGAGTGGGTTGCCATTCCCTTCTCCAGGGGATCTTCCCGAACCAGGGTTTGAACCTTGATCTCTTGCATTGCAGGCAGATTTTTTATCACTGATACCAAAAAATGTACCTAATATTTCAGAAGAAAACACAAGTTTCCTGTGAGCAACTGCTGTCTTAAAATATATATATATATATATATTTTAAAGATTTACTTATTTGGTTGTGAGGGGTCTTAGTTACAGGTGCAGAATCTTTTGTTAAATTGGGACATATGGGATTTAACTCCCTGACCAGGGGTCAAACCCCAGCCCCCTGCATTGGGAGTGCAGAGTCTTAGCCGCTGGACTACCAGGGAAGTCCCCACAACTGCCTTCTTGTGGGTTTTTGAATACTCTTGTGTACACTTTTGCATAAAATCATTTTGACATAACATTTGAAACATTTTAATGTTGCTTTTCACAACTATCCCCTGTATTTGCCTTCATTTGCTAGAAATCATGAGAAAGCTTGATGGCAATGAAAGTAATTCCCTGTTAGGCTCGAGCCTCGAGCTGGATCTCAGTTTATTGCTGAAAATGTATCCTGAGAGAGACCAGTCAGAAGAAAAGAAGCAGGTAAAAATCTTGTTTGTTAAAAAAAAAACAAAAAAACCCTTGTTTGTTAGAAATATATATATATATATTTTGGGGGTTTAAATCTTAGCAGACTCTCCCAAGTCTTGGGAAGACACTGTTGATGACTGCTGTTCTGTATCAAGTATCTTTTATACACCTGGGAGTCACTTGGCTTAAATATCCTCTCGTTTAATTTCCCAGGATCCCGTGTGAGTGAGCCGGCTTCCTGAGAAAAAGGAAGTTCGGATGGAAGGACCCAGTGAGTTACCCAGAGCTTCCCCGGTGGCTCAGATGGTAAAGAATCTGCCTGCAATGCAGCAGACCTGGGTTCCATCCCAGGGCTGGGAAGACCCCCTACAGATGGATAGTGGCAACCTGCTCCGGCATTCTTGCCTGGAGAATCCTGTGGACCGAGGAGCCTGGTGGGCTACAGTCCACAGAGTCACAAAGAGCCGGACACAACTGAGCGACTGACACTTTCACTTTTTCCCAAGGGTCAGTCAACCCCTCTGCCCCCCTGGCTTGGTCTGAAGGCCAAGGCTGTGGTCACCTCTCTCTGGAGGACATTCATTCTGCTGTGTGTTTTCATAGGCTGCTGGGATTCAAAAGAACTTCAGACCCTTAGAAATTATTCACAATGTCAAAATACTTAGAGAAAAAATTATGTGTAGCTGGATGTTGTTTTGTGAGCATGTGTCTAATCCCAACCAGCTGTTTATACCTGAGGACTGTGGACCATGAAGTCTAGCCCACTCTTCAATTCTCCAGGGCTCAGGTCAGGCACCCGCCCTCCAGGCAGCTCTGTCCTTGAATCCATCTCTTGTCCCTCCCTAGCTCTGTTCTATAAGGAGACTTCCTTACTGTATATGTGTCTTGTGATCTCGACTAGATTTTAAGCTTCCTGAAGAAAATTCCATGTCCTTCTCTGGAGCAGTGTTTTCAATAGGGCCAACTCCACTTGTTTATCCAATTGAATTGAATTTTCAAAGGCAGGAGTTGATGCTGAGAGTGACACATGCCTGATGGAGCCGCCCAGCTGGGACTTCCCTGTCTCCATAGGGACCCCAAATTCCATTCTTCACATTTTCTGATTTTTTTTTTTTTTTTAATTTCGGAGGGTGACGCATGGGACACAAGGTTTGGGGAAACAGGACACTGTGTAGGCTGCAGTTTTGTGGGTCTGAGGAGTCTGGGGAAAATGATAGATGGTGAATGGGGACAGAGTGGGTGGTGAGTAAAGCAGTGAATGTGACTGTCGCCTATTTCAGGCTTTCAGTGCTACGTGGGATGTTAATTGTATGTTTTTCTGTCTGCTGTTTGTCAGGTTAAGGAGTTCCTTTCTATTCCTAATTTGCTGAGGGTATTTATCATGAAAGGGTATTAAAAATTTTTGCCAAATGCATAGGTATGATTATGTGGTAGGATGAATTACACTGAGTTTTCACATGTCGAACCAGCCTAGCCATCGCAGGATAAATCCCACTTGGTGCTGATGTATTATTCTTTTTACATATTGCTACCTTCAGTTTGCTAATTTAAAAAAGTCTTTATATTTTTGGCCATGTGGCTTGCAGGATCTTGGTTCCCCAACCAGGGATCGAACCCCTGTCCTTGGCAGTGGAGTATGGAGTCCTAACCACTGGACCACTAGGGAAGTCCCTGGCTTGCTGTTATTTTGATGAGGATTTATGTGCCTGTGTCCATGAGGGATATTGATGTGTCTCTGTGTGTCTCTGTGTGTCTGTGTATGCACTCAGTTGCTCAGTTGTATCCGACTCTTTGCGACCCCATGGACTGTAGCCCGCCAGGCTCCTCTGTCCATGGGATTCTCCAGGCAAAAATACTGGAGTGGGTTGCCATTTCCTCCTGCAGGGGCATCTTTCTGACCCAGAGATCAAACCCACGTCTCTTGCATTGGCAGGCAGATCCTTTACCACTGGGCCATTGATCTGTAGACAAGAGACTTTTGTTGCGGCCATGGAGATGGGGTGCAACAGGGTAGAATGGGACAGAGCAGCAGGGAAGTAATTCCACTGTCAAGATAACAGCATGTCTTCCCATTCTCACTCAGAAATTGCATTGTATTGACTTTGAAATGGTTAGGGAGACTCTAACAGTCCCTGAGTTCTTATAGTGGTAAGAGCTGAATGCTACTGCGTGTGTGACCTCGTTTAATTTAGAAAGCAAGTTTTCTTTTACCTTTGTTCTTATCGGGTCAGTTGGAGATTTGCGTGGTTTTCTCATTTCAGGTAGAATATGCTATCTTAAGAAACATTACGGAATTAAAAAGAATCTACAACTTTTATAGCAGCCTGGGCTGTGACCGTTCCCTGGATAATACCTTTCTGATGACAAAACTTCACTTCTGGAGGTTTCTCAAAGACTGCAAGTTCCATCACCATAACATAACCCTTGCTGATATGGACAGGGTGCTCGGTGGTGAGTATTCCAGGTCCTTCCCATCTGGTCTAAAGGGTCGTATAACATCTCAGCACCCTGAAACCAGTGAGGAAATGTTTTGGGAGCGAGGAAGGCACATGTCTGGAGAGGTGTTCCAGAAAGCAACATGTGGGCTTATTCCCAACGTACTTAAAATGCAACCAAAGAGAGAATCATCTAGTGAACTAACAGCAGTAGTCAAAGACCATCCATAGCAGGGTCAGCAAAGTGGGTCCATGAGCAAAATCCAGCCCACTGTGTGTTCTTGTAAATAAAGTTTTATTGGAAAATAGCCATGTTCACTTGTTGATGTCTTGTCTGTGACTGCTCTTGCCCTGTAAAACCGGACCTGATTGGTTATGGTACAGACTCTCTGGCCCAGAAAGCCTACAACATTTACCATCTGCCTCTTTACAGAGTATGCTACCTACACAGGTAGCATATAGGACATACATGGTAATGTCCTTTTACATGTCAGTACCCACCAATCCCCAGACTGTTTTCTTGAAAACCCATCAAGCCTCAGTGACTCATAATTAATTATCTCTGTGACAGAGTCTGCTGTCCTATACAGTGTATGCTACCTCTGGTCTATAGTTTTTATAAAAACAACAAAAAACCCCACCAAATTGTCAGGTCAGAAGTAGAGAAGATCAGGGAGGGCTTGGGATAGCCTAGAAAAGGCTTTAGGTAATTTTATGTTGGGCTTGATTTCAGGTTAAAAACTTCATGCAGTAAAATGAGCAGTTTTGAAGGTTTTACTCCCTACAGCTGAGTTGTGGGAGGCAGGTTCGAAGGTCTCACATTACCTACTTGATAGTGGCTCAGGTGGTCAGGAATCTCCCTGCAATGCGGGAGACCCGGGTGTGATCCCTGGGCTGGGAAGGTCCCCTGGAGGAGGAAATGGCAACCCACTCGAGTAGTCCTGCCTGGGAAATGCCACAGANACCCACTCAAGTAGTCCTGCCTGGGAAATGCCACAGACAGAGGCGCCTACAGGGCTACAGTCCATGGGGTCACACAGAGTCGGACACGTTTGAGCGACTAATGCATGTACGCCAAGCAGATCTGTGGGCGGCGTTTACCAACGGCGTTTGCTCACTTGGTGGTGTTTGTGTGTGTAGCAACTATTTACTGCAAATTTTAGTTTTTGAAACATACTTCAAACCCGTTAAAAATTAGCAGCGTTAATCAGACCGTGACTCAAACCACTCTGACAAAACACTCTGACAAACAGGACAAGGTATCTTGTAAGGTTCTTGTAAACTAACAGATAGAGATCTTTCATGCGGAACTTAATTTTTAGGTGAATGCCTATATGCTGTTCAGAGTGTTTTCTTGGGAAAAAAGTACTCTGTGGTATTCAGTTCTTTGAATTGTGTACTGGGAGCAAATAAGAGAGATGTTTCTAGAAAATACCAGTCTGCTTAGTCGCTCAGTCACGTCTGACCCTTTGCGACCCTTTGGATTGCAGCCTACCAGGCTCCTCTGTCCAAGGGATTCTCCAGGCAAGAATACTGCAGCGGGTTGCCGTTCTCCTCCTCCAGGGGATCTTCCTGACTCAGGGATTGAATCCACATCTCCTGTGTCTCCTGCACGGGCAGATGGATTCTTTACCCTCTCAGCCGTCACATCCTCTCCAATTTTCTTATTTTAGCCAATAACGACATACCAGTGGAAGAAATTCACTCTCCATTTACAACATTACTTTTGAGGACATTTTTGAATTACCTCCTGCAGCTGGCTTACCACATTCATCACAAAGAATACCAGTAAGTTCTCCTTCTGGGTCCCCATGATAGGATGAGGGCTGATTGAACTGTCATGATTGTCATAATATTGTTCTTTTTTCTTTGATATTCATGATTATTTTTCTTACTCTTGAAGGATTAGAAACAGAAGTTGCTTACAAACATTAGCCACCCTGACTATCAGAAGCAGAATTGAAAATTTTGAAAATCCTTCTGATGTGGGTCACGTTTCAATTGTGTGAATAGTCCTCAAATTTTTTACTCAGAAATAGTCACCACCAACTCTTCCTGAGAATGTCATGTCTTTCTCAGAGCAAATTTGATAACTGTATCATTTTTTTTTAACTTTGAAATAATTGTGGACTTTCAAGAGTGTGGCCAAGTTAACACAGAGAATTGGTTTATACTCTGCATCCTGCTTCCCCAAATGATTATGTCTTAGAGAACCACGGTGCACTTCTTAAAATGAAGGAATTAGCGTCGCTACTGCTTGGTTAACTACATTTCAGAGTTTATTAGGACTTGCTGAGTTTTTGCCTTTTCTGTTCCAAGACCGAATGCAGGATCCCACCTTGTGTTTTGTCGTCATACCTGCTTTATTGTTGCTGTTCAGTCACCAAGCCATGTCCAGCTCTTTGCGACCCCATGGACTGCAGCACGCCAGGCTTCCCTGTCCTCCACTATGTCCCGGAGTTTGCTCAGATTCATGTCCATTGAGTCAGTGATGCCGTCTGACCATCTCATCCTCCGCCGCCCCCTTCTCCTTGTCTCCAGTCTTTCCCAGGATGAGGGTGTTTTCCGTTGACTTGGCTGTTTAGTCTCTACAACCGTGATAGATTTGTTTTCGTCTTTTATGACCTTGATACTTTGGAAGAATATCGATCGGTCATTCTGTGAAATATCCCTCGATTTTGCTTTGCTGATGTTTTTCTGTCATCACCCTGAGGTTATGGGTTTGGGGGAAGAATACCGTCATATCAGGGGTACATGACATCAATCTGTCTCATCACTGGCGATGCTACCTGTGATCACGTGACCAAGCGCTGTCAGCCAGGTTTCTCTAGTGCAGACTTACTGCTTGCCGCTTCCTGTGCTCCGTCTACTTGTTAGAGAAGCCAGTTTCGAGGTCTGCCTGGCCCTCCAGGAGCGGGGGATGAAGTTCCATCTCCTGGAGGGAGGAGTGATGATGGTTTCTTTTTAACCGCAGAGACCGAAGCCCATTGCTCTTTCTGTGTTTTAAAAAACTGATGAATGAGAACATTCGCCCCAATGCCTGCCGTGTAAAAGGTAAATACAGAACCCATAGGATTATACGGACCCTAACTGTTTCCAGCATCGAGTTCTGTAATCATCTTTTTGAGTGCCGGTGTTCCCACTCCGTCTTCAGGCCATTTATTCTGTGAGGCCCAGCGGACCCTCTATTCAATGACTTACGTGGACAAGTGCTGGGAGATCTACACAGCGCACTGCAGACCAAACGCGGCCCCTCCCCATGAGCTCACCATGAACATGAGACACTTCCTCTGGATGTTGAGGGTAACCACTCACGGTGGATCGTGGCTTTCTGTTTGTAGCCATTTTTTATTTTAATTTAGGAAAGGCAAAATAGTCTAGCTGTGATGTGCAAGGAACAAGTGAGTGGTGTACCTGGGCTGTCCACCCACAGGTAGGACTGTGGCATGCTGAGGCTGATGGGAAACTCTGTGGACGAGCCGCACCCGTCCAGGGTTGGGTTTCATTGTGGTGTAAGCTAGCCGGGATACCGCCCCAGCTCCCCCCTCATGCCCCCTCAGCCCACTGTCCATAGACCTCTTCTCCTGGATGTTCGGGTTTCCAAGGGAGGAGTTCTCCTAACTCCTCATGATTGGGGGACATGAACCCGGCTTTCCGAGTTCTTAGGATAGAGTCTGGAGGGAAGGGTCAGTGTGGCGGGAGGGCCCTGCCTACATGCATTTCCCCCTCATCCTTCTTTTCAGTAGGACTATGACATTTTAAAAAGTACATGTATATATAGCTGTTTGTAGTTAGCAGCCATTATGGTTTGATTGGCTGTTTCTCTTACAGAGCTTTAAGATGATAAATAAAGAATTGACAGCAACCAAGTTTGTGGAGGTCATAGCAGAGGATAATCCTTCCATGTATGATGGAATCGACAGTAACTTTGAACTTGAGGTTTGTAAAGAGGTGTCATGAACGGCCCAGATCCAACTCAGGCTGTTTGTTCTGCCTTGGGTACCAACCACCAAGATTCTGTCTCTAGCACGGCCATCTCTCTGAGTCCATGTCTGACTACCTGGTCACACCCACCAGACTCCTGCCTCCGAACATTTGTACTCGCTACACCCCTTCCCCCACTTTCTTTTTTTTTGGCTTATATAAGCCATTTCTTGCCTGTAGTTCTGAAGGCTAGCATCAGAAAGGTGCTGGACGACCTGGTTCCTGCTGTGGGCTGTGGCGAAGGGTCGGCTCCCGGACCCTCTCCTTGGCCCGTCATGGTCGTCTTCTCTCCGTGTGCCTGTCTCGGGGCTGCAGTCTCCCGAGACACTGAACTGGGGCCCACCCTAGCGGCCTCAGTTTAGCTTGATTATCTATAGTAAATCTCAGGATACTGGAGCTTAGGACTCCCAACTTCTTTTCCAAGAAGGCACAGTTCAAACCACAACAGTCTTCCTTTCCCAATCTACCCCTCACCAACTCATGTGCTTCCTCTGTGCAGAATACGGTCACCCCGTCCAGTGCCTCTTAGCCATTCCAATGTCAGCTGTCACTGGTGCCACTTTTCTTGTTGTTCAGGAAGAGGAAATACTTCTTATAGTGACAGTCCTCAGTGAGTGAATATACAGTAACACGTTCCCATCAAATAGAAAAGTGACTTAGAGACCTAAGGCGAGAACATGCATCTTCATAGATCTCTTAAAGGCACATGTTCCCATCAAATAGAAAAGTGACTTAGAGACCTAAGGCGAGAACATGCATCCACATAGATCTCTTAAAGGCACATGTTCCCATCAAATAGAAAAGTGACTTAGAGACCTAAGGCGAGAACATGCATCCACATAGATCTCTTAAAGGCACATGTTCCCATCAAATAGAAAAGTGACTTAGAGACCTAAGGCGAGAACATGCATCCGCATAGATCTCTTAAAGGCTGTAGTTTTTGCTGCAAACTGCTGTGCTCCGTGGCACCTGAGTGTTGAAAAGGTGGCGTTTCCTGGAGGATAGAGACAAACACCCAGAAGAGCCGCTGGCCCACCTCGAGTTGTGCGAGGATTGACCCCTTTATATTTTCTTTTATTTCAGCTGGTTTTCCTGGAATTCTTTGAAGCTCTATTAAGCTTCGCCCTCATCTCTGTTCCTGAGCCAGCAACTAAATTCTGTTCAGATTTCCCAAATGATGACCTCTCTGTTAACAAAGCTGGAAGCACTTACCCAGTGACGGCTCAGGTAACAGATAACATCTTAGAATTGACAGAGTAAGGAAGGGCTTTATTCTGGAATGGCCAAACCGTCATCGGAACTCTCTTGGGAGTTTTGTAACCCTTCAGGAAAGAACTAGTGAAGTCTTAAAGTATTTATTAAAAAAAAATCATTTATTTATTTGGCTGTTGCAGCATGTGGGATCTAGTTCCCCAGTCAGGGATCGAACCCAGGTCTCCTATATTGGGAGCTCAGAGTCTTAGCCCCTGGACCACGGGGGAAGGTCCCTTAACATTATTTATTTTGTGAGTTAGGGGAAATGTATTTCCTGGTCTTGACCCAGGAAGCAGACTCCTAGCCACACTAGAGGAGCTCTGTCTCAAGCATCAGATTGCCTCCTGACTCCCTCGGGGGCAGGGAGCATTGGCTGGACCAGGAGGCTCACAGCGTCTGGGGCGATGGGGACATTCACTGTCCCAGGTGATGGGTTCGCAGGTACAGACACACCCATACTTATCATCACGGTGCGCCTTCGGTGTCCTTTATGGGGAGTCAGTTAACTGCATTAAAGGCCTGTGCGTCTCCTTGGAAACCAGAAGCCCTCTTTTTTGTGTCTGTCATTGGTCAGAACACCCAGAACAGGAGTCCAAGTGCACTAACAAGCCAGGAGTCCGACATTCAATTCAGCAGCACCAAGTCATCTTCGAGCAAGCTGGGAGTCCTGCTGGACATGAGTAAGATAAGGAAGTCAGAGGTGTGTATTGACAGGCAAGCGGGAAGACAGCCAAGGCTGCGGTATCCGCGGTGGGCACGCACTGGCTTGTGCGGTGAGGTTGCCTCTGGGGCCAGGGATCGGGCAGGAGTGGGAAGCCTGTCCTCTCGTGGGCTTCCCCTTCTGGGGAAGAGAGGGGAGTGATGATACCGGGACAGGAAGAGGGGACGCCCGCGGGGTGCTTAGCCGGTGCCACGCACTTGTCAGGGTCCTGCTCCTTCAAGGCGCAGACGCCCTGTAGGTGCTGCCATCAGCTCCAGGAGGGAGCTAAGGCGCAGAGAGGCAGCAGCTCGCCCCGTGTCACAGAGCTGCTAGGCAGTGGAGCTGGGGCGTGTCCGCTGCAGGGTGCATGCCCTGCATGCATGTCCGCTGCAGGGTGCAGTGCTCCGCTGCATCCCACTCGGAGGGATCGGGAGTGAGGGGAAGCGGGGCGGCGGAGGAGGCTGAGTGACAGGGCGGGCGGAAGGGAGGGTCTTGGGGGGAAGCTAGCCCTGAGGTCAGAGGCGGGAGTCCTGCGTGGAGGCCCTGAGGCGGGAGTGCATCTGGGCGGCTGGGCCGGAAGGGTGGAAGCATGTGCAGCCACGTCGGGGCGACCCAGGAAGATGCACCGAGGGAGGCAGCGCCCGGCCAGGGGCAGCCGGCCGGAGAGAGACGGAGGCCCGCGAGCAGGGCGGTCGGTCGGCTCACGGCGGCCGAGCTGATGATAAACCCGTGAGGAGGCGCTTGGGATTATCTGCTGGTGTCTTTTGAGTGCTGTGGAATTTGAGAGGGAAAGAGAAGGCAGGGAGGATTCTAAGATTTTTTTGGCCTGAAGAACTGAAAGGATAGAGCTGCCGTTTATCGTGAAGGGGAGGACCAGGGTTCGAAGGGGAGAGGAGTTTCGGGGGAAACCTAAGGCGCTGGGTTTGGACACATGCTAATGTAAGGTGCCCGAGGAGATATCCTAGTGGTGACAGCAATGGGCCGCTGGAGACAGTCTGGGGTTCCAGGCGAGATCTGCTGGAGGCAGAGATGTGAGTGTATAGAGCGTGCGCGAGGTAACTACCGCCACCGAGAGATGGTTAGTAAACATCCTTCCAACAGACCCAGGGTAGAGTGTCTAATCTTTGGTTTCTTGGGGGAGGAGCCTTCCAGTGGATACAGCAGCTCTGTTCTTCATTTCCTTAATAGGACAAATATTCAGGTTAAAAAGTCAAATTTTCTGCAGGTTAAAACCAGTCAATTAGCATAAAGATATCAGCCTCATGAATACTTATCTAATGATTTTTAGCATAGAAAATTAGTTTTAGTCCATAATGATGAGGAAGTCATATTTTGCTTTATGATCTCTTTTCTGAATTTAATTTTTTTTTTTAATACGTAAAAGCCCAAAATCAGGAAATCTCTAAGTAACGGAAGAACTTCCAAAGTGAATTTTAAATCTGCAGGAAAAGGGCTGAGCTTCCTTTTATCTCAAAATGGTGAGTATTTTGATTCTAGAACCTTGGTACTAGCAAGTAGTTGCTTATAAATGACATCATGGTTATAAAAAGGTACAGCCGTGTCATCACCACGGGGCGCACACACGGGGAGCTGGCCTCGGGGTGGCGGTAGGTGTGGGTGAGACGCCTGGAGCACCGGGGGCGCCTGTGGGCCACCTGCTGCCCGCGACTCGCTCTCTCCACGGATTTGCCTTTTCTGGACACCTCGTTTAAATGGAATCGTACGTCTGTTAGGCCTGCCTCCTTCACTCACAGTTGTCTGGGGATCCATTCACGTGGTAGCGCGTGTTAGTGTTCCGTTCCTTTGTATGTCTGAGCATCAATAGTCCATCGTGTGGCTCTGCCACATTTCTGTCTGCTTGTCAGCTGACGGACACTCGGCCGGCTTCCAGTCTGGGCTGTCATAAAGAATGCCGCTGTGAGCACTGGTGTGCCCGTCTTTGTGGCTGTGTTTTCGTGTCTGTTTGCCCGTGTAAACTCTGGCACTGGCATCAAGGCTCTCCCCATGTCGTCCACTCTGGGCCCTTCACAGCGGCTCCTGGGGTGGAGGCTGGTCTGGTCACAGAGCCCCACATTTCCACAGGACCTGTGCCCACCCTCCTCTCCCATCCCCGCCGTCAAAGAGCACAGGAGCCCAAGCTGTAGACACAGTCAAAAACCAAATGCTGTCCTGACAGATCCCCAGTCTTACTGATACTACAGAACGATCCAAAGCATTATCCTCCTGGAATCAACTATTTTAAACACATTCCAGAGTGGGTGTCTGCTGCCTTAGTAGACGTGACGCTATATTCCTTACCAAGTCAGTAATTTTACCTACCTTCTTACTCAATTCGGAGTTAAAGTCCTTTAAAGTTTTTTTTTCTTAAAACTTAAAACCAAGAAGTTTTTTTTTCCTTCCTCTGAAAACATGGGAATATTGTAAGTTTTCTAAGATTTTCATTTTAGAAAACCAAAATAGTTAAGCCATTTTAGAAAAAAATATAGGTACCCAGAGACCTGAAGGAATTGTTGACCATCAGAGCTGCGGTGAGCTGATGCCAGCCTTGTTCTGGGGGGTCCCGGAAGCACTTTGCAGTTCCCTTAATGCCCACAAGCCCACGAGGAGCATGGCGTCACCCTTATGGGGGGACGAGGACACTCATCCCACCACAGGTCGTGACAGAACGGGGAACAGGGAGGCACACTCCAACGTTACTGCAAGACTGTATCAATGCTCATTTCAGTCAGCCTTTCTTACAGGGAAAAAAGAAAAATCCAAGCATGAACAGAAGGAAAAATTCAACACATGGATCAGTAATATGTACGTCTTTTTTGTGAACACTCTCTTCCAAGCACATAAACATGAAGAAACCGTCAAGGAGAAAGTAAAGGAAAACAGGCTATATAACGAAGCAATGGCCCTTCAGAAGAAGATGGAAAACGAGGAGCTGGAAGCAAGGTAACTTGGCAAAAACCGCTTGACTCCCTCCCTCCCTACCTCCCGGGTTCTTGGTCATCTTCCTTCCTGTCCTCTGTGGCCACCCTGAGCTTCAGGACCACTTTCATTAAAAGGCTAGGATGTCAGGGACCTTCCTGGTGATCTAGTGGCTAAGACTTCTTGCTCCCAACGCAGGGGGCCTGGGTTCGATCCTTGGTCATGGAACTCGATCCCACGTGCCACAACAAGGACCTGGTGCAACCAAATAAATACACACACACACACACACACACGAGTCTACAACTTCCAAAGAGCGGCATGCCCTCGTGTGGGGCTGGGAACCCATGGCCGCCTGTTCTGTCCTGGCTAAGGTGGCGATGACGCCCTTGTCCCCAGGCATCCACAGGGACACAGCATTACGTAGATCCAGACCGCCCCGGTTCAAATCCCATCCCTTCCACTTATTACAGCTGGGTGACCTTGGGCAAGGTCTGTCCCCGTGTGCCCATTTCTGCCCCTGTGGAGGTGGAGGTGGCCCCTTGTAGGGCTGCTATGAGGATTGAGGGAGCACGTGTTTCTGAAACGTTGAGAACAGTGACTGGGGTGCAGTGAGCGTGCAGTCATGGCCACACTGTCCAGGCTCAGCTCCACACCCAGGTCAGTCTTGAGTGTGGATGCCCGTCCTCTGTGAAAGGCATCACGAGCCCGCTGGCCTGTGAAGGACAGCGTTAGACTTAAGAACGAACAGCCACACACCGCAGGACTTTAAAAAGGCTGCTTACTAGCTAAGTTGCTCCAGAGACAAGTACTTCACAAGTCACCTAAGATGTGTGCAAAGTCTGAACTGATGAGATGTCGATGGTGTGACTTTCTATTTCAGGCAAAGTGATGACACACACTGCTGAGATCCAGGTATGGACTACTTTACACCACACAACAGCATAAAACTGGTTTTGAAATTTCAAAGAAAAAAAAGATACTTTCTTGTGTTTGTTTCTTGTTAGGCTAAACAGCTTGAGAGAGGAAGAGGCCACAAGACAAGACTATGAGGTGGACATCACCGTGATCAAGGAACCGGTGGACGCCCCCTCCTCGAATTTCACACTAAGCCCCCCAAAAGAGGACACAGTGGTGTCCAGCAAGTCCATGACAAGCAAGAAAAAGAAAAAGTAGACGTCACTGTCTTTGTAAACGAGCCACAGAACAGGCAGGTGTGAAAGGAGGACGCCTTGTCTGAGTGTTTCTTGAGAAACTGGGGTTTGGGCCCCCTGGGTTGAGGGTTTCTTATGTGATTGGGTCACCGGAACGCCTGTTTTAACAGCTGAGCTGAATGAAAATACACACATGGGGTACTGAATGAGCGTGTATTCATTATGGTTTTTTTTTTTAAAATATATAGCACTGGTGATTAAAGTTAGAATCTGATAAAACCTACTAGAAGCAGTGGGGAGCAGATGAAGCCCTTCCCACGTTTCTTCAGCCACCCTCTCCCGAGCCCGGCACACCTCCTCTGCCCTTGTCCTTCTCCACCTCTTCCCACAGCATAGCAACGCTGTGCGGACAGGAGGCTGAACCACAAGGGTGAAGAGCCAGCTGCACAGTCGGAGGTTAACCGAAGACCCGAGGTCTCTGTTAGGAAAGTGTTACAGCTAGTGGTCCTGTTAAATTTAAGAGGAACCACCCAAAGCATAAGAATACACCTAAAGCTTCCAAACTAGCAAAAAGGAAGGAACAATCATCCGACGTAAGGTTGGGAAAAAAGGAAAAAAAAAGAATGGAAACAGAAAATGCTGAATGTGGTGGGAAAGTCCAGATCTACCTGTCGTCCCCCAAGCAAACGGGTTGACTCACCTCTTCCTCCCCTTCAAAGTTCCCTGGTCTAGAAACCAGCAAGCAGAGACTCAAGGCAAGACCAGGATTTTTACAAACTTTTTAACAATTTATTAGTCTTATTTTCCAGTAAAATATTCACATAATGTCAAAAGAATGGAATGACAGAGATGTAGCCAACTACCTTTAATTCCACATAAATATTTAAAATCTAAAAACCTCAGGAATCATCAGACTAAGTAGAAATTTGACTCTTCAGAGCAAGTATTGCTTTACTATTGTCATTAACCCAGTCAATAATATGACCGATAACCAGCCGTGGGAAACAGCATGCCTGCCGAGTTGTTCTTTTAAAGATGTTTCACAGAGCCCTTGTCAAGTCAGTCCAAGAAGAATATGTTATTGAATTGCGTTGCACAAAGCTTCTTGACCTCTTCTGCAAAAAGAACAGAAAACAGGGACAGAAATTCTCACTTAAGAGGTTATAGGATATGTATCAGTACCTTATTCTGATAATTCTCTGGGAATAAAGTTGGACATAAATAAAGGTCTTCATCGAATTTGACCTTAAATCTTAGAAGCCTTAATATGTTCGTAAATTGAGAGAAATATAAAAAGGCCTGACACATAGGAGACTTTAACACTATTTAACATCTCTTCTTTAGGCCTGAGAGAGCTCAAACCCAAAGTGCTTGAGACATCCACGAGTTGGGGGTTTGCAGTAACAACTTCTCAAATCTTGAGGAATCTGACACAAGCACACAGAAACTCCAGCGGCAGCCCTGAATTGAGGACCAGGAGCTCCACAGTGGCATCATTCTTTGGACGTTAAACTCAATTCCCATTTTCAATGAGGCGTGTGTTAACTGCTGTCATTCCTAATGCATCAACTATTAATCCTAACCACTAGGCCACCAGGGATCTCCCAAAATGCACATTTTTATACATGGTGTATAAAGCCATGGAATTTTTTTTTTTTCTTCAGCATTAGAGAAAATAATTTTCTTCTGGCCTGTATCAAGTTTCCCAAGAAACAGGCAAGTTTTTCACATACTGTTTCAAGGAACTAAGTTATTGAAAAAGAGATCAAGTGATGGTTTCCTTTCAGCATCAGGGACCTCTGCTTAAGAATCTTAACAGTCATGTTTGCTCTATGTACATGCTCCACAGTACACTGAAAAGAGAGTTTGTGAAGTATCAGTAGCATTAAAATTCTGCTCAAACACCAAACCCTATTTACCATTGACTTCAATCAGGTTTGCATTTTTTTGATTCAAAATAACATACAGCTCCCTCTGGTCAGACTTCTTCCCAACAACCCAGTAATCACTCATGGCTTTCACGATGATTTCTTCATCCTCGTCCACTCTGTAAGACAGGAGTTTCAAGACGCAGTTGTTTATTTTATATGTACAGCTTGACTGTGACAAACATTCTGAAATAAGAAATAGGAAACCTGAGTGACCTGAAAAGGCCAGGGAGTCCCCTGTGAGTGACCAGCCACTCCTGGGCTTGATGGCATTCGCCCAAGGCGGCGGTCAGGCCCTCTGAAGGGGCCTGGGACCGTCTGGTTTTTGGAGCTGATGCTCATGAGAGAGTAGACACCTAACTGGAGAGGTGGTGAGAATTACCTTGTGAAATCACTATTGATGTCACCCAGAATCTTCATTAGATCCGGATGGACAGATGTGAGTGACACGCTGGGTGTCTTCCTCATGTGAATTGTACTTTTTTCTGCTAAATTCATGTGGTTGAAGTAGATAAACTAAAACTGGGATTCTTTTTCAGACCCAGATATTCTCTTGTTGATGTTAAATTGCTCACAGATGTCAGATGCCAGCACTGTGAGCTGGGGCCCCACAACGCTGTCCAGTCTTCGGCAGAAATCCAGTGTGGGCTGAATGGAGGCTACGAGTAATTCAAGAAATACCAGTGTCAGGGGGCCAAGGGTTAAAGAACTCAATTTTCACTTCACTGTCTGAACAACAATATGCCAACTACTGATCTGGGAAATAAAACAATGAAATGATCAGAGCCCTGTCCCCTCCGAAACAGAAGAGACACAGAGGGTTCAGAATTAGTTATATTTAAGATGAAACAGAGGCAAAGACTCATCGCACTGTAAATGTGGACTGAAGCATGCCCTGCGGGGTTGTAAACTGACTGGCTAGCCTCAGTAAAAGGAAGGTCAAATACTTATTTAACACACTACAATAGCACTCATGGGCCCGGTACCGTTGGTCCATGCTAATGTTACCTCTTTTAATTCTAAAGCTCCTTTGAGATGGGTGCTCCCTGTCATCACTTCATGGGCAAGAAGGCACAGAAGCAGCAAGCTGGGACTTTTAATGATATTAGACGAGATCGGGCATGTTCAGGGTGGTATGGCCGTAGACAACTTTAATGATGTTAGAAACAGCTAGTGACGAGGGCAGAGGCCCCCGACGGACAACAGGTCTTAAATCGGCCTCTGTGTTGCTACGACAACATATTTATCATTCAGGAATGGAAGGGAGCAAAGTGTAAAGAGACAAGGCTTAGACACATGTGTGTACCCACCATCAATCATAAAGCACACAGCTGCGCTCATCGCCTAGGATGAAAAGAAACCACGATTAGGAAATGGTACAAAAAAAGAGGACTAAAATAACCAAATGCAGCGGCCTTGTTTGAATCTTTTTTTAAACATATCAACTTTATAAAGACTTTCTTAAGTCAACTGAAGAACTCCAAATGGGGCTGGATATTAGATGATATTAAGGAAGTATTATTTATTTTGGTCAGGCATGATAATGGCAGGTGCTGATGTTAAAACAGATGCCCTTAGTAGTAGTTAGAGATACAAAATGAACTATTTATGAGGGGAATGACTGGATGATTTAAAATGCTCTAACAAAAAAACAAAATGTGTAGAGATGAGAGATATTGTTAGCATATTATTAATTAAGCTCTGTGATACGTACCTGGGTATTCATTATTCTAATCTACTTGTGTGTGTTTGATAATCTTCATTAATACAAGTCAAAAAAAACCCCCCAGCAAGTTAATATCACCTGTCTTGCTTTTTTATTATAGCAAATACTGCAGTTATGATAGGAGTAGTAATGGGAACTTATGGCAAGCCAGATCATAAATAAAACAGCCAAAAAAATGTTTAAATTTATCAAAGCCGTGTAATAGTGTTTAAAAAAAAGAAAGGTCAAAACAGAACATGTAGGCCTGAGGCTTCCCTAGCGGTCCTATGGTTATGAATCTGCCTTCCAATGAAGGGGACAGGTTCAATCCCTGGTCAGGGGACTAGGATTCCATGTGCCTGGGGGCAACTGAGCCCACATGCTCTAGAGTCCGTGCTTCGCAACCAGAGAAGCCTGCGTGCCACAACAAGAACTCAAGGCAGCCAAAAAAGAACATACAGGTTTGTGATGAAAGTGCAAGACTTCTCCTCTGAGGCCTGCTCCCCCAGCAACCACTGGGATCCTTCTAGATGATGTGGCTACAGCACCATCACCTCTGGCTGTCGTGACAGGTGCGGCTCCTCTGCGGCTATCTCCCCCGCCCCCCGCCCCACCCCCGGTTCCCAGCCGCTCTAGTTCCTCCACTGGGGTGCAGCTCATGCCTCACGCCCCCAGTCACAGCCACTCTTTATGAGGACGTGAACCTCCCTGTGTCCCTGCACCCCTCCCCACCTCAGACTCCTTCAGCTTTGACTTCATGTTTACGTGGTCAAAGCTAATGACATTTATGCTATTCTGTAACTGAATGGTAATTATTATTTGCCCATAAAGAGGCTGCAAATTGGGTGGCTTATAGGCCAGTTCCACCCAATATAGGTCTTTTTGTTTCAAGTCATTTTGGCTTAGATGCCAACTCGTTTGCTACCAAAATCCCAATTTCCAGCCTCCCCGAGGCATCTAGAGACCTGGATCACTGCTCTTCGCTCTGGCCACCCCCTGGTCTCCTTGGGACGTGGGCCACTCTGTGACACAGAGTCCCAAACCCCGATCCAGCTTGCCTCCCTTGTGTCTGCCATCGGACATTTGTGTACCTGACCCTAGGAATTTATTTAAAGAAAAGAAAACAAAACAAAAAAAAAATGGCCCTTTTAAAGTCTATTTAAAAAGTTGAAGGATTTCAAATACATTAAAAATGTACATAGAAAGGTACACACACACCCCAAGGACCATCACTTTCTCAACAACCGTCAACTCATGGATAATCCTGCCCGATTAACCACGCTGATCTACAATATTAATAATCTCTCTCCCCAGGGAAACATCGTAATTGGAGAAAAATATAAAAAACAGTCAAAAATCTCCAGAGGGAAATTTTCCTAAGGGCAGAGAGCCGATGGAGGAACGGTTATAAAAGACAATCTACTACAACTTAGTATTTTAGTCTTTTATTACAGCTGTGAACACATATATTAAAAAAGAAGCAAGACCTCAAATCAGTAACAACCTTCCATCTTAAGACCTTGGAAAAAAAGAGGTGCAAACTAACCACAAAGCAAGCAGAAGGAAGGATATG